GTAGAAAAAAAAGGTGGCCCAAGTTTCACTGTGACAAACTTTAACCAATTGATTTTTTACAGCACTTGAACAAAAAGTTGCATCTGTTTTGTGAGGAACTTAATGACAACAGGTTTGTAGATATATTAATTCAATAATTAGGTTTAATAAAAAAAAGTTTTGTCTTGTCCTAGAATCATGTTCAACAACAAAAAGTGACACACTCAGTATGTATGGTACTGGTGAGTCTGTCGCCCCCTATTTGTGTTCCGTCTCCAGTACGTAATAAGAAACAAAAATGGTTAAATAAAAAGGGATACAGAACAGGAACCTTTTGTCAAAGTCCCTCAATCGACAAAGGGAGACGGGAGACAAAACTCCCATTTGCGGTTTTAAGCACACAGTATTTGCAAACTATCTAGATGATGGTTGTGTAGAGGTGGGAAATCAACAGATGCGAAGTGGACAGAGCAAACCAAATCAGCATTTATGTCATGTACCTGGTTTTGTTTAAAAAGATGTTAGAAAGGGCCTTTTCTAAATAGAAACTATAGGGGGGCCCACGAATAGGCTGCAGATGATTACATCTATAGACAACAGGAATACTGACCACGAGGTGTTAGAGAAGGCTGTTTTTCCACCTCCACCTGCTGTCGACTCCCAGCAGGAATGTTGTTGTAGATGCGTTTGTAGTGATTGTACACTGCAACTGCCAACACCTTCTTTGCATAGGACTGGCCAACAACGTACTTGTCAAGGTAAGCATATATCTGGAGAATAAAAACAACAATTTCTGTATCAATATTAAAACAGGATTAGTAACATATCAAGAGTCCTTGAAAAGCATATTTTTACTTCTTGAGTCGATGTCTCACCTTCTTTGGAGGAGGGGGAGGTTTTTGTGCAAATGCCAGTTTCACTGCCTCCGCAGCAGATTCTGGCTCTTTGTTTAGTCCCTTTTTAGAGTCCGTCTCAGACAGAACCACAAAAAAGTGATGACATTTCTCACATTTGACAAATCGTGTTGATGCTACAAAATAAATTAAAAAAAAACACATGGAAAAATTTCAAAAGCTGGTTGGAAGAAATATCTGACACATTCAGTTTAAAAAAAAGTCAAGGTAGGAGATCATCAAACTGAGTCACACTCAAATTACGTAACTCCTTTAAGATAAAAATGGGTGGATGAGGTATTTTTTTAAAAAGTAAAAAGAAATTGGTTGCGTGTCTTTAACTACAGGGAAACTTGATGATAAATGTTGAGAACAATGTCACCTCTTACAATGAACATTCATTTGACCCCCAGCCGTGAATGATACACGGTTATTTGATACACGGTTACTGGATTATAGCGAGAGGACAGCACCTGCTGCTTGGTGCATCAGATTTGTTCTCATAAATATACTAATTGGTCACAAAGAGTGCTAGACGAAGCGCTGGTCGATCTCTGACACAAGTTTCACATGTCTCAGGTTTCAGGTGTTACAAAACAAACCGGTGTTTCTACAATTCTAAACAATCCAAACATCACTACTAAGTTGAATATAAACTTACATAGTTTACGTTTGCAACACAAAGCCGAGAATAGCCCTTTGACAATAAGGAAACGCAATGTGATGACACCTGTTCCTCAGCGCTTACTCGCCGGTCTGGCGGTTATTGTGGTGAGTTTATAGCAACACATAGTTTGTACCAAACCAAATGTGAAAGCTGGTGAAATGCTTGGTTTAAAATAAATAAATAATAACAAACACACACACACACACACACACACACACACAAATGGACAAAAGTAAAAATGTAACCATTGGGTGCAGTTGAACTTTGCCCCCAGTTTCTTTTAATCAGCAATTGTTTTTTCCCCTCCAGCTCCTGTCCATGTTGCATGGTATTAAACAATATAAAACAGATGTATTTTTGCACAAATAGTCTTGTTTACCTGATCATAAAACAGAACCGTGCTCATAAACTGTCCTCTACATTTCTTTTTGCTTCTTTAATTAAGTATTTACCCTTCTAACATATTTCACCTTTTTTACACTGACTCGTCTCGATAAGTTTCTTCACAAACTGCACATCAGGTAATACCTGTTGGTAAATCTGATTAAATGTACTCACATACAAAGGTCTCTACATGTGTGCAGGGATCTCCACATTTTGGGCAGCGTAGCTGGCTTCCCCCCTTGCCTGATCCTCCGGACCCAGACTGCCTCTTTCCCTCACTGATGCTCTTCTGTGTAAAAACAAAACAAAAAAAACAGCATCAGCACCTTCCTAAATTAGAATATTCCTACTACTACTACTCTTCCAAGAGTAAGATATAACATTATTCTGAAAGAGGTACAAATGAGACTTCTCCTCTAAGAGATTACCTTTCCACCATCGCTTCCACTGTCCTTTGTTGTCCCATCTTTAGCGGCATAGCAGACAGCGGCCTCTGAAAACGACCTCACTCGTACCCTGGGATGTAAAGGAGTTTCCCGAGAACCCTGACGACTCAGAGAAAACAACTGGATCCGGGAGCAGGACAATCCTGAAAAACACAACAGAAACATTTTAATATTCTCTATATTTTATTTACATATGACATGTTTATTGAATGATCATGGCATTTAAAACAATGTGTATCTATACAAAACATATTACCCTAACTGCCGCTATGTGTGTCATGTAAAATTGAATTTAAAGCGGTTGTTGATTCAAATCCATTTTCAAGTCAAGAGAAAATAAATTTACACATGTTTCAATAAGCCTAAGCCCATTTCCATTATCATGAAAAATATAATCGTAAACCAAATATATTTGCCACAAACGTATGGCCTTTCCCCCCACAATTCAGTTCCCGTTGATCAGTTCACAAGACATCAGATAATCAACATATAATGTAATCAACACGGTGGGCGGACTATCACGGAGATCAGTTAAACACACTGCATAATTATCTAGGGCAACAGTTCGTGCTCTGGGGCAATGAGTCCATACTAGTTACGTGTGCTGTCGTTGTACATTTTGCATTATGCAAGTGTGAAGGGCTGACGTAACAAGTATGCTATTGCTAACTAACTTAACATTATTTTGTGCTTTCATATATGCGTGCTTCCTCTATGAATTATCGGTCTTGAAAAGTAAAGCACGGCTGTAACAAACAACTATGACGAGCTGGGTGATGTAAGGCAACGACTAACGTTACAGCCTTCTCGCAGCTACTAAAATAGTTGTCCACCTGCAGTTGGCGTTACGTGACGGACTAACAGCTGTAGCTTGTGCGTTAGCTTAGGTGTTAGCTTCACAAACAGTAGCAAGCGACGTTAGCCCAATGTCATACAGCTGTTAGCTTGTTGTATAATATGTACTTTCCCTTCCTTACCTCTGTGGGCAGTGTTTAGGAACAACCTTGCAGCCGACGTACACGGACAGGACATAACTATGTCCTTGGCTCAATACCCTGAAATTAAAAATAAAGTTAACACCGTGAACTGGGGGGGGGGAGATGGAGGCCGCTCAACTAGCCGGCGGATTGAAAAAAACAGCAGATGCAAACAGGAGAGGCCATTTAGCCAAAAAATATGTCACCGCTTTAACGTCCCCGTTAGCATTTGCAGGTCATTTACTGACGAAGGTGGCAACGCCAGTGCTGCTTGCGACTGTGGCAATAAATCTTCTCTAAATTAGTAATTAAAGGTAGGAATCTGTTTGGCTGACATGGCTAATTGCTACCTGCTATCTAACGGCAGCAATACAGGGCAAAATAAACAACGTATTAGCTGGTTTGGTCTAGTCGAGAAGTAACTGCTGAATAGTTGAGCTAGGCCCGAGCCAGAACTACCTGACGGTTCTTCCCGTGGAAATGGCAAACGCTCCTGGCAGACATACAGGCAATGTTGCGCAGTGATTATTTATGAGTGGTGTTGCTCGGAAACAAACACGTAGCGTTAGCTACTTTTAGCAGTCAGGCAAGACGGCTAACGCGACGACACACATGCCTAGCTTAATTCTAACAAACGTTACAATATGTCTACATACCGTTAATATGGGGTTGTTTTACTCACAGGGCGCGATGAAACCCAGTCCCTTTGGAAAAAAATATTAATTTGCAAAGTCACCGTTTAACGTTCTTGTTTGAACAGGTCAGTGTACCGTACGAATGTCACAGTGCAATCAATAATACGCGTTGCCTTCTCTAGACCGATATTTCCCAGGTGGGATACGACCCAAAGTGATGTAACGCTGTTATGTACTAGGTCGATTTCAGCGTTAACTGCTAGCAAGCCTCCTATCTGGGTACAGTAGCTGACATACGTGGTTTAACCGGTGTAAGCAATATGGAGGCTTCGTTTTGTTCATCACAACTCACACCCATCCCAATCTTTTGAGATCTAGCAACCAACCCACAGGAGGAGTTAACAGAAGTGGCTGCTGGTGCGTTCACTGGTCCTCGTTATGTACCGTTTAAGTTACGTTTGGGTGATCCTCGTAAATATGTAAAGCCGTCCCGAAGCGAAAGATTCACAACTGTGAGAAGTTCGAGCAACGAAGTAAAGATGAAGCTACAATGCTGTACTTTCTGCACCGATAGGGGCGTTTTTGAGGCTGCTGTTACAGAGCTCACTTGCACTAAGACATCATACATTGGTTTTTGCGAGGAAATGTGTGTGCCTGTCGCCTACAACTTTCTGTACATGCAATAACAATAAACCCTGCTGTGATGCGGGTAGCATTGTCGGCTTGTGGCAGATTACTACAGAGGTGAGGACAGGATCCTGTACAACAGGCCGCAGACCCCCTATAAATGAGATCAGGGCAGCACACTGAAAGGACATGTGTATGCTTATATCTGTTCTTTTTTTGTTATGCTTATTTGTCTATTCTGTACATCAGAGGCAACGGCAAACATGTGGCATAATTTTCTTCGGAGTCCCAGACAGGAGCTGTGTAAATCCACATTTACTGGAAACAATATCCGGTGTGACCTGAACCTTCTGTGTCAAAATAACAATTTAAGAAATTCAAGCAGACCAACATAGCATTTAAAAATAACTTTATTGCTCATTTTACAAGTTTTATGGTTATTTCTAGATTAGGTTCAGCCTAACTTTGCATATTTTCACGCTGCTGTTGTCCCACATATACAAAAGCTTTCTGTTGGGATAATATGACAGCATAGCCAAGATACCATTTGCTGGCCTTAAGTCAAAACTTGCATTCAGAGGACTCTCCTTCTTTAAATCAAAGGCATATGTAACTTCTCGATCTTTGTCATCTGTAAAATATAGGACCCCACACACAATGAAAGCATTTCCTGCTTTAGTTGTAGGGTAGCGAGTGTTAATGACGGACTCAACAGAGAATCTGTCAGTGTTAATCTTTGCAACCATCGTATCATCATTTGTATCTGATGCAAAAATGACCCACAATCCATTTTCATCCACAGCAAACTTGAAATACGTCTTTGAGTTGCGAAAAAGATAAATCAGGTTGTGAAATCTGCTGTTTTCCATCACCAGAGTCTTTGTTTCCTTGGTGTTCAGGTCAAATCTGTAAGATATTACACATGTTCGAAAAAGTCAGTAAGAGTAAGTTAATTAGGCCAAGAGTCGTACAAGCTATGAATACAATCACTCACTTCAAGAGGCGGTTTCTTCCTGCGATGTGAAAGTAAAATGACTGCTTGTAAACAACGTGACCACAGCCCTGGAAGAACCTTCTGAGGTCTATCATTTTGTCGCTTCCATTATGAAGAGTCGAATTGTTTCTGTGCTCCACCAAAACTCGACCTGTGGAAGAAATGTTATAGTATTCAGAGTAGATCTCACCATAACTCACAAATTGCTTTGATCAATGGTTTGTAGACATATGGATGCAAAAATAAATCACCTGAAAAATGATCGGCCAGCCAGTATCGACCTTCATCCAGTTGGGACGCATCGGACATCCAGGCTCCAAAAGTGCTTTGCATTTGCATGGCGTCCTTCGGACATTTAATAGCTCTGAGGTTGCATTCTAAACAAAAAAGAAAATGTACTTCAGTATTTGAATAAGACATCAGATGGATGGCTGGGCAGATGGATAGATATGTAACCAACATACTTGCAGGTTTTGAGATTAAAAGTTTTATAAATTAAGATTTGGGTTTTTTATTAAAACCAAACATAGGACACAAAACAGTTTCTTACCACGTTTCCTGGTTGTTTGGATGAAATTTCCACTGACGTTGAAGGGGTCGCTCTCCAGATCCACAGAGAGTGGGGCTGAAACATAAATACACAAAAGACTTAACCAAATATTCTCTGGCCATTGTTACTTTATTATATCATTTGTAACCACATTTCCTACCTGTTACTAATTGAAGTGGCGCCTCCGTAGCGTTGTTGAAAACACCCCTGTTTTCGTCCGCGGAAAGTGGAGCTGTAGAATATGTAAAATATCATTGTAAATAATGTTGTAAAGATATTGTCATTCGCTTTAATAAGACACAGTGTTCCTACCTGTCGATAATGTCATTTGTGCCTGTGTAACATTTTCTCTTTCAGTATCATTCAAGATTTCATTGTCGTCTCCTTGAGGAAATACCCTCTCTAGAAGAGAGAAGAAAAGTTTGGGTATAACTTCTTTTTTTCATGAGTTTGTTCGTAGGTCTCCCTGCTGAAATGAGGTGTTTACCAGCCTCCATCCTTGTGTTTGGAAGTCTCTCAGAGTCAGTGACATCTCTGCCGTTGTCAGTTGGACGAGCAGTTGGTGAATCTGCAGAAGTAAAGATGAGATTTAACCGGATGAGAGGTCACAGAGATCACATATCCCTCCTTTGAGGGAGGACAAAAACGTGCCAAACAGTGATGCAATGGACAGTTTCTTACCACGTTTCATGGGTGCATCAATAATGGTTCCACTGGTACTGAATGAATCACTGATTTCTTCCACAGAGAGAGGAACTAGTGGATGAAATGAATCATTTAATACAAGTATGGTCCCCCACATTACTCCTAGTTTCAAAACAGCTACCTGTTGAGAGCAGAATTGGTCCTTTTGTAACATTATCTCTCTCGGTATCACCGTAGTCTTCTTGATGAAACGATTCTGACTCTGGAAAATAAAACTGTTTTTTGGTCTTACGTGTAAAATGATTGTTCACCAGCTTGCGTTTTTGTGTCTCAAAGTTTCTCAGCGACAGTAAAATCTCAATGACAGTTTCTTACCATGTTTCATGGGTGCTTCAACAACGGTTCCACTGGTACTGAAGGAATCATTGATTTCTTCCACAGAGAGAGGAACTAGTGGATGAAATGAATCATTTAATACAAGTATGGTCCCCCACATTACTCCTAGTTTCAAAACAGCTACCTGTTGAGAGCAGAATTGGTCCTTTTGTAACATTTTCTCTCTCGGTATCACCGTAGTCTTCGACTACTACTTGAAACGATTCTGACTCTAGAAAATAAAACAGTTTTTTGGTTCTTAAGTGTAAAACGATTGTTTCTCAGCGACAATAAAATCTCAATGACAGTTTCTTACCACGTTTCATGGGTGCTTCAACAACGGTTCCACTGGTACTGAAGGAATCACTGATTTTATCCACAGTAAGTTGATCTGTTGAACGAAATGAAACATATGTATAATGTTAGTTAGTTAGTTTACTTTATTGTCTCATAATTCAAAACCTTTCCTACCAGTAAATGATTGCATTGGTCCGTCTGTAACGTTCTCTGTGTTGTCATGGCTGTAGTCTTTATGAGGTGACTCTGGAAAATAAAAGGTTTTGAGTTTCGTCTCCACGGTAACAGGAGCACTTTTGCACAAATACTTGATTCCTTTAAGTATTTTTTCCTACATTTTTAATAATATGAAATTTTCCCACATGTGTTACATACACGTGTGTAGTCATAAGTGTGTAGATTGTGTTGCTAGTTGGCACATATGTGTCACTTTTGTTTAAAATAATAAGAATGTTTACTCTTTCATGCATTTAGATTATTTTTGCTGGCTATGGTATTAAAAAGGGTCCTGAAATTGTAATTTTAAAAAAAACGCCAAGATTGCAGACCAGGTTCCTCTTGCGGTTTCTCAGAGCCGGTCAAATTAAAAACCTCTCTGGACTCATAGGTTGGATGGGATGTTGGTGACGCTGTGGAGATTTAATAAGATAAGCACAGCATGAAGTTAAAATCAAATCAAACATATGAACAATGATGTTTCAGTATCTCCTACCTGTTGATAAGTGAAACGATGCCTCTGTCCTGGTTTCAGTCCACTTGTCCTGTCCGTAGTCTGGCCGAGGGGACACTAACTCTGTGGTAAATATAACTGAATTTGTATTCCGATACGTTTTTACAAAGAGCCTAATTATTATAGGAGCTTAAGGAATAAAATACAGTGGAACAAAAGTTTATAAAACTGACCAGTGTCTTTACCACTTTTTGTTGGACTTTTCTTTGTGTTTCCGCTGCGATTGAAGGTGTTTCTGTTTTTTTCCGGAGCAAGTGGGGCTGTAAAATGTTAACATGACAATTGTTACCAGACAAGTACTGTAACACACGGAGTCGCTGCACTCTGGACGAACTGGTACTGAGTCGGGGAAATAAACCTTTCAGGTTTTCCTACAACGGTTGCTTACCAAAGTCCGTACTTGTGACTGGATCTATTTTGGAGACGGTGACATTCAAAACATCTTTGCTCGCATTTACTGGAACTTGTGATTCTGTGTAAATAAAGACATCATACATTATTATTCTAAGTAAATCACAAACAGTCTATAATGTAAATTCTTAACTCAATTACTTGGAGTAACTCAATTTATATTCTGAATTTCTTCCTACCATTTTTGTCCGTTGTTGAGTTGTGGTTTTTAGTCACAGAAGGAGATAAATATAAAGAGAAAGACAAGAAATGGAAGGTTTACTTAATAGCATAAATAGCAAACACGTTATACTGAAAAATGTTCCCGTTTGTAGACTTGAAAATCCAAATGGAGCATACGCGCGCTCAGGGGCCAGAGCGCCTTTTTTGGCCAATAAACCAACGAAGGATTACAATGTTTCCCAACCTGAATTTTATTCCTGGCAGTGTGGAGAATACACTTCACAGACAATGTCATTAGTCTGTTAACGTTTGCGTAAATCTTCAGGATTTAGAGGCATCTAGCGGTGAGGTTGCAGATAGCGAACAACTGAATACCACTTAACAACCCCCCCCTCCCTCCTTCCACAAGTGTCTAACAGACTGGCCTTCAGGGAAATGAAAGAAACGTGAAAGACGTCCTCCAGAGCCGAAGCTCATTCCGCTGCTTTATAAGCATGTGGACCAACACAGCGGACTCCTTGAAGAGGACAAAAACTAAACCACTATTTCAAGTGAACACACACTCAAGAAAGCACAACTATAACCCATTCCAGCTAACAAGCACCGGCCCTTCAGTGAACAAAGGCTTGTGATCATAATGTTTATCAGAAGGAGGGTGTCCTTTTTTCTCCGCTAACAGCCCCCCGCTGTCCCAGAAAACCTTTTCCATTTGACATGAATAGGATTGGATGTAACTTGAAACTTTAAAAGGTCTAAAAGGTTGAGTGCTTTTAATGAAAAGACAGCACCGAAAAGGCTGGGAAAATAAATGCTGGTTTAATGGTTGTGTTGTTCTCACCCATTGAACCCATGGGTTCTCCGATGGTCTTCTTCTTAACTTTATTACAATTCCTAGCAGGACAGGCTGGACCTGGTGGACCTGGTGGACCCGGTGGACCTGGTGGACCTGGTGGACCCGGTGGACCCCTTGGACCGGATGGACCTTCAAATATTAGAATGCAGTGGCTGTAAAACTTTTGAAAGAAGCAACACTGCTTCTCAATGACTGTCACTTTACATTAACAATAATAACCGTTCGAATCAACATCTTTTTCCAGGTTTCTCTCTGTTGATCAAATTGTTTATTACTCACCCTCAATGAGAATGTCATTGTAGGTCTCGCCTTTCAGCCCAGGGTCTCCTTTTTCACCTGGGGGGCCTAGTCATTGACAGGTGTATTTAGCATTTCTAATGACTATGATCTATGTGTAGGACTAAGAAAATGTACATATATTCTAGCCTAAATATAGCCAAGCTGATCTGCATCCAGCATAAATCAGGTGTAATCATTCCAGTAAACAAAGTGTGTGTGTGTTTATCTGTTGTGGTGCACATCTAATGAGGGGCTTTAGTCTTAATCACGCAACAGATCTCTCACCTCTCCTTCCTCGTCTCCCCTCTGGCCCCGGGGCACCTTGAGGACCCGAAGACCCGGCTCGACCGGGCAAACCTGACGGGTAAAAGAACTGTGGCTGAAGTAACAAATTCAGTTTAGATTAGATCACTGATTAAGTTAATTAAGGGGCTTTTCTCACCTGGTGGTCCAGCTGGACCTGCAGGAAAAAAACAAATAATTATTTTACACAAATCCAAAAGTGTAAAGGGGGCAACAAACAACAAAAACCACAGCACTCGGATGTACAATAATTAAAAAGTGCACCTGTGAAACAGAGTCCTCTGGAGCTGTTACACAGATCCATGAAGGCTTTGACCTGAAAATAAGAGGAAAAGAATAATCATATTATCATTTGTAAGATTATTAGAGTTAAAAATATGATATGGTTAATTGATCGCTGACACAATCATAGCTGATAATCAATCAATCATTTTTTGCTGTTGGAACTTGAATTGTTTTACTGTCTTACATTTCCAAACGGATGAATCAAATAATCCAGAGAAATAAAAGATGCATTCATTTAAAATGAAGTGCAGTTAGCTTATTTACTATTGTTGATATCGTTCTGTCCGTATCAAAACTGGACTTTGTTTTGGTGAAAACTGTAGGCAAACAAACACAGCAGCGCCCTCTGGAGAAGTGCCAGTTCCCCTCGGCGAGGGAGGGGCAGACACGCTGCACCGCTCCGTGCAATTCATCCTGCAAACAATGAATCAACAGACCCTTGGATTCTTTTCATTTCACAGACGTATGACACAAAGGTTTCAACCAAAGAGGAAAGCAAAGAGTTCTCTTCTCTTCTCGTCTTCTATACTACTAACACATAGCATTATATTTTATTTTATTCCCCGTGCACTGTTGTCTTGTCGTAGAGTCAACTTTTCAATATTCACAAATCCATAGAACGAGCCCACATAAAAGCAATCAGGTGTCTTACAGGAACCATGGAGTACGTCATCAGCATCATCATATCCTTCTCGTCCTCGCTTCGTCTCGGTTCTCCTTCCTGGTTCCTTCTGCTGCGCTGAAGCTTCTTTAGATCTTCGGCCTCCGCAGGGTCTGCTGCCTGCAGCCTGTTGCTCCGTGACAGCACCTGCACCTGGGCGTCCAACCTCACCAGCTCCTCCGTCAGCTCCTTCTGTCGTACCAGCAGGAACACCAGACCCCCCGAGCTTGTGAGCAGCAACGCACACATCCCCGCCAGCAGCACCTTCCAGGCCAGAAGAGCTCCGCTCCTCTCCTGCATGTTTACGTCCTGCTCGCTCTTCCTCCACAACAGAGCAACCACTTGCCAACAGACGAGACGTCAGTACACTGGAGCCGTTGGAGAGAAACAAACACGTTGAGATCTGTCTGCAACCGGAGGGCGAGATGCATTGCACAACATCAAGCATCTGGGAAACAGTTCAAATCTGTCATTATACTTGACTTCCAAGCAGATAATGGAAATATTTCCAGCATGACACGCGTTCGTGCGTCTCATCGTTCGGATGCTCTTCCTCTCAATAATGCCACCAGTACGTCCTACACAAAAATACTTGGAAGTGGAATAAATAGGTTGTGAACAAGTGCAGCATTCTTTGGATTCACAAAAGAGCTTTCAGAGCGCTCTCAATAAAAGACTGTTAGTGTGTGGATGTGTGGATGTGGATGTGTGTGTGCGGCAAAATCTCCCTTTAATGAATATAGTTCCTTGTTTATGCATTTACAAATATAGGACATTTACAATTTGTTCTGTCTACTTCTGTCAGTGGAGAAGTAACAGTTCATTTTCTCCAGTTGCAAAAAGGTTTTATCATCCAGTTTAGTCTCTATTACAAAGAGGAGAGTGGGTTTCTCAGCCAACTTGGGATAAAAGCCCCCACCCAATTCCCTACATCTGAGGCCAACATCTTCATCTACAGAATACCAGCTATTCATGTACTAAGCTTGAAGGACAGCTTGCAGAAGCACTCAGCCTCTGCACTAATACGGGTTTCCATTTTGGATTTTTCTTCTCATTTTTAAAGTTGTCACCAGTTTATGTCATTTTTAAGACTTAAATAATAAAGTTGATGCTTTCTCGTGTTTCCAATTACAAATCCTAAATCCTTACTCCCTTTGGCACAGGTCATTGTGACCCGGCTAATTAATTTCTCTTCGAAAAGCCTCCTCTGGGGAACGACAGTGGGGCTTCTTTATTTTGAATAACAAAGCTAAATGTGAAGCAGATCAACCAAAAAAAAAACTGTTGTAAAAGACCTCCAGGTTTTGCATTCTTAGGAATAAAAACTTCCTTTTTTTTTTTTTTTTTTTTAGACGTTTACCGAAATCTGGCCTGAGCGCTGGTTGGCCATCTAATGGTACTTGTAATCCCAAAGTGGCGGCGTTTCCAAGCAACCAGTAAATGAGGGCTTAACCAAGGATATATAAACAGTTGAAGGACTGTGACTGTTTGAATGTTGATCATCTGACCAGTGGAGGACGAACTGCATCAATTTAAACGGCACTCTGAACGATCGAAAAGAACAAGATAAGTAAGTGTTATTTTTAGCACAATTTGCTAATGAACAATCAAGAAAAAGTAAAATACTCTCAAGGATAAAAGATGTAGAAACATTGAACAAATATTAATCCAAATATTAATTCAAACGTTTTACTTAATTTAATCTTTTTTTTTTTTGTACCTGTATTGAGGGAGTTTTTTTATTGTTATTATTTGTGTTATTTTAATTATGCAATTCAGTTGAAACAGCATGATTAACCTGTAATAACATTAAAAGACATGTAGGAATAATCTGTCCCCCACACATAAATGGATGTGATTGAAGAGCAGCTGTCTGAGTAACAAACAGTTGATCATAAAGGCTCCTGCTGGCGTGTGATTTGAATGTGTTCCATTGCTGTGTTATAGACAAGGACAATATAAAGGGACCCCCCCCCCCTCCCAGATTCTGGTTCCTCTATTTCAATCAAATCAAATAGAAGTGTTTGTGTCTGCTGGTTTTCAAAGGGGACAGAATCTGTTAGTGTGTGTGTATGTGTGTGTGTGTGTGTGTCTGTGAAAGGTATGCAGCAACCACTCACCGCCGGCGCCAAAGTGTCCGAAGTCACCTCCGTTCTGCTTCTCCTGCTGCTGCTGCTGCTGCTGTTCACGGCCCTGCACCGAATCAACCCGTCACAGATACCCGGTAAGACACTTCACATTCTGTTCTTGTACAAACCTTTCAGAGATTTATCGACACGCACAAGGGGCCGCAGGTGTGAGAGGGAGGAAGATGCTTCTCCGTCATGTTTTATCGATGATGACCTTTGTTTTCACGTGGACATTAGCAGCTTGGGGTCTAATACGGCTTCAGTCAACAGCTGTTTCTTTCTGCCAGGTCCGTGCTTCTTGGCAGGACTCGGTCCTATCCTCTCCTACGGCAGGTTCATCTGGACGGGGATAGGAACAGCCAGCAACTACTACAACAACAAATATGGCAGCATTGCCCGCGTTTGGATTAATGGCGAGGAGACACTCATTCTGAGCAGGCGAGTCTTTTCAGATGAAAACTCACCTCTTATCCCGTGAACCTGCAACGAGTCAAAGCCTGACTGCTCTTGCAGATCTTCAGCGGTATACCACGTCCTGAGGAGCACCCACTACACAGCCAGATTCGGGAGCAAAAAAGGGCTGGAGTGCATTGGGATGGAAGGGAGGGGGATCATCTTCAACAACGATGTCCTACTCTGGAGAAAAGTGAGGACGTATTTTGCTAAAGGTGAGCAATAAAAACAGTAGCGTGGTGTCTTTTTTGACCCCTCTCCCTTTCTTTCTTCCAACTCCGACTAAACGCCGCTATCTTGTGTTCAAAGTACTGGACGTCTTTGTGGTTTGTTTTTCTGCAGCTCTGACAGGTCCGGGCCTCCAGAGTACAGTGCAAATCTGCGTGAGCTCCACATCCAAACATCTGGACAACTTGCAGAAGATGACCGACCCCTCGAGGCACGTGGACGCTCTCGATCTGCTGAGAGTCGTCGTAGTGGACATCTCCAACAGACTCTTCCTCCGGGTGCCGCTCGACGGTCAGCAGCGTGGTCTGTGTCTGCACATTCTACACTCAAACTGTGTATTCTCAACTCATGTTGTCTCCTGTTGTTCCTCCTAACTCAGAAAAGGACTTGCTGATGAAAATCCACAACTACTTTGAGACCTGGCAAACAGTTCTTATAAAGCCCAATATATTCTTCAAGATCGGATGGCTGTACAACAAGCACAAGAAAGCGGCGTAAGATCCTGGCGCTTCACAGCGGCTCCTGGTTGGTCTTGTGGTTTCTTCAGAGTTGCTCTTTGTGTCAACAGGCAGGAGCTGCAGGACGTGATGGAGAGCCTCCTGGAGACGAAGAGAAAGATCATAAACGAGTCTGAGAAGTTAGATGACGATCGCGACTTTGCCACGGAGCTCATCCTCGCTCAGGTTGGTTGCTCTTGGAGAATCTGTACCGCCTGACCGCAGAGGCACCATTGTCATCGTGTCGCGTGTTCGCCCTTTCCTTTGGGCAGAGCGTCGGCGAGCTGTCAGCGGATAACGTCCGGCAGTGCGTGCTGGAGATGGTGATTGCAGCGCCTGACACGCTCTCCATCAGCCTCTTCTTCATGCTAATGCTGCTGAAACAGAACCCGGACGTGGAGCTGAAGATAGTGGAGGAGATGAACAGCGTTTTGGGTGAGTGTGTTTGTACTGTGTTATTCGCTAACTAAAGACAAAACTATTCCAACAATCCGTCAATGCTGCGTTTTCATTTCCAGGTGAAAAAGGTGAAAGCGTTGATTATCAAAGCTTGAAAGTGCTGGAGAGTTTCATCAATGAGTCCTTGAGGTTTCATCCGGTGGTTGATTTCACAATGCGAAAGGCTCTGAAAGATGACAACATCGAAGGCATGGAAATCAAAAAAGGAACCAACATCATCCTCAACATTGGTCTTATGCATAAGAGCGAATTCTTCCAAAAACCCAAAGAGTTCAACGTGATGAACTTTGACAAAACTGTAAGTCGGGTGAATGCGCAACAATCGATGTGTCTCTAGAAACAAAAATCTCAGTTTTTCCCTCCTGGGGTCGGCAGGTGCCCAGTCGTTTCTTCCAGCCCTTCGGGTGTGGGCCCCGCTCCTGCGTGGGCAAACACATCGCCATGGTGATGATGAAGGCCATCCTGGTCACCCTCTTGTCTCGTTACACTGTGTGTCCTCACAGTGGCTGCACCCTCAACAGCATCCGGCAGACCAACAACTTGTCACAGCAGCCCGTGGAGGACGAGCACAGCCTGGCCATGCGCTTCATCCCCCGGATCCCATCAGGACCAGGCAGTCCGCACTGAGACACGTGCAGGGGTCACATTGCTAATCCGGGTTTTCATGCGGAACTGACTCGTAAAAACCGAACACGGTCCCCTCGTCTTGGGGTTTTAAATGGATCGTTTGTAAGATGCCTGAAATCTGGTCCCACATGGAATGAAGGAGTTTTCATATTTGAACTACAGCAGAAAAGACTTCAGTAAATCCCTTTCTTGGATTTTTAAGGATTTTACGTGAACTAAAAAAGGTGGTTGCTAAGTGTCACAAAGAGATAACAAAACATCGTCACGCTGTAAGATCAGTTATTTGACTGTTATTTGACTGTTCGTTTGTAGAATATTAGAATTTTACTTCTGCTGATTCTATGAATGCTCAAAAAATATTTGTGTAGATAATCTAGCTGAACTAAAAGTGTAGCATAACATGTTGAGACAGATCTTATTTTCTGCAATAATCTCAAATCCATTGGAAAACATCATTGGCTTTTTGTAGGGAGAATCACTCGGAACCCTTTCTTACTAAATGTTTTCCCTTTGATTTAAGCAATACAACTGAAGGTTATCACATTTTTTTTATGAAATGCATTTCCAAATGTGGAGCCAACTTGGTTTTGTTTGCACCTGGACGGAGTCAAACAGCCCGTTTTTTGTTATTGTTGATCCTAGTTTTGTCTTGTCGATGATGACCGCGGTAGCAGCATTACAGTGGTTGATGAATCCAGATGAAACTAATTAACCCTCTGTATCCTACTGTTATTTCATGTTTACATCTGTATAGAAAATGTTGAAAATAGATACATAACAAAGGCTGCGAATCAAATGATGTGTTTGTTGTTTGTAGTTAGTAAACAATAGTCATTCAATAAACATTTGAAAATTCCATTTCTTCCACGAAGCAAATATCATACGAGGAAAGATCATCAGAAAGAAATGCTGGTCTTCAGGTCATGTGTGTTCATCGAAGAGTCCAAATCAAGTTGGTTTGAATGAGTTGGATTTATTTATAAGTTAGCAGAACGTCGTGACAGGCACTGTAGGAAACAAGGGTCTTCTCTGTACCACAGGCACGAATCAAACACGCCACCTTGGCATTAGAACTTAAGGCGTCAAATTGAGTTTTAAACACATTTCTACGTCCAGGCTGCGCTTCAAACAAGGACACATGCAACAAAGACCAAGCGCTCACTTCAGGTTGAATTAAATAATACAGGCTGTACAAGTCAAATCTGGCACAGAACGATCAAACAGTAGACGCAGCTTGATGATTTTCTTTCTTCCAGAAAAAACAAAAACATGTCAAATATTTTCCGTAAGAATATAAATCCAATAAATATATTTCTAATACTGCATTGATAGAAAAATATAATAATAATCAAGGAAAACTAAAACCACCCCTCCCCAAAACACGAGTGCATAGATAATCATATCAAATGAAAACAGGACAGATGGACAGTAGAGACATCGTTGCTTAGTTAAGTCAAAACACGCGTCATAGATGACAGAAATACGTGTAACTGCTGCAGTCAGTGAGTATAATGACAATAATACTATCCTTAAGACCAAGAGGGACGTAAAGCGGGAATGTCCTCCACACCAGGAGTAATAATGAAATTAATCTGGTTCAATATTTTCACTGTGTTTCTCCAAAAACTAACATCAAGCAGTCCAATGCAAGAATAAAGGCCGGCGCATGCTTCTGCGTTTGCGTCTGCGTCGTTGCGTCGACGCACTCGCTTCAATTCATGGTGTGTGTGCAGAGCACGCAGAAGCGCAGAAAACGCAGAAGCATAAACTAGGCTTAAATGCCATTATTCTTATTTCCACCCCCCCCCCCCCCAACCCACCAACCATGTTTAAACCTATTTAAGTGAAGCCCTGTCATCATTTTAAGACTTTGAAACGTAAAACACTCACAGGACAAAAACGCAACTGTTCGGCACTGAGGTTATTCCAGCCATGACATTCAAACAGCTGTGAGCCTGTGAATTATTCCAGCAATTTCACTGATAAAAAGAAATGTTTCAAGAACAAAATACAGATTTGAACTGGGAAAGAGAAAAAAAAAAAGTGGGAGAGATAAAAAAAAAATGGATGAAACAAAGGATGCTCTGCGCCACACTGCGTAGTGTCTGGAGGGCAGCTGGGCGCGCTGCGCAGTGGAGGAGCTGCACTCAGGGGCTCAGTGCTCCTGTAAAGCTCTTTGACAGTGGTACATCAGGCAGTCGGGCAGGTCGGGGACCGGAGAGCGCAGCCACACGGACAGCGCCCCCGCGTGCAGGCGGCAGTGCATCAGACACGGCTGATCTCGGAGGACTCGGCAAGCCACGATACCTTCCATTCCTGTGGGGAAGAGTAACAAGTTGTTCAAGTACTGGAACACTGCACCTTTCACACGCGTTTTAGCTTGATGCTGGAAAGACCCCTTGTGAGTTGGGACATAAACCCTCTGGGACATTTCATTCTTTAACGTGTCACCTCAGTAAATAAAAAAGGTCAAAAAGCTCAGCTTTAACATTTCACACTAGAACTCAATATCTGTTCACCAATGATTTCCACGACATGAAGCTTGAGTTTCTTCTTCAGCACATTCAGTGTGTCCATGAGAGGTTCTTGGCCAAGACAAATCGGTGTCAGCTTCTGCTTTGTGTCATGAGAGAAGTCCAGCCACATTGTCCCGTACTCCTCGGTGGACACGGTCAAAGGTCTGAAGGAAAGGGGAAATTACAGTAAGCAACAGTTAGAGTAGGAGCGTCCTTTCTGCGAGATCACACTTAAAAAGGAAGGAAATATTTCACCTGATGAAGCTGGTAAGAGGCAGTTTGTATGAAAACTGCACCGACTGAGACGTCCCAACAGGAAGTTGATAAGACACCGTCCCGGCCACTTCAACGTGGACGGAAGGCTTCTTCACAGTCAGTGAGTACTGACACACTGCTACGCTGCGGCTCCTCGCCTCCTCAACCGGACTGTCGCCTTCACACGATACCTGAAACATGCAGAACAACAAAAGGCTGTTTAATATGAAAGTCCTACAAGGAGAGCATTGACTTACACTAATTATTCCCTGCCCTGTAGTTACTGTACCTCAAGTTCATCGGAGCGGAGCTCTAGTAGTATGTGAGGAATGGCATCGTCAGAAGAGTTGTACATGAAGACAACCAGCACTAAAGAGTCCTCTTTCTGCACATGACAGGCAGAGACATCCAGGCTTTGGTTGGAGGCCAGAGGAGAGATGTCTGAGTGACAGAGTCCAGAGAACTCTGCAGGAAGATGAGCGCTAAAGTCTTTCAGTTTGCCTCGGTCTCCACGTGGAGCTGGATCAGCCGCTACGAGCCGGTTATCCCCAATGAGAGAGGCGCTATTTTCCTTCACGTCCCTGTCCGTTGACTCTACAGCACAGGCGCCGTTCGCAGCAGGGAGGTCGCGAGAGAGTTGGGGCGTCTGTTCGAGTGAAGGAGCAGCCGTTTCTGAGGTGATATTGGAGTCCAGGAGGTCGTTACACAGCAAGTTATTCGCCATGCTCGAAGCGGAGACGGAGGAGTTGGATATTTGCTCGCCCGTACTGGAGGACAGGACTGGACCTTTTGCTTTTCTTCTGAATCGCTGGGTTGTCGCCTCAGGTTTTCCCATCTGTCAAAAAGGAACATTTTGTTGTTGCAGCCTGTCACATGGGAGGATTTGCTGCTGTCACATGAAAGATTGGAGCGGAGTACATTTACAAACACATTGCTATGGAGACCACAATGGTAACAATCAACTTTCATGGCATAATGTGAAAGGGGTAAGTGGAAACTGCAAAACCTCTTAGGGGCTGAGGAGGAAACCTGTCACTAGCAATGTCACACAGCCTAAAGCATAGATCCATCCATCCATCGTCAAACCACTTATCCTGCACACAGGGTCGCTGGAGTCCATCCCAGCCAACTTCAGGCGATAGACAGGGTACACCCTGGACTGGTCGCCAGCCAATCACAGGGCTACACAGAGACACACAACCATTCACACTCACATTCACACATCTACGGGCAATTTAGAGTCCCCAATCAACCTGATCCCCAGAGCATGTCTTTGGCCTGTGGGAGGAAGCCGGAGAACCCGGAGAGAACCCACGTAGACACGGGGACCGCGCCGCCTTCATTAGAAATAATCAATTCAATTAACTCAAAAAGAGGAATTCAAAAGCTGACCAGACACAAAGAGCTTTGGGAGCCCAAGCCAACAAACAGCGAAGAGGCCAGCTGCTGTTTCTCTTGTTCGGGCTGCGGGGTCGGTTTCAGCGTGGGAGTCTGGCTGGGGGGCCCGTCAGCCCCTGCCTGCTGGTTGGGTGACTGCAGGGGACCGGTAACCTCAACAAGGTCCGACTCCTCCACAGGTTCCGTCTGCACCAGGTAGCCCTGCCTTCCCCACACCCTCTTCACACCGTCCAGCTTTGGAGTCGTAGAGCTGAAAGAAAAGCCAAAGTTCGAATCCGGCTTTGTATCTGTGTGTAACCTGTTTCACAGACAGCGTAGCTGTTTTTGTGTGTTTGATTGTTTGTCCACGTACCCTCCTTTTTGAGAGAGGCTGGGGCTGTCACCCGACAGACCAGAGCTTACAGACAACAGAGTAGGCGACTGTCTGTCTGCGATGCTGCACGACGACATGCTGATGGGGAGGCCGTATGGCTCCATGCTCAACGCTGAGGAAAAAGTCAAAGTCAGGAGAAATCAAAACGAGGCAGAGCATGTCCACGTGCATGTGCGTTCGAATCTGTCTAAGCCTCAATATTTCACCTTTTGCCTGAGCCAGCTCCTCCTGCCGCTGATGATGGGGCTTGTATGGGGCCGCGCCCGCCGCCAACGCCTCCGACACAAATCCATCCAGAAACGACAGAGAGGAATCCACCTGGACGACAACGTCATTAACAACAAAGTTTAAGCTTCTCCTTTGGTGGAAATGGGAAGATTATTTTCTGTAGGACAAGACTTGTTATTTGTGTGTGCTTGCAAATATAACTCCTATAATATATGCAGTACAAAATAAAATCATTATTGTTCTTCACAAAGATGATTTTCCCACATGTTAAACATTACCGTTGGTACCGTTGGAGGTAATTTTCAAAGAGGTTGTGAACTGCCCGTGTTTTACAGTTTGTAGCCCCACCCATCAGACAACTTCAGACAGGCTTTACCCGCTGCTTTGATCATCCATACACAGTAATTAATATAATATACTGGGTTTGAAAGAGGGCAGGTGCCGGCAGGTTTTAGTTTCCCAGTGATCGGATAATAAGCACCAACGCTGCCAGAGGGGAGATACTACAAAGCAACAAGTGCTGAGGTTCACTGAGTTAAATCATGGCGCTTTCGTTACAAAAGCTTCAACACCAGCGGGCCTTCATGGTAAAACGTAATGTTTCCAATACAGCACGTTTCCATAGGGTACATGAACACAATATTACAGCCAATTGCAGTAATTCTGCAGCGTAGGTGCGTTACCTCCAAGGGCTCCGAGCCGGCTTCCCGAGGGAGCACCTTTGCTCGTAGGTCCCGGTCTTGGCTGAGGTGCTGCAGCTCTTGAGCCCTCTGTCTCAGCGCTGTATCCAGGGAGCTGCTGTATGTTTCACAAACCTCCTGGGCCACAGAGACACCCACGCCGCCCTCACAGACCTTGGTCATTGCCATGAGCACCCAGCTCTTGGTTTCACTGCTCGTGCTCTTCGTGTCCAATAGTTTGGCCAGCAGCCTCAGGACTGTTGCCGCGTCAAGTTCCCCCCTCAGATAGGAGTATTCCCCGAGGACCTGTGCATGACAAGGGGCAAAAATGTTGGGCGTTATTCTATGAATGTCCTTCCGTGTGTGGTGGGTTGTGGATTACATTTCAAACCACAAGTAAAGGAGAGTAATAACAGTAATAAAACATTTTTTCTATCCACGGTTGACTGTGTATTTTGGGTCATTCCTGTAAGAAAAATGTAATGACAAGTTACTAGATAGATACTGTACTATGTCAGTATCAAATTGACATTAGGATCTTACTCGCCATGATTAAACCTGTCAACTGCTTGAGATCGTCTCACTTGTGATCATCCAACAGGACACACACTAGCATGACGGTACTTGTCGGAATGTCAAGCTAAGCTTTGAACGACCCACCTGAGGAGACTCGTTATCATCTTTTTTAAAACTAGAATTGTTGCTTTATGTTGTTGCCTCTATTTCCTACTGCTATTCCCACAGATTTTCACTGAAATCGTGAAGTAAATAATGAAGTAATAACGGTTAATGTTTTGGGGTTTTTTTATGCACAGAAATTTTAAAGTGCTCTAAAGTTGAATCCAAACCTTCATTTTTCCCTCTCCTGCTTCTTGTGATCATTAGTATTACAAAAATACTGACGCAAACTGCCTTTTGTGGTGCAGCACTCACCCAGCTGATGACTTGGAGGAAGCGCTGTGGCAGTTTGCCAGGCTCTCCTTGCAGAAGAGAAACATATGAATCCACAGCGAACAGCTTCAACTTCCTGTCCTCCTCCACGCTGTCGAATCCTGGGTCATTAAAGAGACATTAGCATTACAAAATTAGCAATCAGCAGAAAATAAATGAACTATTACAACTGAGCGGAATAACACCGTTGGTATATGTTGAGGTTGTATATATATGTGTGTGTGTGTGTGTGTGTGTGTGTGTGTGTGTGTGTGTGCGTGCTTCTCACCCTCAGATAGCAGTTTAAGGAAACTGTTTGGGATGTCGGGCTGCATCGTGTCTCCACCCACTGAAAACACTGTGCTCATGGTCTCAATGAACCATTCGTTATTTGGTGCATATGTAGAATGGTTTATAGAAAAATCAAACCATTACATAGGAACAAACAAGGTATAAATAATACAAGATTTACATTTTTTTAAATGCAATGCAATGCAATTCGATTTTTGAATTAAGTAGCCATTGCAGGCTCTTGATTCAATATTTATTGCACATTCATTTTATGACTCGTTTTTAAATTCCCCAGTCAAAGCGGGACACCACGTAGATCTTAAAGGATATTTTTCTGCCAACTCTGCCACCTTCCCCACCAGGTCAATGGTAGTGTAGTCATCTTTATTGCCGCGCAGAAACTCCAGCATCTTCTCGACGATGACTGCGACATTCTGGGCGTTAGTGATCCGAAAGAGCAACTCCAGGGTCTACAAAGAAAAAACATAAAAAGTCCAATAATGCTGTAAAACTACATTTCTACAGCACCAATGGAGAGTACATCAGTGACTGCCTTACCTCACGCTTGATGATGAGGTCGGGGTGATCAAGACACTCAATGATGGTCACCTGATGCTGGAGGGCCAGTTTAGGATCCTGCTGGACCACATAGGTGAGGGCCTTTAAGCCTGCAGCAGCATCAAAACGAAACAATTTACTGAAGTCAATGTTTGAAGTCTTGAATGAAAACTATTGCAACAAAGAAAAATGTTTTCTTTGAATCTTACCTAGATATTTGAGATTAATCTTTGTTGACAGAACAAAGTTGCCGATGCACTTTGCAGCTTTCTCCAAAAGTTCAGATTTGGGGTGAATTGTGTAAATGCATTTTACACACTCGTATAATATTGCTGTAAATAAAGACAGCAGCTGAATAAAATACATAAATTATGTTAAACTGAATTTGCAAAAGATGACACTTTAAATTGGACATACCGTAGGTGATGTTATGATTTATTTCTGCTCTTCGTAAAGACTCCTCGAGGATGTCATACATGATCTCACTTGAACTGTCGAACAAAAAACAGACTCTCAAAACGCACTCAAAGATTTGAGTACAAAGCACAACTACATAATGGTTTAATGGCATCTGTAATAACATAGTCATTGTTGAACAAAAAACATTTACCTTTGGTCATTTTTCCCAAGAAAAGCCAGAATTCTGAGCAGCTGAATTTGGAGCCAAGGAGCAGGAACACTGTGATAGTTAAAGTCCATGGGCAGTTTTCCTGCCACCACTTGCTTCAGTATGGTGACAAAACTTGCCGTCAGGTCTTTATAACCTTCTGGATTCTCCTGTAATCAACGAAAAATAAGTGATGAGACTGGATTCATTAACAGAATCTACAAACCTAAAAAATAATTACCTGGATCATCTGTAAGTAGATGTGTAGGGACGCTGTCATAACGCCAGGATCCTTGTCACAGAGAGCTTTACGAAACTTGTTGTGGATGTGTTGAACTTGATTTGGCGCTATTAGGTAGAACTTATAAAGTGCCAGGACTGCTTTTCTGCGAATGATTTCTCTGCAAATGCACACAGAGGATCGCTAATAAATGATAATATAAAAGCAGATTTTGAGTGAATTTACTTAATTCATATTGGTCGCTATTTATACTGAAAATGTATACAGTGTTTCTTACTTCGGGTGAGTAAGTTTCTCCTCAACCAAAGGAAGGATTGCAGGAATCATATCTTTGGGGAACATTTGGCTGACAACGGTTAGAGCCATGCACACTTCAATGAGATTTGTGCTCTGAAGATCCTAAGAACAGAAAATACATCAACATCTCCTCTGGCAAGAGCCGGAAGACAAATGCTGTGAAAGCACAACACCCACCTTTAATACAGTGTTCACAAGAAGAAGCAGCAGCTCGTGACTTTCGTTCAGAAACAAAGACACGGCGAGGTAACCTGCAATGCATAAACACCAACTTATCTTTTGTTCAAAGAAGTTCGGCGAGATGCAGGGAGTTAAAGTTGCTTTGAAGCTTTAAAAGCTCTAATCTACCAATCGCCTTCTTGTGTTGATAATGAGACTATTGAATTGAGTAGGTACTCTTATGAATAAGCTTTCCAGCTCTTCACAAACAAACGTACCAACTCTTTTCTCCAGAGCAGTGCCTTGTTGAGCGAGTTTGATGGCATGAATATAGCTGAACGAAGCCTCATAACCGAGCATTTCACAGTAGATCGCTCTCACCATGAGCTCCTTCATCTGCCTCTGCAAGGGATTAGGTCACAAGGAAGGGGGAAACAAATCCATCATTTAACTCATCACTGGACTGCTTTGACTCATCTCATTTCTGGAACCAAATAGGAAAATCCGGAGAATCGTACCATGGAGGTGTTTGGGGAGGACACCTGCTCTTTGATAGAGGCTAGTTCACGTTGAATAAGTTTTTCCTCTTCCTGAAAAGGGGAGAAGGACATTTAAGGATATTAAGATCAAATACTGTACACATGCCTGCTAACATCATACACTATTATGCTATTATTTGCTGACAATGGTCATGTGTGAAGCACAGTCAAGCCTTGATAGGTTGGTGGACGGTAAAACGATATGGTCAATAAACTAAAAACAATAAGATGCACTTTACATTACTTTTAGTCATTGCCTAAAGTATAACTTGTAAGTGTTCACTGTAAATAAAGCTGAAGACACTTTATAAAAAAGGCAACACATCGCAGTGAACATCAGATATACCTGGCTAATACCGTTCAAACTATTTCTAATTGGTGTATTCTAGTATGTAGAGGATATTACAAAACTAAAGGGGCGGTAATTGAGAACTGGCTGAACGATGAGAGCAAAATTTGTCCCAATGAAGTTTTACTTACTCAGTCTGTCACGAGCAAGTGAACGCAACACCACAAACACGTATTAAAAATAGTCCCAGCTCTGTTTTCTTCTATATTATCACGTGATGGTGACATAGAAGGAACACGAAGATCCCAGTAAATAAGTGTAAAACATAAACGGTAATCCAGGGAATACAGGCACAGAGTGGCTTAAAACACGTAAACACACCTTTTTGGAGTTAGCATAGACAGTTTAGCAAGCTAACGTTAGAGCAATTCATCCAATGAGGACTCTTCCTATTTCACCTGAGCTCCATTTCTAAGGTGGCACTCACATGTTTGGACGTTAACTCGGTGATTCCTCTGATGAGGTTTCCTAGTTTTGAGGAGGAGGACAGTTTTGTAGATCCAGAGTGAGAGTCTAAAGACAGCAGACTCGGCAGAGCTGTCAGGGTCTTTTCCACGACATCGCTCATTTCAGCAACGAAAAACTGGGCTTTCCAGCAGTCCTATTCTTTAAAGATATACGTATCAAATTATCTATCCATCCCAGAAACAGGTAATTAAAGAGAGCACGTGCAAACCTTATTGTTAAGCGTTTAAAAGAGCACGAGAGGACACAAGCTCGCTTGACAGTCGGCCATTGTTTTGATGTAGCCGACTGACTAGTGATGTCACTTCCGCTTGAACTGGGGAAACTTTATTAATAAACCTCAAATAACAGTGGCGGTTATTCTTGTCTAAATAGATCATTGCAAGAACACAAAAGAATAAGATCAGGTAAAGAACAAAAGGGAGAGTGCAATGATATTCAAAACTCAGTTTATTATGTTGGTAATACTTTGATAAACAGTCCCTTTAATAACTACACTAAACTACAATGAAATAATTTCCGTAAATATTAAATTACAGCCATTGGACAACTGCTTGATAAGAGTACATTCTAGAACATGTTATTTTATTCATATGCATTAATATTTATACATCTAGCAAGGGACCACAGAGTCTAATTGCAGTGTCCACATAGAGCAGTAAGTGGGTAACAACAGCTGGAAAGAGACACATAGGAGGTAAACCATCTTTTTAAATAATTTGGGAGGGAAATTACAAAGTATATATTTTAGATTTATCTTTAAATATGTGCTGCTTTTTACATCAGGATAGTATCGGCAGCTGAGATGCTGTCAAGGCTTGTTGGGTGGACAGGGTGTGGAATCAAATCTATTTCTGTCCTATATCATCCTCATAAACTACAAAGTTGTACTTTCGTTCATTACTATATTATGCCAATGCTCAGTCATATGGCTTCGAACTATCGATTCATTTCTACAAGACAATCAAATTGTCCTTACTATCCCTAATATTCCAACTGTTCTGCGGCATAAAAAATTGAAGCAAGTCAAGTGAAGCTGAGGCCTTCATATTCTTTCCTAGAATCCTATGTTCTTCTTCAGACGGCATTCTTTCATAATCTTTTGTGCAAGAAACAACAAATAAATCAAAAAATAATATCCTTTATGTCGGTGCTTACAACACATCACTTTATTGTGACACTTCTATTCTAGTTATTTTTGTGCAATATACATTTAACATCTTAAGTTGCAACCATAAGTACGTTTGTGCAATTTTCTTTCAATCATCCTGTAATATAAGCGTGCCATTTGGTTTGATTAGTCTCTAAAATATGTCAATTTACGATGGCCATGAGACTGGAGTATATACAAAGCTATTGATATGCACTACGTACAACCAAGGCTGAGTTTCTATCTCTGTGATTGTACTCTAGCAAACAGAAATGTTGGTGTCTTCAGAAGGTCTGTCTACCATTCAATCCTCTGCGTCTTCATCCTCAAGCCCAGACCTGGAAAAATCAAAACAGCAGACATCACAAGAACTCACCAACCTTTCACTGCACATTTGATCGTCAGTTGAGACGAGAACAACAGACGTTTCATACCCGAAGAGTGTGGTCCCAGGAACCCGTGCAGAAGGCCGTCCCATCTGGAGAAACGCGCAGGGTACTGACCCGGTTCTCATGGCCAAACAGAATGGAGACGCGTGTCCCTTTGAGAACATCCCAAACATTGATGGTGTAGTCGTTGTAGCCTCCAAACAATAACCGTCCTATGAGGTTAACAAAAACAACAAAGACTTAACTCTGCGCACAAAAAATTGAGGCTTTGATTTGTCATTAACTGCTGTTTGGTTGAGTAACCCGACTATTACCGAGGTGCGTATTTCTTACCACTGAGAGAGAAATCAACACTGGACACGCCAAATATGATGCTCTCTTTAGAATAAATAGCCACTTCTCGGTCTGCCCTTAAGTCATACAGCCGGCACTGTAACAGAGGTCAGTGTTTGAATGTTCGAAAGTTATTTTCCACACGTTTCTGTTTCCACTGCATGTGGTAAATATCAAATTACTTACCGTAGCATCATCTGAGCCAGAAGCAAATGCATCTCCACTTGGATAGTATCTGTTTAAAAAAAAAACAGCCTTCGTTAGGAAAGAATACTTCTCTTGTGTAGGATTTGATTATTTCCGACTTTTGGCGACTCCCAGTGGTGGTATGAAGAAGATACGGTGCCGTAAACTAGCAGCTTAACTTGAAAGATGCACAATACATAACACTTTACACAGACATTTTTATAATATCATTCATGAAAAGAATGATCATTTTCACCATTGGGAGTAACTTACCGCACACTATTTATGTCTGATTCATGAGTTTCAAAAGACTGAATACACTGTCCTGAACGCATGTCCCACACGTTGGCCTTCTTATCACAGCCCTGCAGAATAGAATACAGAATAATGAACAATCTGACCAAATGTGTGAAGGAATTAAGTCACATTTAAACAGCAACAAACTGTAGGGAAAAGTGTCCTCACCCCTGAAACAAACGTGTTTCCAGTCTCAGAGGGGGCCAAGTCCAGACAGAGCACATCTGCAGCGTGTCCATGGAAACTCTGCAACAGCTGCCCGCTCTCAACATCCCATAATGCACATGTTCCATCCCCGCTGGACGTCAGGATCTTTAACACAAGCAGACAATAAGGAGGAAGAACGGTGACTCTTCTGAAGATCAGTAAACACACAAAGCTATAAATGGATTTTCTTTGTTGTGTGAAGCATCACGTGACCGGGACATCAAACCAGGAGCAATTGGCTGCTGTAAATTATTAAAAAGGGAGGAAGCTCTCAGTGTATGATCGATGCTCTGACCTGCATATCTGAGTTGGTGAAGCTGCAGGCCGACAGATAGTTTGTGTGCATGGCCACCGATTTCTTCTTGGCAGCCAAGTTCTCATTCTTGTCCAGAGAGAGAGGATACACTGAACATTTATTATCCAGGCCCCTGTGACAGGAAAATGACCGAAGCTTAAAAAAAGGAGAACGGAAAAGCAAACAGATGACACACAACATTTGGATACGAACAGCAACACACTCACCCACAAGCCACGGCACAGCCGGAGGGGGCGTAGGCGCAGGCCATCACCCAGGTGCAAGGCATTGTCACAGCGTGCTCCTAATAAATATCAAAACCCAAAGCTGCATGAGCCGCATCAGGACAGCAAGATGAATTCGATGAATTATAATCAATTATTTACAGTAGAACAGGAAGCTTTGGGATGCTACGGATCGGCGACGCGACCGTTTGTCCAAGAGCAAAAACGATATGAAGCCGTGGTTGGTATCATAAATAGAATTTAGACATTTGTGTGGTCAATTGTCACTAAAAAAAGAAATCTGTGATGTCCCTTCCCTTTCGTCCTCATTCATTTAAATAAAACAGCATAGCAGACTGTAGATATTATGTTGGAAATGTTCCACATCTCCTCGTCCATTATGCCTCATATATTTGATTTTGTACACCATTTTGCACAAAGTGAAATTCTCAATTAGAGGTTCAATAGATGATGTTTTTATAGAATGGGTCAGCCCGTTTTTTCACAATAAGTTACTAAATTACAATTTATGCACCTGTTATATTAACTAACCTTATTTTAGAAGCTAATCAAATCTGTATTCTTGCCTTTAATATTTAAGTTGCCATTACCAACATGTTTTTGTTTAAAAAAAAAAAATAAGTAGAGTAATAAGATAAATCCGATGGGTCATGAAATTATTGTGTTCATAAATATTCATTTTGGATTAAATGTTTTTTTTTCCCCACTTGTCTTTAGTAATATGAATTATTTCTCAATTACAGATATTTACATTTCATCATCATTCGTTCTGAGGAATTACACGCCAAAAAGGTTCTATTACAAAAAAATAGTTTAGTAATAACATTAGTAGAATACATTTATGTTAGAAAAGACAACGTTACCTTGTTGGTGGTGAAAGCGTCCCAAACGATCACCTTTCCATCCTGCAAAGAGATTAAAACAAGTACAGCAAAGAACACATGCACTGTAAATCATGCAATCACACACTGGGATACAAGCATGTAAATCAGTACGAGGGGAGAATGTGACCTGTGAGGAGCTGACGATCCTCCTCTTGTCCTTACACCAGTCCATGCACAGAACTTTGTTGCCATGTCCCTTCAGAGTTCTTCGGGTCTTCATAATAAACTGACCCAGCCCATCCACCTTCTCTGCCACCTGATGTACTGCGCGCACACACACACACACACACACACACACAACATTAAATCCTCCCCTGGATGAATATTGCCTGAGCAATCAGGATTAAAGTGGACCTACGACATAGAAATAATCTAAAAATAATCTTTTTTTTTATTTTTTTTATTCTGCCATGTCTTCTCACAAACAAACATGGACTGCAAAGGCAGCCTCGTATTAAACATCCGCCATATATCCGAGATGTCATTGGACCAACCATCCAGAAGGGAACAGGGGAAGCGAACAAACATACTGCTTCAGCTGCCTGTCAAATATGTGATGTAACGATCGGGTCAATAATGAGCTCGGACACGCTGACGTAAAACTGTCATCATTTGTCCTCCCCGCTGAAAACACATTTGTTAGACATTTGCCGTTATTCGTCCCGCCGGGGCGGGAAGGCGGCGGTGGGTGGAGGCCTCTCCATTTTCAGCAGCACTCACGCTCGACGTCGTGCAGCTTCGCTCGTTCCTCCTCCAGCTTCGTCTTCAGGGTGTCCGACTCCGTTTTGAGGTGGGTCAGAGTCTCGTTCGGCTGTACCTCCTGTGTCGCCATTTCAGGGACGCGAGGGGATCTCATATATTTCCTTCGTGCAGGCGGCGATCGGCAGCGAAACGGTTTCAAGCGGAGCTAACAGCTGATGCTGCGGTCATGACGTCACAGGGAGAAGATGCTCCTCCGGTTTTCAAATGGAGGAGGAGGAAGAAGAGGAGGAGGAGGGGGGGGGGGGACCTGCATCCCGGTGATGCTGCAGCTCCGTACGGGGCTGCATCCTCAGCAGCCCCCCATTCTACTTGTGAATTATTCATTTAAATACTTCCGGCATGGAAAACACAATACTGTATGTAGGCTACTATCTAAAATACATTTTTGTTATTGTTTTGTTTCGTCTAATCTCCCACCACTTGGGGGCGTGGTCCCGCTGTCACTTGGATGAGAGGTTTATTTAATGAGCGTTGGGTCACTTCTTGATGCAGACTGACATTTTGGACCATTTAACACGCTGTGTTTGAACGTGTATCAAAGCAGATATTTCAGTCGATTAATATTTAGTCAATGGCAACAAGTTGCAATAAAACATATAAATCAATATCATATATAATCTCCGGTTTTGAGCCCATGATTCGAAAAAAAGTATTTTGATTGATTCCACTTTTAATCACACTGACAAAACTGAATTCATGTTGATGGGTATTTAATTGGCTCATACACCCAATGACACAGAGCAGAGAAAAGCAGCAAATCTTCGCACCAGAGCCAGAGAACCTGAGAACAGATGAAGTATTTGAATACAAAATGAAGCCATTTATCAATTACAAATTATCATTATACCATTAGGCCCCTATTTTAAATATATTTCGTTCATTGTCTATTTAAAGTGTTTACATATTTATATATTATAGTAGTAGTCCACTGGCTCATCGGTCATGAGGTTGAAGGCCGGCTGTGTCAGATCCTGGTTAGAAAGCCCAGGTGAAGGCTGCTCGGGACCTGCAGCAGCTCCAGAGCCTGCGAGGACGGGCGGTAAGGAAACGTGACCTGGAACCGATAGTCTGAGTCCAGCATCAGCTGTGAGGTGGACCCGTCCCGATCATGCAGTAAAGACTGCAACAAGAAGAAACTCGGCCCATTGAGTCAAGCATTTCATGGCAGTACACAGTAAATACAAAATGCGTGTTAAATGAAACAATCAAGCTCACCTGAACTTTGCGAACAAATGACGACGTCACCCTTTTCTCAAAATCATCAATGGGCGTGTAGGAGTTTAAAATTTTCACAATCTGCAAATTGAAATGTTTTGTTTCGGTGTTAAACTGGATTAAATAATCAAATCAAATATACGGCATGTGTTGCATGAACAAAATACCTGAACAGGGTTGAGCTCGGTGCATTTGTCAGTGATCTCTTTGGCGTCGTCGTCAGTGGACTTGTTGACTTGCAGTAGCCAGGCGGCCTGAGACAACGGCTGCAGAGTATCTATAGCATGAGAGCTTTGCAGCTCCTTCTCCTTCAGCCATTCCTCCAGGTAACTGATGTTACACCTAAAAAAAAAAGACAACAGCCATGAGCTCATCTTTGTCTGCGTAAGTAACTGTATCCATTCTCATAAAACCAACCGCGGACCTGATTTGCATTCCCTTTCTGCAGGAGCACATGTCTTTGCGGAGCATGATGTTGTTGAGGGTGGTCGCACCGACCAGGAAGAACATTTGCTTGACGGCCTGGTTGATGAGCCCCGGCTCCATGCCATGCTGGCTCATGATGGAGTGGAAGACACTGAGCTGCTGGACGATTGAGGAGATGGTGTGCGTCTCGGAGTCCTCGCAGGTGCTGTTGGAGCGCTTCCTGAAGCCCGTCGGCTTCATGCTAGAAAACCCCTGTAGGCTCTCGTGCTCCAACAAAGCGGGTACTGTCGGGCGAGAAAGCCAAGCAGCAGGTGTAAGGTTGCTTGTAAAGCACCGACGCGATCAGAATCTGCACGAGATAATGGTGATTCTAAAATACCAATTGCTGGAGTTAGAGTCTTTTCCATGACGGAGACAAACTGGTGGTAGATTTGAATGGCCAGGTCACTGAAAATCTGTCTGTGTTCCGACAAATCGAAATTCTGCAAGCAATTCTTTTTCTGTCGAGGAGTATTTTGCTTCAGGAACTCCTTTTTGTAACAAAGAGAGACAAGAGAACGTCAAAATGGGCCTTCTGTGGGAATGCGATTTCTTTGAATGAAATAGTGCAACCAGGGTAAACGCAGACCTCCTCCCCGCTGTACTGTTTCAGACAGTTGAGCAGCTGATACGTGTTTGAGAGCCAAAACGACAGCAACTCAAAGTCTTTGCGATGACTCTGAAATTAAAATTAAAAAAAAAAATGTGTGTAGTTTGTTTTCAGCAACCAAAGGTTTGTAATTCAGACGTTACATTTTTTTGAAATCCAGTTACATCGTACATCTCGTTTCCAAGCTGTTAATCCTGCTGTTTTTGACCTCATCAACTTATCAGGAAGTAAAAGAAAGAAAGAAAAACTAGACTGCTGCCCACATTCAGGCTATCTAATCTGAATATGGTTATTAATAATAGGTTATTAATTATATCATGATACTGTTGTTCATTTATCAACTCTTAAATTGAGATAAAGGATGCTAAAATGAGAATCAACCTCACCATGATGACTTTTTTGACAGCACTGATGATCCCGCTCATGAGAGACTTCAATTTGACTTCATCGTTCAAGTAGTCGGCATGGCGGACGCACATGAAGAGGATGTACGCTGGCAGACCGGGAATCACGTTGACCACCACACCTTTGGGCTTCAGGTCTGTGAGGGAAACACTTTCATTATAATATGTTCCTGGTTAAAAATCAAAGATGCAAAGGAGGCCAAAAAAATGAATGAATGATACCCAGAATGATGTTTTGAATGAGCTTGGATTCATCCTCTCTCTTGTACTCCAACATTCCGAGGTAATCTTTGGGAATGGCTGGTGTGGGCGTTTGCTCGGCTGTGTGAGAGACGTTAAAGCCATGAACACAAAGAAGGTGGATTCACATCTTAATATTGTTTGTGTACAAACCACAGCACTACCTTTCTGTGATGTTTGAAGGCTCTTTATCTGATTCTGCAGTTTCTTTATTATTCTGTCTTTCTGGTCGAGCTGCTCTTCAAAGTCCTGAAAGAAAAGCACAATTTGTTTCCGTCTTTCTGCACACTCTCATATTATAACCCTCCATATCCGCGCCCACACACACCATATTCTCAGCGGTTAACTGTGAAGTCTCCTGTCTCAGTTTGTTCTTGGCCTCGCTCTCCATCAGCAGCTGCCTCTTCAAATGATTGGTCTCGTCTTCCAGATCCTCCACTCTGCCTTGAAGCTCCGTCTTCAACTCCTCCAGCTCTTCAGCTTTTTCCTCAAAGTGCCTGAAAAGCAGCAAAAATCAGGCCGACTCAGAAAAGGCCGTCGCTTCTTCAATCAAGAGACAGACTCCAATCTGTGAGTTTTACCGGCGTTGGGAGCTTTCTTCTTGAATCTTCTTTTGAAAAATGGTTGTGATCTCCTCGGTTTTTTCTTTCAGATGACATCAACAAACAAAAAAATGAATTAACTGGTTGAAATTGTAATCTGAAATAGAGCTTCGTGGTGAAATGGTCGGGGCGATCTACCTGCTAGCTCTCTGCTCTGCACCTCTAGGTGGGACTCCAATTCTTGCTTTTGTCTCTGCAGCTCTGAAGCCTGCAGCTTGAGCTCCGGTAAAACCTGTGGATCACATGAAAATAAGGCAATTGACGGAATATTCTGCACCTAAACTATTGAAAGGAATGAAATATGGGATAAAGAATGTAATAACCCACTGAGTTCTCGCTGCTGAGTCTGGCCACTTCCTGGCGAATATTCTCATTGAGGTTACTTTTCTCCTGGAACAGGTTCTGCAACTTGCTGTTCTCATTTTGAAGGTGGTCCATCTTCAAGTTTAAGCCCTCCACTTGTGTCTCGTGGCTTTCCTTCAGCTCCTTCTGGCGGTTTTCTAGTATTCTGCCGTGGTGCCGTGTGAAACAAGATGAAGAGTAAAGAAGATTGTAATAGCAATGGCGTTAAGTGAAGGGATTCTCATGCCGTCAGTAGAAATAGACCTGATCGCTTTCTGTAGACCATCAAAGGAAGCCAGCAAATCATCACCTTCATCAATCTCCTCAGAGTCGTCTGGAGTTTGCCTTCAGAGACACAATGCGTGATATTATTTGACTAAATGAGATATGGAACAACTGTGTGGGAGGAACGTCTAAAATATTTCAGTTACCCCAAAACAACGTCCTCCTCTACAACATCACCACGAAGTTGTCTCGTAATATCGTTCATTTTAGCTGCAGAAAGATATTCAAGTATCATCAGCGCAATATATTGTCTTTATTTATGTATGATAACGTATTATCTACTAGCTGAAGGTACAACTATACAACTATAAGGTATGTACCTCTTGCTTGTTCTGACTGTTGCTTCATCTTTCGGTCCATGCTGTTCTTCTGGTTTTGCAGTTTGTTGAGATCTCTGCGGAGCTCCGGAATGACCTTGACGTGTTTGGTGAGCTGGACGAGCTGCTCCTGAAGGTCGGAGTTCACCTGGCCGCCCTCCTCGATCTTTCTCTGCAGGGAGACTCGCTCTTCTTTCAGTCTCTTAATCTCCTCCTTCAGAGATTCCACTTCCCTTTCATGGTCCTGTGTTTGGATGTCAATGTTGTTCTCTGCAATTCTGCCAATAGTCGTCTCATCAAATACTTGAGTAAATGAGTCAAAGTTTGCTTTTGCTAAACAAATATTTGCGCGATGCTCTAAAGGAGGTGGGTAGTACATTTCCATTACTCACTTTCTTAACCTTGCTTCATACTCCTTCTCTTCCTGGAGGTTCCTCTTTATCAGATCGAAGCTCTCTGGAAGTGTAAAACCCGCCACAAGTTCTGTGAAAATTGAAGTACGAGTGGCACACACAGAAATCTTGACCCTTATTACCTTGTGCCTCTTTGATGGAAACGTCCAACCTTTTCTCCAAGTTCTGCTTTTCGAGCTTTACTGCGTCTATTTCCTTCTGGAGCTGTGCAGTTGTCTGTAGCAAGAATTAACTGCTGCTTTTCAAAGGGCTCATACAGGAGAGACAAACGTCTGTAACAATCAACTTCGAGACTGACCAGACTTGCGTCTTCTTTCACTTTCTTCTCTCTGGCCTCCACCGAGGCTTTTTGGCTGTTGGATTTTTCCAACTGTGCCTCCAGACCCTGAAGCCTGTCGACGGTATGAGAGTTTGCGCTGGCCAAGTGTGTCAGTCTTTCCATCAATCCGCGGTTCTCTTTGTTCTGTTGGGACAGGAGGGATTTAGTGACGTCCTCTACATGAAAGGCCCGAGCTGAAGTAACCCTGAAAGCATCTCTACCTGCTCTTCAACCTTCTTTCTGAGCTGCTGAACTCTGAAGGAGAGCTGAACGTTGATCACCAGCCGCCGCATGGTTTGAAAACGCCGCCGTGCCAGCCATGCTCTGGCATACTTTTGTAGAATGAGCGCTTTCTGCACCTCGATCATCTGAGGATAAATAGTGGAGCGTGAATAACATGTGGTTGCAGTTTGTGAAATTGATCATACTCAGCGAAACGAGTGACTAATTAACTTCACGGACCTTCTTGTACCGTTTTCGGGCCATCCAACCCCGCGTGAAGGCCTGGATGGTGATGGAAGCCAGACGGACCACCAGGAAAATCTGTTTCATGCGGTAACCTCTCCAGTATCTCTGGATCACCAGCGTGGCCCAGCCCTGCTTCAGTGCTGCAGCACTCACCGTTTTGCTGCAGAACAAGAGGGTGCACACGTCAGATAAAATCGAGGATGCACAAAGACAAAAACCGCAAGGCAATGCCTTCCAACCGAATTGACTTCTTTCCCCGGATGTACTGCTGGAGGATGATGGCAGCCGCTCTCATGCGCAGGTACTTCCTCCTCTGGCACCACCCACGGACATGTTTCTGGATTGTAGCGCAGGCTCCTCTCAGTCGGTCCAGACGCAGCTTCTCTAGATAAGCCACTTGACCGGCTCGGAAAAAGATCTTTGTCCGACCAAACTTGTACTGATTGGGGTCCTAGAGATCGAGCCATTGAGGCCAAAGTTAGAGACAAACATGCAGTGCACAACAACGAACAATGTGGAACAGAAGGCCATTGAAGAGGCAGCTGACCTGAATTAACCTCTGCAAGACGTTCTTGCAGGTCTGTTTCTTGTCACTGAGGATCGCCTCCTGGTTCGACATCAGGATACTGTAACGGCTATAAAACTCAATGTATGTCCACCTGTTAAGAGAAAACAGGTGAGCCAATACAACGTGAGCACATGGAGATTTCGTTGAGCTGACATAAAAAGGTGTAGTAGAGAATGACCTGGATGGATAGCTCTGTGCACTGATGCGAATAGTTTCAAGGACCCCACACGCTCGCAACTGCTGCACCACCCTTCTGGAGTCATATCTGAATAAGGAAAGCAAACAAGGAAACGCTCACTTAATACACAGACACATACGTGCACGAAGGATTTAGTGTTACACGGATCGTTTCACCAACACTCACTCAAACGGGAGCTTTACGTCATTGGGCTTAATGCAGCGTACATAGTGTGGGGTGGTAGCATTCAGTGTTTCCATCAGTAAAGAGAGGGAGCTGCAGAACTACACCCAACCACAGAGGTAATGAGAAACAATAAAGCACTACAGAAATACAACTATGTTTTATTCTATATTTATTCTTAAAAGCAGCATACTATCAAAACGTCAGTTGGAGTTTAATCTCCAGTGAGCTGCAAACATGTTCACCTTATCTCCCACTGAGGTTCTCAACTGTTTGTTAGCTGCTTTCACTCCAGGTCTGGCAGGTCTCACTTTGATACCTTTACTGTTCACAGAGCTTTGCTTCTCCTCTTGGAAGAAGTTGGCTAGAAAAGGAAACTGATGCAAGTTGCGTGAAGGAGAAATGTGTTAAAATGAGTAAAAAGGAAGATGGAGAATTGGCATCATTGATACAGGCACAATATTCACCAGTGATTACCTTACTGTCTCGCAAAATGTCAACCAGTTCTTCATAGAGAGCGTCTCTGTTCTTTTCAAGAAAACCTGTACATTGATATTCCACCTGTTAATGGAAAAAACTCAGTATCTATCCGGAATCCAAAATAATTAATAGTGAATAACAACTTTTCTGTACATTATGCTGGAATCTTTTTTTTAAAGGTCACCACACTGCACCTTGTCTGCAAAGTGTTGAATAACAAAGGCCTCGTTTGATAGCCTGGGCTTCTCAAACAGAGGATTGGCATCCAGGTAGTTGAACAGCTTTTGCAGCCAGCTTTGATCGGTTCCCTGAGGAAACTGAGGCAGAAAGTCACACGTGTTGGAAGAGCGGCAAAATATGACATCTTTCGTTCTGCAAAATTCACATCGCGTCCATCAAATCACCAAACACTCTTCATCGAGCAAGTCCAGGATCCCCATCTTGGCCTCAATCAGGTCAATGACCGGCTGATTGTCGTAGAAGTCTATCAACGTCCACGGTATGTCCTCTCTCATGTACTCCTCCTGCTCAAGCTTGAACACATGCTGATGGAAAATAAAAAAGACATCCGAATTACCCCCCCCGGGCTGATGAAGCTCGGTATGCAGTGTTTTAACAATGATTTGGGAACACGGTGACGCGTACCAAGTTAAACTGCTGTTGAAGCTTCTCATTTGCATAGTTGATACAAAACTGTTCAAAGCTGTTGATGTCAAATGTTTCAAAGCTGAGGACAAAGGAAACAAGGATCCCATCACAAACGGCCCTGTGAGCGACCAGAAACTGTCCCCAAAGCATTAGCGTTTCTGCATTACCCATAAATGTCCAGTACACCGATGAAGGCGTGCTGCTGTCCTGGAACCTGCAGTGCAGTGTTTATCCTCTTGATAATGCAGTCAAACAAATGGGCATAGATCTGCTTGGCAAGGGCATCTCTGGCGCTTACAGCCCGCTCTTTGGGCACCGGCTTCACCACCGTCTCAGCCACCAGAACGATCCTCCGATGGCACAGCCACCGGACCAACCCTTCTGCACTCGCGCTCAGCAGCTCACAGAAGGCCGCCAGGTGTGGATCACCGGGCTGGAAGGTGAATGCAAACCAAGGGGTGTGTTGAACGGGGTTAATGCTATTCGCAGACAAAAAAAACAAAAAACGTTTAGGCTCGGAGAGGTGAGACTCACGGGAACTGATGAATGTGCATCTCCAGAGTTTCGGATTTCCACATTTCCCAAATGTAAAATGGCAGCCAAAACTTTGAACACGTCCGACTGAAAGTCCTCCTTCAACCCTGGAGAGGAAGAGAGAGGAAGCCATCGGAAACGTGACACCAAAGGAAAGTTTAATTCTGACGGACAAAGTGGCATTTTTTCTTTACCCAGCAGCGAGAAGGTCTGTCGGGTCTCCTCCATGTCCTTCTTGTCATCTACACCTTCGATACGGATATCTCCGCCCATTGAGGTGTACTCAAACTCATCCGCAGCCACTGCAGATGACGGGAATGTAACACGGCAGTATTATCATACAACGTCACATCGTCAGACTCAGATGTGCGTTCAAAGCACGCCAGATGAACCACAACAACGAAAGGACAGGCGCTCCCCCCCCCCCTCTCAAAGCGGCTCGAGAAACACTCACACAGTCTCAGATGCTCGAATTCTGGCAGGTGAGCACAAGAACACATCTGGTAGAATATGTGATAGTTTCGCTCGTTGTCGGCCTGAATGAAACAAGAGCGTAACTGTTATGGATCAGATGTAAGGAGAAAATAACACAAGGGCTTCATCTCACACACTACCTGGAAGACGACTCTGGATTTCTCTAAGAGATAGGTCCTCATGTTCGCTCCGATGATCCGGTACCTCCTGTCGAAGCCGATCTCGGTGTATTTCCCAAAACGACTGCTGTTGTCGTTCCTGGTGGTCTTTGCGTTTCCAATTGCCTGAGAGGAAATCACCTGGTCTCTTTTTATGTTGTCACAAACGCCCCGGTTGCCCGACATCGATTCAATTGTCACGGTACTGGAACATAAAGCACAGCGATGTGAGGACAGAGCTCGTGGTCCAGGGAGATCATACCTCGGTTATCGGATTGGATGCCAGGACTTTGTCTTCAACGTTAGTTTTACTTCCAGATTTGCTCACAACAGCAAAGTACCTCATGGCGTACCGAGCAGACACGGTTTTGCCAGCTCCGGATTCACCACTGACAATGATAGACTGGTTCTTCTGGTTTCTGAGAGAAATATAAAGTACACACGTTGACTCCATGTTCTACTGTGTGATCATTTTCGCTTTCTTTTACCTGGGCATCTGTTTGTAAGCCTCTTCTGCTACTGCAAATATATGAGGGTCCATGTCCCCCATGTTCTGGCCTGAGTAGGCGTGAATGATTGCATCCCCATAGACGTGCAGCTGTTTGTATGGATTCACAGCCACCAGTATAATACCTGCATTTTAGAAAACGGCACAGGCTGAGACAAGAGCACCAACAATCTAAAACCCAGTGTTAAGATACATGGTTGAATGCACTTATTGTACGTCGCTTTGGATAAAAGCGTCAGCTAAATGACATGTAATGTAATGTAAAGATACAGTTTGACAAGAGATGATTCGTTTCAACGGTACCACAGTAGGTGTAGATGATTCTGGACTCCACGAATCGCACTTTGAGATTATGCAGGACTGCAGGTTCGTGCAGGTAGCTGAGGGCAGTGAGGTCGTTCTCCCCCACCAAGATGTCCGGGTTGCGAAGCGGAGGGAGTTGAGGGTTCGACGGGTCAACGGGGAGGTGGTGCTCCTGTACAGTGGCAGGTTATGCAAGAGACGGCAGGTCAGCTGTTACTTACTCAACGCCATAAATCCGTTGCGGCGGCGTGTGAAGGTTTTATTGGTCATGTTTTACTTACAGTGCCATCTTCAAGAAGTAATTCAAGAATATTGTCCCCAAAATGAAAGTCTTTCAGAATTTCGGCCGATTTCCACACATGTTCTGCATCTGGTATCCACACTCTGTTGTACTAAGGGAAAAGATGTCAGTGGTGTCAAGATAACAGTTCAACAACTCATCTATAACCTAGTTCAAACACATAGCACTTTGAATTGTAACACAATTCTGTGTGAACATCGAATTATTGAACTACGTGGACCTTCATTCATTTAGTATGTAACAGCAAGGCATTAAAGATTTACAAAATGTTGAGAAGACTAAACACTTGCAGCATTTAAGTACAGCCTCCTCGTCATCTCTGCAACTTGACGAGCCCTGACAATGTTGCCATATGTTTCTCTAAAATAAGCTTTTACCATCTCTATTGAAATAAAAAACATGGTGCCTTTCTCTTACCTTGGTGTACAGTTCCAACAAAGACATGTTTATGCATTATTGTTTTAACTTCTCTTCTCAGTGTTGTTAGATTTTGTATCTTGTAATTTCCAGGTTGACAACGACTTTTTCCTTCTCCAACTATGACAGTTTCAGTCAAGAAAGACCCAATCACATCGTTTTCCTGTTTGTGACTTTCAAAATAATACTCCCTGAATTCATTCGTGATCATTTCAATTTGAAAAGCGTATGAATTCATCGTTTAAATATTCACCCATAGCTTAGTCTTACAGGTTAAAGTTCGCTTCAGTTTCATGGACATTTATTTCTAACGATATCCTGTATATTTACTTTAATGAGGTCTGAGGAAATACAACGCAAGGACGAAGATCAAAACGCATTGAAAACAATCTGATGCGGACGAAATGACACGATGTGGAGTCACAGGTAGACATCACTACATTTAAAAAGTCAACACCGAAACTGTTGGAAAGTCTTACTGTTTAGAATCATCCTATAAACAGTGACATGTCGGATGCTCTTATTTTGAAAGCCTTGTTGCTCACGTCCCAGGTGTGCTTAGCGTCTTCCTGGTTTATTTAACGCTCACCTGCTGCGGACTTTGCCCGGTTGACTCCGCCCTCCCGTCTTGTGACAGCGGCTCGGCAGGGTGGGTGTGTTCGCTTCATCAAGGATACGTACGACAAAAGAAACCGGATACAGACCTCAGGCAGCTCACCACACGTGAAGGAATTTCACTACAGATTGTGAAGCCGAAATACTTTAAATTATTGAACAATTCACCGCACTTTGAAAAATGTATGAAAAAAAGTGCGAATGCCCGAGTTTACAGAAATACTAGAAGAAACCCACCATCACTGGTAAGCGCAGGAGATGAACCAGTCATTAACCCTTTAGGTATTTTTGCATGTTAAGCATTTGGAAGCGGTTTAAATTCTGACCATGGAAAGAGCCTTGACCAACATGCTCTGGAAGTGTGCAATAAAAAGTCATTGTCTGTGCAACATGCTTGGCAATGAAAAGTTCTGTATTTCTATTTCTAAATCCCAGTGACCCAAACGTTTCAATGACAACAACTCTACAGCTCTTCCCTCAAATAGGCTCAGAGTGCACTTCCTTGTTAAAATATATTTCTTCCGTGACAGAGATCTCAAATTATTTTTCATACACCCCAATAATTGGAAACGTGTCACATGCAGTTCAGTCAGATCTTGCTACTTTAATTGTATTAAGAAATATATGCAGATTAATTCACTAAATAGTATCAAAACTTGTATCAGCAATACTTTGGGGCAGGTGTGATAACAGATGACCTATAAAAACACTTTGTCAAGTTGTCGGTCTTTAGTTGTGCGGTGCTGTAAAGTTAATGCATGTAAACAATGTGTCATTATTCTGCTGTAGTGCTGCAATAAGCAGAGATCGTGAGAACATTACAACTGGTAGAAACATCAGTCAGTGTTTACTCCAGTAAAAGTGTCAGGTCTCCAGTCTAAATGCGGGTGACGAAGCCCATATTGAGGCTGGCAGGGATCTGAATGGTCTCCAGAGCCACACAGGAGGGGGAAAAGGGGAGGGTGATGGAAAAGATCTTCTTAGCGTCCATCATCAATGTAGTTGACTCAACTCGATCTTTCAAAAGGTTCTAAAACGTAAATAAAAAAAATGCATATATTAAGAAAGTACGTTACAACAGCCTTAGTAAACACGGGAATGTTTACGTCTCAACTCACTTTTATAGTTGTGATGAAAGTGGTCGACACTCGTTCTTCAAACTCAATCACCGGTGTGTACAAGGTCAACACTTTGACGATCTGCAAAGGGAAACACACAGCGATCAAAGCGATGGCAGCAAATCACGTCTGTCGATGAGAAACAGAACATTTACTGATACCTGTGCCGTGGTGAGGGCAGTGCACATGGTGCAAATAATTTGGGCATCCGCCTCGGTCTTCTTTTTGATCTGTAGGAGCTGTGCAGCCTGTATGAGAGGCTCCAACGTCTCCTTGGCGCCGCAGTCTGACAGTTCCCTCTCCACCAGCCACTCCTCCAAATGCCATACATTGTACCTGAAGCATTGGAAGAACAGTTAAGAACGAACCAACAAGGTCCAATCTTGGTTAAAGGTCCAAGGTTAAAATATATATTTTTTTAAAAGCTGCTTGTATGAAAACTTGAGCCTATTGAACCACAATATTTTTGAAAAAAATATACATTATATTCTTTCAATATAGCATCTTGAATTATTGTGTAGTCTTTGAAACAATTCAACCTCCCTGCTTGAGAAAGTTCTTGCGTAGGTCAGACAAGCGAACACACCTCGATCCATACTTTTCTGCCCCGCATGAAATATAACAACAACATGCTGATGACCAGTCTATGGTACCTGATTTGCAGGCCTTTGCTCCAGGAGCACATGTCCTTCCGCAGCAGCAGGTGGTTGAGTGTGACCGCACAGATGACGTAGAACAGCTGCTTGAAGAGTTGTTTGATGAGGTCCAAGTCCAACCCGTGCTGACTCATGGTAGTGTGGAAGGCGCCGAGACGCTGCAGCAGGACTTCCACTGTGACAGCCTGCTCTGGGGAACTGGTGCTTCTCTTCCTCAGGCCTGTAGGTTTGGACCCCAAAACACCCTGGATGGTCTCGTGTTCCAGCATGCTTGCCACTGTACCCAAAAAAAAGGAGGTAAAAGGCACATTGCACGTGTTTCAGTTACTTTCAGAAGAAGAATGCGTTAATTATGTACGGTGAGATCATGTCTCCTCACCAATCAGGGGCTGTAGGAGGTCTTCCATGCATTTGATGAGCTGGCGGTAAATTTGGATGGCAAGATCACCAAATACCTTCTGGTATTCGGACAGTTCAAAGTTGGCCAGGCAGTGCTCATTCTGCTTGGCGGTGTTGTGCGTTGTGAAGGCCTGCAGTAAATGGAGGTTTCAAAGACATCCAGGGTTAGCTGATGGACTTTATACATAAACATAATTATCAATGCCTCCTCAAGCTTACCTCATCGCCACTGTACTGCTTCAAACAGTGCATTAATCTGCATGTGTTGGCGAGCCAGAATGACACCACTTCAAAATCAATTCCTCTCTTCTACAGAAACAGAAATTAATTTAAAATAAAGTTATTTAATTTATTATTTAACGTGTCAAAGTTTACTTGTATACTACACCTTAATGACCCCCTTGATGCCGCTGATGGTGGAATTGAGCAGAGTGCTGACTCTCTGATCATCATTCACATTGTCTGCATATCGTACGCACATGAAGATGATGTACGCCGGAAGCCCGGGAATGAAGCTGACTGCTACACCTCGAGGCTTCAGATCTGAGAGGATCAAAGCATTTTAAAAAGTTAAATAGACACATGCCTCCGTGATCTATGGAACATTTTTAGATGCAAAAAAGGATTCGATGGAGCAAAATAGGTCCAACATGCCAGTGACCAGCTTCTTGACCAAGCGCGTCTCGTCCCCTTCCCTGTACTCCAACATGCCGCGGTACTCCTTCTCTTTGCGGGTGATATTCACCGCTCTGCCAGGACTAGTAGTCACCGGGGCTTTATACTTTTGCTGCGCACTCGCTGAATAAAAACAGGGATACAACATGGGAAATTACACAATCATTGCTGATGTCATCTGGAGAAGGTAATGTGCGAACAGTCAACGCTTTGTGCTCACCTTCCAGATCTTCCAGTTTTTTGATGTGTACTTTCAGTTGTTTTTTCAACTTGCGTATAGTTTCCTCTTGTTGCTCCTGCTGCACCATGAGCTCCTAAGATCATTGAGACATACTAGCTTAGTGTGAGAGCAACAAAAAATAATAATAATAAATATATTATAGTGTAAAGGGGTATATTTTATATGCAATGTGCTGGCGAAGAACAAATCATTTAATCTCAATTAGAAAAACAATAAGAGGGCACTCATTTAAAAAGCAACACATCCAGCGGGTTATTATCAAGGCGCTCCGCACCGTGGGTGGAATTACACAACAACTGATCCGGACCAGAGCAGACTCACCAGGTTCTCGCTGGTGAGCCGGGTCATCTCGTGCTTCAGGCTCGCCTCAATACGGGCATCTTCAGGCAGGAGGAGGCTCTGGGTCAGCAGCTTCTGCTGTTGCTCCTTTTCAGCCTTGAACTTGTTCACCTCGTCAAGCAGCTTTCTATTCTCCTCATCGGTGGCACGTTTCTGCTCCTGCATCTGGCACTCCAAAATTCTGGAAGATGGATGGATGGTATACATGTTGTTGTCACAAAGCGCACAAACCAATTAGATGATGGTTATTTCATTACCTATTGGTCTCTTTCAAGCCTTCATAAGCCAGCCACAGCTCTCCATCCTCATTGAGTGTATGGATGTTAGTGGACCTGAGAAACAGCATCAGAATGTAAAGAACACTCCGTACCAGATGAGAATTCTTAACGGAGTTCCATGGTCCTACCTGTCAACATCTGGAAATGAAGGAATTTCACCTAGATCTAATTTCAGACCTTCCCCGAGCACAGAGTCCTAGAAGTCAGTTCATATGGGATTAATGATATACAGGAATTGTTAAGGTGTCGGTCGCATTAAATGCAAAACACAATTCACTTCCTCACCTTATGTTTAAGAGCCTCCTGGCGGACCATGTGTGACCGGAGGAGCAGCACTTCCTCTTTTCGCATCTCCAGCTCGTCATTGGAAGAACTGAGTTGTTCCAGCAGTATGTTGTAGGGCAGAGAGCCCGCGGTCGGAGGCGCAAACTCACTACTCTCATTGGTCAGAGACTTTCTCAGCTCATTCAGATTCTGTTTCAACTTCTTGTTCTCAGAGTCCAATTCTTGCCACTAACACATTTAGAGAAGCAGAAGAGGAAAAAGTCAAACATCTACATGTCATTTGTTTCTTTTTGCCGTACAGTTCTTGAAACTGTTTAAAGGTTTATTCATTTAGTGACGCTTTGTGGAGACTTCCTTTTTAGGATGTTGATCTTGCTTGGTTACTTAACAAATGCATACATGTACCAGGTTGAAAGTCATACCTTGAGTGTTTCCAAGTCCAGTTCTGCCCTGCCAACAGTTCTCTGCTCTTCCACCTCCTTTTTTGAAAGATAAATACCAACCATTCAACAACAAATATCAACCGTAAGAACACTTCTCCATTTGTTTTAGTGGTTTCACCATTATATTTCAGTGCATACTTTTGCCTTCTCTTGTTGGGCTTCTTCCCTGTTTTCCAGCTGTTGCCATAGCGACTGTTTGTCCTGCTCCAGCTCTTTCACTTTTCTCTGGAGCTTCAGTAGGACGGGCAGGTCCACAGTCGCCTGAGTCTCATCCTGAGAAAACACAGCGAGCATCGGCCAAGATAATCTCTTCAAACTAACTAGAATGCTGCACTAATGGGATTATTACACGGCAGCCACGTCTAATCAAATTATTCATCACCAGGATGGGTAACAGACATGTCAGCAAAGTGGCCTTTTGAAGATGACACAAGTTTTATCACAGTGCAAAACTACTAAACTATATCCTCACCACAGCTTCTAGTACTTTATAGAAAATACAGCGAATAGGGGGGTAAACATTTCCTATTCAAGACATATTCTGGGCTGTTATATAGACATTTCTGATGCGGCACTATTGTGTAGTTTTTGACATTACCTCTATATGTATGGCGCTGTCTTCCCCCTCAGTGGAGCCTAAGCTGTGACTGAACTCGGAGGAGTTGCTGCTGAAATTGGAGTCTGTCCTCTTGTGAGTAGATTTGCTTGAACTCTGGTGCAAAAAAGGTTAAGAGGTCAGACGCAGCGTCAAATCGCGATACACCTTTTTGGGAAGTCCTGCATAAATTGCACACAGACACTCGGTAAAAAATGACTGTAAATGTTTTTCTAGCTTTGTGAGCGATCATAATTTTTTCAAAAGCTTTACATGAACGACTGAACTTCCTGATTTAAGAGATTCTGGTAGTGAGGCCATGAAATAAAAACGACCATGTGGTTAAACCAAACAGACAAAGTATTCCTTACATTGCAGAGATTCATCTCTTCCTCTGCGTCTCTGTGCCGCTCCTCCAGATGCAGGTGTTCACTCAGCAGAGCTTGGTAGCGATAGCGCTCTTCAGTTAGGTCCTTCTCCATCTGTTTAGCATCCTCAACGTTGGTTCTGATATCTGAAACAAAACAGTTATATATATTTTTTCACTCATTCTAAATGCAGCCACCACTTAAGAACTGAGGTTTGAAGTGAACAGCTCAGTACCTTGTAACTGAACAGCTTGTTCCAGGATTTGTTTGTTCAGTTCATCTTTTTCGCTGTTCAGCAAGCTGTTCTTCATGTTAAGGTCGTCTACCACCTGACCGGGAGAGTAGGCAAAATCATGTCGTATTTTGGCAGTTTGCTGTGCGTTTTATGTTATTATGTGCGGCAAGCACGAGAGGTGACAGCTTAACACAGACCATAAACTACACTAATAGTTAATAGAGTGAAAACAAGTTCCCTGAAATCTCAAGTATTGAACTTATTTGCCTCCCGGTCAGCTGTTCAGTCTTCTGATCTTTGTAACTAGAGATGGTGAGGTCACATAGCTCCGGGTATCTAATGAAAGTCACCACGATGACAAAAAAAAAACACTAGTGACATTGAAGGCTTTTCTGCTCGGAGATTAATTTGGTTAAACTTGAGGGAACTGCTGCAAAAGGGAAAAGAGGAGAGGCACTGGGCAACAAAAATGACAAGTTCCTCTTTTGCATTTCAGGTTTCTATTCTTCCCAGAAATTATGAAAATAAATTTGGAGACGCAAACCCTAGAATCTTTAAGAAATTGCATGCTAAACAGAAAAAGAAAAAAAAAAAAATAGTGGATCACACAATCAGCAGTTGAAGCAAACAAAAAAGAAAATCTTCAATGTTCATGAAAACACAACTTGAGTGATGAAAGATGAACTGATGAACAAACCGTGAAGCCTTTTAGTAGAAACAAGTTAAGGAGTGGTTTGTACAATGGATAAATGTCATTGAAAGTATTGACCCATTATCAGAGAATTGTAGTGAAGTTGCCCAGCAGTCAAGTTGGGTGAATCTCGAGGAAGAAGGCCTACCTGCTGTGTCTGCTCCTTGTAGACCTTGGTGTGCTCCTCCAGGTCTTCTTTCTCCTTGCGGGTGTTTTCCAGCTCGTGCTGAAGGAACGAGAGCTGCTCCAGCAGTGAGGGAAGTGCCGCCGCCTTGGTTTTGGCCTCCTGCTCTGATCTGCGTAAGTTTTCGATCTCTCTGTTCTGCTTCTCCCTCTCTGTAGTCTGGCTCTTCTCCATAAAATTCAGCCTTTCACTGAGCTCTCTGTTGTCTTTATGCTGCAGGGGGAGAAACACACACGCCGGGCATGTCATGGGACAACTTCCAATGACCCCATGGTTTCAATCGAGCTACGGCTTTTCTTTTTTTTCTCCTCTCCTCATGGTTGATTAGGGAGTGAACCGCCGGCAAACACAAACAAACCAGTTCCCCAGACTCACGCAACGCTCACCTGCTCATTGATCTTGTGCTGCAACTGCATTATCTTGTTCTCCATACCAACGTTGAGCTTCTTTATACGCTCCACAGAGCGAGCCTCCACCTTCAGGTTCTTCAATTCCTTCTTTGCCTTCATGCGGCGCACACAGCTCTGCAGCAGGACGATGGCTGCCATAGTGCGTTTGTAGTGCGCTCTAGCCTGCCAGCCTTTAATCCATTTCTGGATGACGACAGCCTTTCGCTCAAATACCAACTGCAAAACAAAAATTATAATTGTCATTAAATGATAATGACAATAATCTTTTGAGAGCTCAATTGGTTGATAGATATTCCATGTAGGAGCAATGTAATTCAATAGTGTATTGTTAAACCGTAAATGAGGTCAACAAGGTCAGTATGAATATTGGCTGTCGATTCATAGGAGTCAATCTTTTTAAATCTTGCACGGCAAGCAAGGTTTAGGAAGTGCAGAACAATCTTGTGTAGTCTACTGCTACAAAGGCTGCACTGCCTCAACAATGTTAATAACGGAACCGGTCACATCTGGGCTTCCTTTCAGCTGGGAACTTTGCCATATTATATTCATGCTCAATGGAATATTAAACTATCAAGTTCCTCTTTGGGTTGACAGAAAAGCCCCTAAAATCCTTTCAACCTGCAGAAACAAACTCAAAAATACTCAAGGCAAACTCAAATCAAGGCTAATTCTTCAAGTATCAATTTACCTTGTAGTACTGCTTTCTAGCCATGTAGGCCCTCAGGAAGCACTGGATGGCGATTGCTGCAGAGCGCAGCTGCTGGTAGCGTGTCCTCGTCACCCACATGCGCAGATTCCGCTGGATGATGACAGCTGCTCTGGTTCTTTGCAGAAACATAACATAGCTGAACAAGAAAAAGAAAAAAAAGGTAAGAAATGCAATAGATTGGGCATTAAAAACATTTTTTTAAAACACACTCACCAGCGCGCCTGGTGACCCCGTACATGTCTTTGTATTGTGATGGCGCATTCCCTCATCCTCAGGTACTTTTTGCGGGCCAGCCAGCAGCGGATGGTCTTCTGGATACGGACACAAGCCATTCGCAGCTTGTCAGAGCGCAGCTTCTCCAGGTAAGCTACCAGACCAGCCCTGAAGAAGATCTTGTTTTTGCCAAATTGATACAGATGCTGGTTCTACGAAACAAAAAGGAAAATAAGTGTAAGGTTTCAGTGAAAGTTATAATGTTACAGTAATAATGTTACAGTAATGTTGGATATAGTACCTTTACAAGTTTTTCTAGGAGATTTTTGCAGGTTTGTTTTCCGTCATGAAACACATCCTTTTGCTTCATGAGGACCCGATAGCGACTAAAGAATTCCTGATAGGTCCATCTGCATGTTCACATGAATAAGACAAGTCGGAGGGATTATTGTAAAGCACACGAACTGCACACGGCTCCGTGCTGTACCAGATACTGGTGTTGATATGCTACCTAGATGGGAAGCCTGCTGCGGAGATCCGGATTGTTTCGAGGATGCCACAAGCTCGAAGCTGCTGCACTGCCCTCACAGGATCCATGCTTTATGAAAGGTAAAGAACATAAGAAACATCTTTAGCAAAAATGAGTGTGCAAATCTTCCATCTTTGCTTGTTTCAGATATTCAGAAAAAAAAAAAAGGAAGAGTGACATGTTGCTCACATGAAAGGGGATTTGTTGTCATTTGGCTTGATGCAGCGTACGTAGTGAGGAGTTGTAGCGTTTAGTGTGTCCATCAGCAAATGAAGGGACTGTCGAAACTGAACAAATCGTAAGTGTTTTAGATGCTATTCATTTCCTTAAAGGGGCAATTCATTCGGACTAGTCTTGTGGGAAAGCTATGGAAAGTTTCATAAGCTAATTTCCCCCACACCACCAAATGTACAGTTGCCCGCTCTTTGCGCTCGTACCTGAAGTCCAACAGTCTTCTTGTTATCCCGCTGGGACTGACCAGCCCTTCCAGTCACACTGGCACGTGTGTTCCTAGAACTTGTTGCCTTCTCATCATCCTCAAACAGCTTCAAAAGCCAATCAACCTTAAAAGTTCATTTTCAGAGATCAGAGACACCAAACACAGCGTCCTCGTGGGACAGCAGATGGCAGTGTTTTCAATCTGAAATTCAAACGTTGCCGCATTTCCTCCAATAGTTGTGGTTGAACAATCCTAGGGTGTGTGCCGAGGAGCTTGCAACACACAAAAATACATTCAGTGTATCGAATCCCTGTGAGGGCCAAAAACTAAACCTGAAAAGAACTAGGCAGCGACAAACTGTTCATAAACTAATTCACCTTGCTCTTTTTCAGAACATTTATCTGCTCCTCATTGACCGTGTCCTTGTTTTTCTCCAGGAAACCGTCACACTGGTACTCCACCTACAAACAACGCACCAGAGCAAAGGTCACAATCATCACTCAACGTGGAGTTAGTGCTACTCTAATAAATAGAATCATCGAACGTTAGGAGAGAAGACACAAGTCTGACAAAGTTATTAGTGTTTCACAATTGACTCCGTCGTTGCTCTAATAAGATAAACATGAGGTATCGCAGACGACCAAGATGTAACGCCACCTCAGCGCACGACCACGTTTTACCTTGTCAGCAAAGTGGTGGACGATGAAAGCTCTATTTGACATCCTGGGTTTATCAAAGTGAGCATTCTGCTTCAGGAGGGTGTTGTAAAGCTTTTGGGCCCATGTGTCATCAGAGCCTTTGGGCATCTATGGAAACAGGAAGAGCTGACACATCATTTAGTCAAGGCCTGACTCATTCCCTCCCAAACGTAGCATGGTAGAAATTCCTCAGGGGGAAACTAGCTAAAGAGAGAAAAAAAAAAAAAAAACTATAACTGGCATTTTACTTTGCACTCTTCATCCAGAAGGTCCAGAACCCCCAGCTTGGCCTCAATCAGATCAATGCACGGCTGGTTGTCGGCAAAGTCAATCAACGTCCAAGAGATCTCCTCCCTCAGGTACTCCTCTTGCTCCAGTTTAAAGACGTGCTAGAGGAAGCGATGCAAAGGATTAATGTGAACGTTGGGACTTAAACAAGGAATTCATTTGAGCGAGAAAAGACCCACACCAGGTTGAATTGTTGTTGAAGCTTCTCGTTGGCATAATTAATGCAAAACTGCTCAAAGCTGTTGACATCAAATGTTTCAAACCTAAAAAGGAACAAAAATAAATGTTTAAATTAAGTCATCTCGGAGTCATCTTTACATAAAAAAACAGAAAGAAAAGAATCATACAACATGGAGATGAACACACACCCGTAAATGTCGAGCACGCCAATGAAGGAGCTTTGCTTTGCTGCAGACTTCAAGGCATTGTTGACGCTGCACACAATCCAGCTAAAGACTCTTGCATAGATGTGTTTGGCTAGTGCATCGCGGCCATTCACCGCATTTATTTTGGAGACCGGCTTGACGAAGGTTTCTGTGGTCGTCTTGAGTTTCCGATGACATAACCAGTGGGCCATTTCTTCACAGGGCACACCCATCAACTCACAAAACACCACCAGGTGGGCGTTCTCAGGCTGTAAATACATCAACATACTGATTTTAGATTAATGAAGATAGCATCGGCTATGCTGCATTCAGCGGAAATGGGGGTTTACCGAGATGCTGCTTCTCTCTGCCGACTGATCTTTCACCTCCACATTGCTAAGATGAAGAATAGCTGCAATGATTTGGTAAATGGCCATTTGATCACTTTCACCGATTCCTACAGTGAAAACAAAAGCAGGAAAGAAAATAAGTAAACGATACACAATAATGTAAGGAAATGCAGAAACAAGAAATGTATACGTAAAGTACTGTCCATTCGATATGGGGTAAAAGCAAACCCTATTGAAACGCAATCAGCACTGACCTAACATTGAGAAAGCCCTCCTTGTATTGCACATGTCTTTGGCATCATCCACTCCAGCGATGACTGGGCTCTGACCCTGGTTAGTATAGTGGAAGTCATCTGCGCAACCTTCAAAAAATTAATTATAGACAATATTCAGCTACATAGAGCAGTAAATGGTTTTTCCCCAAATCTCTGGTGACTCTCATACCTAATTTGAAGGCTTTGAACTCCGGTAAATGTGAAGAGGCACAGAGCTGGTAGAATATATGGTAGTTCCTCTCTTCGTCCGCCTAAAAGGTAGTGGAAAGAGAATAAATAACACAAGTAAATCACATTCTGTGAAACTGATAGTGCTTTCCGCTGTAGATGCGTGCATAAACTGCCATCACATTGCTAAACTCTGGGTCAAACTGATGTCAAATTCTCTTGAAAATAGTTCACAGTTGCTTTACAAAACACAATTTGTTGCCATCTTCCCGAGCCAAGGGCCAGGCTCGCTAGACTGAGTAAAGTTAGTGTTGTTTGTTATGAAGCGAAGACGTACTCACGTTACATGCACATGATAGTGTTTTAAATCAATTAACTGCAAGGAGATGCGCATAAAAAAACAGAAGTGGGGAGGGCCACATTTAGACACAGTAGACAGGATTCCCATGAATAAATCAAAGAAAGTTACCTGAAACACGACTCTAGACTTTTCGAGTAAGTACGTTCGCATGTTAGCCCCAATTATACAATGCTTCTGGTCGAACCCAATCTCAATGTATTTCCCAAAGCGACTGCTGTTGTCATTCCTCGTTGTCTTGGCATTACCAAGAGCCTAAGGGGAAACACACAAAAGGCTCTCAGTACCACTTGGTCATTTTGTGTGTCATTGTGCTGCCGTGTTACGGTTACCTCCATGATGGGGTTGGAGGCCAGGACTCTCTCCTCAACGCTGGCCTCACTGGAGGAGCAGCTGACCGTGGCGAAGTAACGCATAGCATACTTAGCGGAGACGGTTTTGCCGGCTCCAGACTCCCCGCTCACAATGATGGACTGGTTCCTTTCATCTCTGTCTCAATGGACGTGAGGAAATACAGCATAGACCAAATATCAGCTTAAAATCATTTAGCATCATCATTAATAGACTTTTAGATATAATTTGCTTTGAAATGTACAAGGAAATGTGTTTGATGGTTCTTAAACCTGGCCATTTGTTTGTATGCCTCTTCTGCTACTGCAAAGATATGAGGGTCCATGTCTCCCATGTTCTGTCCGCTGTAGGCATTGATGATGTCAGCTTCATAGATGGGCAGGCTCTCATAAGGGTTGATGGCAACCAGGACAATCCCTAAACACCACAATGGAAAAGCATAGTTTGTCTAACATTAGTTGAAACTAAATCAACCATATCAGGGTTGTGGTGGTGTATTAATAACCAAATTCATAGTCATTCAATGTGTGTTTCTTTAAGAGCAGCCTGCACCACAACAATCAGCAGAACGTACTGTAGATTATCTCAGAGAGTCCAGTGAGTAGGGCTCCAAAGTCTACAGCGATAGTGTGAGTCAAAGAAGATGAAGCTCATTACCACAGTACGTGTAAATCAACTTGGAGTCGATGAAGCGCACTTTGAGGTTGTGCAGCACTGCAGGCTCGTGGAGGTAGCTGAGAGCTGTGAGGTCATTTTCCCCTACCAGGATGTTAGGGTTTCTTAGTGGTGGCAGGTTGTTGGTTCGGGGATCGATTTTGTGTTCCACCTCCTATAAAGAAAAGTTGTTAGCAGAGTACACACAATTTTTAAATAATAAGTCGTTTAAAAAAAATAAATTAAAAAAAATTTTTTTAAGTAAAAACTGATGGTTTATCAATAAAAAAAAAAAGTCACCATCTGTCTCCATGTTAAAGTTAAAGCATCCACTGTGCGCAGCTTATTTGTGTTCACTCAAGATAACCCCTGGGCCTTATTTCCATACCTGAGGTGCAAGCCCAAACTCGACCTCTCGGCTGCAGGTAGGAACAGCACGCAAGAAAGATGTGCCGTTTTCACGTTTTCATCCAGCGGTCCAACTCTTTTGAGCCCAAAAACATAAACGTGGCTTCTTGTATCCCACACGTTGGATACGCTCATACAGGGGCTCGCATTCCCCAAACGCCACAGCACACACATTCATGATGGCCAGGTGTGTGTGTGTGTGTGTGTGTGTGTGTGTGTGCGTGTGTGTGTGTGCGTGGCGTTGGCCGGTCTCACCGTGCCATCCTCCAGCTGCACACTCAGCTTCAGGTCGCCGGGTCTGTAGTCTTTGGTGAGCTCTGCTGACTTCCACACGTCTCGTGCATCTGGCAGCCATACACGGGCATACTGATGGACAGAGAGGGGGGGGGGGTCACTCACAGTAAGCCCGTCTTTTACAAAACTAACTTTCGTTACAGCTCTACAGCCAGACGCCAGCGCCATGTACCCGAGGAAACGGACAGGCTAGCTAACGTTAACGTGAGGCCAGCAGACAGCGGTCATGCGTATAATGTGGATAGAGAAGCGCTATTTTAGGCAGGCAGATAAAAACATAAGGAGATTTTTTTTTTTTTTTTTTTTTTAAACAAACTCTTCTCTAAACCATTCCAGTTAAGCTACACGAGCCATCCATTATCCCCGACTTATGTTTTACGACAAAAAAATAAAGAAGAAAAATAAACCGGTACAGCTTTCGCTCAAGAAAACCTTTGAAAGGCGCCGAAAAGAGCCGTGACAGCGACGTGAAGCCAATGTGCCTCCTACCTGGGCGTAGAGTTCACAGGCTGCCATGTCCGACGAGCCCTCACAAACTGTCTCCAGAGGGAAACATTGCGCTGACTAGCAGGGGTGGAGGACACGGACTTTGTGTGAGCTGCTCTCTCCGGGCGGGTGCTCTGCGCCGCGAGGACAGGTGAAGTGCGTCAGCGCGCGCCTCGCCCGCCACCCAGCGGACACGCGCGTCACAAACGGCTCACAAATTACACGGTCAAATATACGAATATTTTATACGACGAACCCGTTGTTGGGTTGATTGCAATTAGGTTGAGTTCCACTTGTTTAAATATTCCAATGTGTAATTTGTTTTACTTGGGAACTAAAGTATTTGTTGAGCTTAATTTTACACCACTTGGTGACTGACATGGAAATAAAAATACCTTCACAAGACAGTCAGCTCCAGTATATAGAGAAGCTTGACTTAATAAAGGTTGTTGCTAAAAAACATCAAAATGTTTGTAAAAGGTTGCATCCCACATATACCCTCACTGCTTATCACAGGTGACACTATATTTCATGGAAATTGTAGTAACACTTACTTTGCATTTTACAAGGTATGTATGTTATGTGCTACATGGTGCTGCATGATTAGAGAATTCCTTAATATTGGCTAAAAGAAATGTTGTCCTTGTTGAACACCGACAAACAGATGAAGACATACTTTGTATACTTTAAGGTTTCTATCTTACATGCGTACAACATAAACTGGGCTCTTAGTGTGGGTGGCTTAAATAATATGATACATTATGCAAAACTATTTTATTTACAAAACAAATGGCACAGTATGACTGCACAGTAAATGCACATGTACACTCCAGACATGACATTGGAGTTTCTTCCCATAAAATCCTAAGTGATTCCAGTCAGACAGTGACAGACATCTCAGGCAAAATTCATAACGAAGATTCTCACTGAGGGAGCAAATATTGCTCAAGAGGAACAACGGTGCATTACTTTTAAGGCCATTTTAGAGGTTATGATGAGATGGACACTAGCAGCAGGTCCTTGCAAACCAATGCCACTAAAATGAATTAGAATACAGCTGGCTATAAGGTGTATGTGTGTTCTAATTGTCAGTACTTTGAAAGCACGGAATCAAAGCTTCAGAGACAAAGGAGGGGGCCCAAATAATAAAGGATTAGAAAAAAAAAAGCAAGATTGCATCACTTTTCACCATTTAAAACAGATATGCCTCCATGTGAGCAGCTGAAGACTGCATTGCTAAGTGCAAGTCATATTTGTAAATCACACTTCTACATACATACACCAATGCAAACTGTCCATGGTCGTAATTCAAGTATTTTTGCCCCTGTAATTATGAGTAATATGGCAGAACCAGATTCCTCTGCACGGGCGCTTAACTTCTGTTATACAAGCAATTTGGATGGAGACATATATCCTTAAAAGTGAAAATGCCATGCGAGTTACCAACAACTTTATAATCAATCACCATTCAGTCTTTTAAGATCTTGAGAAACTTTTTCAGCTACTTCCGTTTGTTTGATTTAACCCAATAACAATTCAGTGCCACGTGTTGTCAAGAATTTGGCTTGGTACATAACTTGTTCTTTGAGAATACAAAGAAAGGTGGAAAACGAACAAAACCAATAACAGCAGGTAGATATAAAGTGGGTGCGGGAATGGTAACCAAACGTAAACATGAAACCATCAACCAGCCAGTTTGCTGGCCACAATTGAAGTCTTTCTCTGAGGCAGATCCTGGGGTGTTGGGATGTGCCCCCCTGTGATCTCAGCCTTCTCTGTTGGTGCTGATGGCAACTGTTTATTCTTCATTTTTGCCTTGGCCATGTTGTAGTCACCAGAGTCAAAATACTTTGGCTGGACAAAGAAGAAGATGTTGAGTTAGAATATTGTGAAACTGGTATTTGAGAAATGAAGAGTTAGCCATGTTTAGGTATGAAACGCACCCCCTTCTGAAGTCTTTTCCTCAGCAAGTCGGAGCCTCCAGGCTTGGCTCCCAGGTTTGGATACCTGGCCTTCAGTTTGGCCTCCTCAGCTTTTTCTGGACTGACTACTTTGTCCTCCATTTCCTGCAGAAACAAGAGCAGTGTACAGACGGTAAATGCTCCACTCACCTGAGAAAATACACAAGTAATTAGCGGTGAATGGGGCGGCAATAAACATTCTGATATCAATAATTACATCGTGTGTGTGGTTAAAAATAATGTTTCCATTTCAAAATAGGGAGATGCCGCCATGAGGAAAAACCTGTGTTTGCACTGACGTTGGCGTACATTAAATCCTCCGAATGATCTTAATCCACTCTAGTTAAGCAATCAACATATTTACAAGGAACATCTACGCAGCTTCCTGGCTTCGAAACAGTATTTTTAATTTTGCATTACAAATGAAGCGCAACGAGCGCATTAGCTAGTGACTTGGCGGTAGCATCATTGGTGACATTGGCCAATTGCTACAGGCTAACTAGCATGGAGCCAATCGCCTGCTAATTTAGCAGACACGACATGCTAGCTAACTAGCTAACGTTTGCTAAATTGGCAGTTCGGTTTATAGCTCCAAATTTACCTGCTGTTCCTCCAAAGTCCTAGTTCCTTCAACCTCCTCGGACATGGCGGTAGTGATTACCTGCTTTAATCGCAAAACCGCGGGTGAAAGGATAGCCGTTAAGCCAGCTCTTCTGGAGGATGAAAGGTGCTACTGGCTGCGAACGATGGAAACGAATAGGCGGGCGAGGGCAGCTGCCTGTCATGCACAGCCTGTCCAGCAACAGGTCGGTGAATCGATGCCAGAGACGCAGATGGGAAACAGACCAGGACCATCAGCCCCCAGCATGTCGCGCGCCTGACGGTGGCTTTAGGTTGTCCCCTTATGATGTATCGTGCTGTGTGATCATTTTAATATCTGAGCGGGAGGGAGCGTGCTTTTAGACTGCATCTGCATACTTCAGGGAGATGTTGCGTTATTCGTTCATGCTTTTATACTTTAAAAGTGCGGTAGGAACACTATTTTCTGTAAAACGTTTATATTTAGGTGCACGTTAATTTCCACAATTAATACAATAGAGAATATTATAGATTTCCCCTGGACTCATTGCCTCAAATCACAATATTTTTAATGGATAGGGATTTGGTCAATGATCTATATCAAATCTTTTAAATCAGTTTACATCTAGCTGCTGTCCGTGGTGTATACCTTTTGCCTTCACTTCCATATTATTAAAAGGAGGCAGAAATGTTTGATGAATGAACTTTGTGAACTTGTATTTAAATGAGTGAGTTGACAAATGATCATAGGTCAATCTTATTTTGTATGTGTTCATTCTCACGCACTTATAAGACATTTCAGATCCTTCAGCCACAATTGACATGTAAAACCACTAGGACAAAAATGCCATTGGATTCTCATACTTCTGACAAATAAATTGTATATCCTTGTTGTGGCACTAACTTATATTGCATTTATCTATGGTTATAAGTCAATTTAATAGGAAATAAACAAACAACAATTAGCCATAAGAAGTTTATATTTGCTTGTTTGCATTTTATTACACAGAATAGCACAACATTTTTTGACTCTCGGGTTTCACAGGAAAAAAATTGGAAGGCCTGTGGTTAAATCAATGTCCTTGTACAGATATTTAAAACTAATTGCATTACTTTCTATTATGAGCAATTTGGAAATTGTAATTCAAAAAAAAGAAGTACAATATAATACCAGGTCGACTTATGGATAATCACACAAACAAGATTCCTTGGGTTTAAGATTAGTTCTCTTCATCCGCCATGTCCACGTCCTCTTGTAACTTCTGCACCATTTTGGCTTCCATTTGTTTGGCCTTTCCTGTAAAAACAAGACACACAACTTTAACAATGCTGAAATCCCAGAACAGTTTTATGTCTATTCATTTAGGTCTTGAGCTGTATTTTGTTTGACAAAATTATTTTTTAATACTACATAAACTGTAAAACAGACGCATCATCCAAGTTCTTACCTGCATGTGGTGCTTTGATAAGGTGAATATTTTTCTTCACTTCGGTGATGGCCGCTTCCTTGTCCAACTGTTTGCCCTTCTTTAATCTATTCGGTGGAAACCAACAGAAAAGGTGAGGCACACATCATTTTTCAAAACCCTATAAATACCATATTCGTCAAATACAAAAGCAGTGGATGGATTTAAATTGTCAAAAGAATTATCTTCTAACGTGTATTCCTTGACCCCTGTCATGAAAAACAGTTGTGGGGTCAAGAAAAGATTGTTGTTAGAACTCATAAGGCTTCAGGAAAAGAAAACCGGTGTTTAGGGAATCCAACTTCACTTTCACTAAGCTACGTGGTTCTGATGAGACGGGGGACACATGTCAGTGACAAAGCTACAATTTACCAGAAGATGGACTACAAAAAAAGCACATCTTAGATGCCTTCGTCCATGTGTTGTTACAGTGCTGAGTCATGCAGACCACATAAACAACCAGGTTCAAAGTATTATTAACAAGGCTGCAATATAAATGAGTTATGCTACCGATCTGAGTTTCTCCGTCATGTTATGAATCGTCCCTATTTAAATGTTGCCGATGTGAGGACTGAATCATCTCCTTTCCTAAAGGATGGTCCAGTGGTTCCTATGCTAAAGGAGCTAAGTAGGGATGGATTGAAGCACCTTTCCTTAGCATTAGAGAAGTCAAACAGCTCTTATCATGGCAGCCACTTATACTACTTCTGGCTCATTTCACTCAATTAAGAGCAAATTTGACAATTCAAATCCAGCCAGTCACTGAGAGATGAACTCAAAAGTATGAATGACTTTCTCACCTGTTCATGATAAATCTTGCCTGTCGTTTCCGTCTAATTTCCTCCACTCTCTTCATGGCTTCCACTGTAGACATAGAAGTCAAACACAACCCGTCAGTTCGAAAAACAAAAAAAAATTTTTTTTTGAGAAGTAAATACGAGAAATTATTTTTACAATACCTGTTTTGTCCCACAGTCCTCTGTTATATTTAACAGGGATATTTCTACGTTTCTCAAACTCAAGGGAGTTATCCTGAAAAAGAAAAAAATGTTGGATAAGTGTGTGTGTATATAATAAATATATATAATATACAAATTTAAATCACATGAAATTTAAGAGTTCTCCATTGATATTCAACTCACCACTGTCAACTCCTTTCCTGCTGCCTTTCTGAATGCTTTGGTCCATCTTGTTTTTCTTGGGTTACGCTTCTTCTTGAAATTCCTGTGGCATTTTGATTTGCAGAATCTGAACGACTACACACATTTTGAAAGAAGAAGGGAAACTTATTATAAGCACAACATAAGAAACCAGGGCACTTTGGATATGAAAAGGCAGTTCATCTTGCTTGGATATAAAGAGTTCAGGTGTAAAAATGAGGTATGAGACATTTGATAGTAATCAGACAAAAAGTTGAAATGCTGGTTAAGGAGACGATTCGCCCAGCGGAACAGTGGACGCCATTACCCCACAGGCCGAGCAGAAGGCCCTGCTAGTTAAATGTCCGCGTGTTCACGAGCTTGCTTTATAATCAAAAGGCAGTATGGGTCAGGTATTAAGCCTCAACTCCACGTTGTTAATAACTGAACACGGATTAGATAACCATCATTTTGAATGTTAACACCGAGCGAAAATCTAAAATAAAAACATGTCGATCCCACGTGAGCGAGAACGGCACGTTATATTAGCAAGCTAATGCTAGCCAGCTAGTTACACGGCACCGCTTACAGTCAAACCAGAGCTTCAGTTACAGTTAGACGATCATTCAGGTAAAAAAAATGACCATACCTTGCAGTCGTTCCTTACGAACATCACCCCATGCCCCGGGTACACTGGTCCCGAGCAGAAGTAACATTTTTCGATACGCATTGTCACAGCAGAGATGCTGCGTGCCACCAACGGTATCAACAGGACCGCCCGGTTTCTTCTTCGTGGTTTTCCTCCTCTTTTTTTTCTTCTTCTCTTCTTGGATTCTGGCTGATGCACCACTGGGTAGAAATTGGCTGCCCCCATCTGGAAATACCAAGTTCCCATCTTTAATTTCACATTGCAGTGAAGTACATATTGCAGTAATTATAACATTGATGCAGCAATATACTTAGACGTGCGCGAACTCTCTCCTGAACTACTACAACACAGAATAGTATAACCTCTTTTTGACTTTTGACATTTGACTTGTCCTTAACTATATATGAATAACATATTTCGTTAAAAAAAGTAACCATCATGAATAATTCTGAATGAAACATATTAACTGGCCAAATAGCAAAATCCAAATCATTATTCTTCATTTTGTATTTTATTTTTATTAAAGGACTGTTTTATTGTAGTTCATCACGTATGCATTAATTTAGTCTTTCTACAATTCATTCCACATATTGCAACTGTACCTTTCCGCTGATCATATGCAGATAGTTAGTGAACACACATTTCATGAATACAATTAGTATTTCATAATCTTTTATTTTCGACAATTTAATATGAAAAACAGCGTATCCTTTTTAATCTTCATAAATCCCTGTGTTTGTTTAACAATTATTCTCAAGGCTTGCACTATTGTTTATAACAAGCCGTTTGTTTATAAAACTGTATATACTGATATTCACACTATTCTTTATCACCTTAACTTTTCAATAAACAGGTTCATGAAGAGACACACACACACACACACACACACACACACACACACACACACGCACAAGCACACACACTTACTCAAACCCAAGAAAACAAAGAGTGACACACAACGTTTTTTCCAAGAACAATTTTATTATCTAGTATCTTGAGGGTATCAAAAATGTCTGTTGCAACATTTCACCACTTAAAATACTTTTCTTTGTTGCTAACTTTGGATTAGAAGATGTATTTTGCTATTCAAAAGCAGAAATAAAATGTAAAACATAACTTAAACATTACCATTTAAGTCTACTCTATATATCTACAATTGGCACCTGAGTTAAGTCAGCAAAATGATCTGTGAATTTCAAATGAACCTCTTATCATAATACGTTACACAGACAAGCTTTGAACTTAAAACCAGCTGCATTAAATTTAGAAATGCTTTTGTTTACAACTCCATGCTATAAAGAAAAACTAAACAAAAATGTCCAATTTAATCTACGTGGGAATCATTCAGGTAAAATCCCATTGATATAAAATACAGCAGAACAGTTTGATATCTCAAGCTTTTTCAAAATGCCCTTTTAGCAATCAAAACCATTGTAAATTATATCACATTTAAATGCAAATAATGTAAGTGGAAACCAAAGAAAATCACTAAATAACAGAGACTTCAAATTTCTTTGGTTAGGACTATTTGTATTACAAAGATATAAAACTTGATTATGTTGCTCTTCACACATAGGGTTTCTATTTTGATAGTCTGAATCCTTCATCGTCACACCTGGACAGGAAGTACAATGGAGAGAGAAAGAGAATTCTCCCCATACAGCTATATTGTTGATAGGTAACAGATGATTCTCCAAACAAGAATAAATATCACCATCTATCCCTGCTTGGACTACATATTTGGTCTCGTGTCAAATATTTCCACCTCTTAGCACCAAAGATCAACTGAATAAAAGCCACACCCATCTGAGGAAGGAGACAACTCTTTGGATAATAGCATCGGCATCACCGCTGCATTTAGCAATGGTCAGGAAGGCATACGGAGCACAAGCCGGGGAGACGTGCTAAAGCTTTCACCAGAATAAAGCATCGAGAACATGTCTACTGAGTAAAGCATTCAAGCCTCCATTCTATGGGAAATTTACATCATTGGCAAGAACAATATTTTTGGCAAACGCACCCTCAATGTATATTCTCTATATTTTTGGTTGCCTTAGAATATCTATTGTATTATCAAAACTCTTTGGGTAGAATCTTCCTCTTCTTTGGATCTCGTCTCTTCTATAGTATGCAAAAAGCCCTTTCGATATTAAGGCCATGTTAAAGCTTTGAGTTCAGCGCACTGGAAATGCCAAACGATATTGTATGATAAAGCTCAATTAGCTTGACAATATCTAATGCACTTGTTATTTTCACAACATCCAACATTCAAAGACAAATAATGTGAAACAAAAGCTCTTAAAACCATGGAAATTAAAGTTACAAAAATTCAATATAACCCCCCTCAATCTTTATATCAAGACATGGCAATAAAATGTCTTCACCTTGTCCCCTGAGATAATACTGCACAATATATGGTGGAAAGGAGGTAGTAATGTATACATATGAACAGAACATGGAGGTAGATAATCAGTGAAAGGGGCCCAACTTCACCCTCTGCTCCAGTGGAAAGTAATTAAATATAATGAAAATGTATCACAGCACTTTTTCTGACATTCTTTTTAACATTCATCATGGGTGAGCTTTGGTCCAGGACAGACAACGCCAAAAAAGACAAACAGGTAGAACGTTAACGAAAATGGAAATGAGATGTTGTAACAAACATTCAGACAAAATCCTGAGGTAGATCCGAAGCAAAAGCACATTTCGTCCATCGCAGCAGCTGGCGTCCTGGTCCCTGGGGCCTCAGGAAATAACCCGGTGGCTCATCTCAGGAGGCGAACGAGGTAGAAGTGGCGTAGCTCCGGCTGCTGGAGAGCAGATTTAGGGCCGGGGCGACGTCAGGAGGAGCCGACCGCTTGGGAGGTGTGCGGCGCCGGGCGGGGGCCCTCCGAGACGCCGGGGGCGGAGCGGTGGAGGGGATGCCTCAATGTCTCCTCATTCGCCACCTCAAAAGACTGTTTCAGCTGAGCGCCAGCGGGGCCGTCGTCCGACCCGAAAGACCCGGGTCTGGAGCCTCGGCTGGTCGAAGGGTTGCTGGTCTCTTCGTTGGAGTAGTTTCCGGAGTCTCCCGTCTCTCGGCTGCCCTCACTGGCTTGGGAGCTCTCTGAGTGATACGGCCCATAGATGATCTCCCGGGACGACGGTGGCAAGGGCGCCGAACCGAACTGCTCGTCATACCTCAAGACTGTTCTTCCAGCTTCGTACAAGCTCGCTCTCCTCTCAGCCTGATGGGATCGAGATGAGCAGATGCAGATTAAGTTTTTTTTTTTAAAGAGATCAGACTGACAAGAAAGCTGATTGAGCAGAATGACGATGCATCACTTACATCACTTTCAGCTGGATTCCTGATTTCCCTCTTCAGGAGCAGCCACCCCTTGCTTTGACTCTTACTGCCGATTGGACCGGCGGTATTTATGACCATATTAGCTTCACCCTGTGACAAATGAAAAACATATGAGAAACTCTCTAATGGTCCTGTTCTCTTTTGAACATTGGACATGCGTTGAATGAAGAATCACCGTCACACAACCGCTGTTTCTGTCTGTTCGGCTCACCTTGGTATCTAGAAAGTGGTGACTTATCATGGGGACGAGGGCCTCAACATTCTCTCTGTGGAGTTCATTGGCCATGGAGAAAGCAGCAGGGGGACCATCAGCAGCGCCCCCGGCCGTGACCTTGTGACTGGAGGGTTTTCTACAATTTATACAAAGGTAATAATGTAAACAAATGTCTGAATAAAAACAATGTTTATGTTTAATAAAACGCAGTTTCTTTTACTACTGCAAATGATCATGATCCGTACCTTGGTCTTCCCTTACTGATGAGGATTAAGGCACACATAACTATACAGGCCAAGGCGATGCTCACGCCGACAATGATCCCTGTCATAGACCTCTGGTCTATGTGGTAGACACCATCGGACAGGACTGGAGGATAAACAGCAATTACCAACAATTATTTAGAGAAAATACAGGAGGAGAGATGTTTTGGTGAATAATGAATAGGTGTTGCCAGGTGCTGATGACCAATGCCTCCTGCAGGATTGTTTCTTCCATTCAATCTCCACAGACCAGTTTTACTAATGATTATGAATCAATACTCAAAAAGTGCAAAATGCATCAGCTGACAGTAAAAAGGCGTTTTATCAGCACAGGACACATATACTTCCTGAACCTTGACTTATTTAAAGCCTCTTAATAAAATGAAGCCTGATGAGAGGCTTGAAGTAGTATAAAAACACTATTATTATATTGTGAACATACATTTCAAGCTGAGAATTCAAACATCAGAGTATATCTTTTATAAAATGATAAACTGCTTGCCAGCTTCATTCAACCAATTAATCGACTCATATGAGGGACTTTCATGCTGACCTGCTGTATCTGGGGAGCTGTCAGAGTGCCTGGGGTTCTTGCTGCGGTGGTTGTTTCCCCACTTCAGCGCCAGCTCCACGACGTTGGAGAAAGGCCCCTGCCCGACCTGGTTGGAGGCAGATATTTTCACCAGGTAAACGTTCCCGGCCTCCAGCTTCTCCAGCAGGGCCATCGTGTGGGTCCCTGTGAACAAAAGCAGGATTAGAAGCACAGAACACAGAAACAGGTGCTCTTAATGTTGCACGAATAGCTCATTTTACAGCTCCATGTGCCCCTGACAGGTCTATCACATCTCACCCTCCCTCTGCAGTATTTGCCAGCGTCCCGCCATCCAGGCTCTCTGGGAAGCGTAAAGGATGGTATAGCGTGTGACCACCACATTGGGTTCCTGGGGCTCCTTCCAGGACACCAGAGCAGTGTCCTCCTCGATCAGACTTACACGCACCGCTGTGGGTGGTTGGCGAGGTGCTGCACAGAGAAATCACATCCACAATAAACAACACGCGCTAAAAAAAAAAAATGTGGGGAGAAATATGCAACTATCATCGCACCCTCCCCCTGTCCTCCCCCACACACACACATACAGCAGCATACAGTAGTTTACATCATTACCTGCAGGCAGAGTCTGATAATAAACAACAGAACTCCAGGGACTCGACATCTGGTCCGCATGAAGACGCACGACAAACTCATAGCGAGTGTTTGGATCCAGATTCTGAACCATCACGCTCTGTCGGGTTCTGTGGGCGGACAACACGATACATTATGTGCATTTGACAGACAGTAACCCAGAGCTACTGCAGTGTTAGTCCGGATGGCTGAACTATCATTACAAACAGCAAATGATTTTAATTCCAAGGACACAAACACTCTTCATCCCTTTGTGGGGTTCTCAGCTTACGTTTGCAGGTAGCGTATGGCGGAGGCGTTGTGGGTGCCCACGGGCGTACAACGCACTGTGTAGCTGACGGCCTTTCCAGAGGGGGAAGCAGGACGGCTCCAGCTCAAAGACACCGCCGATGAACCGTTGGCCAAGACGGTCACATGATGTGGAGGCGGAGGAGCTGCCGCCATTTGGTCTCTAGCCGCTGAACAAGGACGATCAAAAGCAATATTTTCATCACATTTGCGAATTAGAGAAAAAGTCCATTTTCAAGCTGTATGACTAGTGAAAGAAACTCATGAGAAGTGTACTTACACAGACATCCCGGGGTGCTTATTGTTTGGTCTGTCTGATAGCCATCTCCAGCTTGACTGACAGCCAGAATCTTGACATGATACTTTCTTCTTGGGTCTAAAAGACAAATAACACATTTTTAGCCATTTCTACCCGTGTTGCTTAAACTAAAATTGTCCAAAAACCGGTCGGTCAAACTGACATTACAATAAAGGCATAGAGCACCTTTTTTTCAATGAATAGATGAAAAGGGGACAATAATTTACAGAAATCTAAATAATCACAAAGAAATATACATTTTCTTTTCCTTTTGAAAGCCTATAGGAAACTATTATACCCTGTTGGTACTAAGTAATCTAACTAACAAATACAAAAAAGTTGAAGATTGTTATATTGTTAAGTTTGAGCTAAAAGATTAGCTCAAACGTAGTTTGAAACGTGAGCGTTAAGAATTGTTTACGCCTCTGGTGTGAAAGGTCAGCCAATGGCTATTGACCAGTGAAGGCGATGTGTCCAGGCCTGCTGGGGGGGCTGGGACAGGGGCAGCCTTCAGCTGCTGGGATCCTAGGCCCATGGGACCGGGGGGGGGGGGGGGGGCACCCGGTCAGGCCCCAAATAAAACAAAAGGCGCAGGACTGTGGGAAAAGAGCTGGGCCCCCTTTGTCCCCCCTTTCACGTCTTTCCTACTGGCCTCGCGTCACAGCCTTCAACTTGGAGCAGCGCAGAAAGAAACGTGGCTCCAAAACTCACAGGTATTGAAATCAGTGATGTAGAACCCAGCTTGAGTGGTTATCAAGGAAGTGTTTAAAAAAAAAGACTAAATGAAGTACAGATTAAGCTAGATATTACCACAAAAACCTTTGAATCAAAAACAGTTTCTAATAATCTACCAATTGTTATTTCAACTTTTTGTGGATAGGAACTGCTTCGAAACTCAGACAAAACGTAACCGTCTTAATGGCCCTGGTTCATGTTTCATTTGGACAGCTAGGGGCTATTGATATGGCCAGCACAGATGGGGGCAGGGTCCTAATCGAGGACTGCTGTCTCATGGCTAAAGGTCAGTGGCTCTGTCCAGCTTTGGCCGGTCCCAGGGTTCTTTGTTTGTTTGTTTCAGTGTCCTGCTAAAGGGGGCAGTGGGCTCGGTCTGGCCCCCCGGATAGAACACAATGGCCAGGGGTAATTATGCAACCCTGCTGGATGGGAAACGGTGGTGGGAGGGACATCTGGATCCTGACCTCTAACCCTGGGAGCCTGCTCTCACACAATACTGCAGCCAGACTGGAGGGGGCTACTGGTTAGGGGAGAGGGGTCAGCCCATATTGATCAGGACAGAGGGTGAAATGCAAATATGGCTTCCAACTGACCATTTAATTAAATTGGGACCAAATTGAGTAAGAACGCATCGGTCACTCTCTGTGGTCTCCAAACCAAAAGTACAGGTCTAAATTGGTCAAAAACACCAAACATACAACCTATATATTTCTCATCCATCTCACAAACAGTTACGTCCAGACCGTCACTCACCAAGGCCACTGATGGTGTAGGTGTAGGTTTGAGCCTGCAGCTGGATGATGGGCTGCTCCGGTTGGCCTTCCTCATGGTAACACAGCCGGTAACCCTGGACAACCACAGATTGTGGGGAGGTTTGCCAGCGGGCCACAATGGAGGTGCAGTTAAGCGGCTCAAGTTGAAGAGTAGGGGCTGAAGGCACTGTGGGACAGAGACATTGGGAATGTTATCAATGTTTAAAAATAAATATTGCTAAATTAAAAAATTACCGGGCAAAAGGATGGATGGACGGAGGAAAGGATGAGAAAAGGATGGATGGACGGAGGATCATCTCATTAAGACAATGGTTTGGGTCTGACCTAGTTATTCTCTAAGCTCCATATTGGAAGAACATTAGATTTTGGGAGAATGTTCTTTCATCAGTATTCAATTTTTAGATCTGGCTCTCAAATGAAAAGTATAATGAAATTGGCTTTGCTGCTCTTCATCACCTAAATATATAACCAAACTTTTGATAACAAACTGTCCAGCCAGGGTGGACAAACAGCCTCCCTCAACACACCAGGCCATGAAAAGGCTTTCTTTCCCCCACATAGATGCCTGAGGCCCTCTCTTTATGACCCGTGACTGAGGCCACTCTAACATCACTGACAGCGAAGGGCAAAGGTTCCTGGGTAACCAACACAAAGAGTGTGGGACAAAGCTACAAGAGCAAACTCTACTCCTCTGCGTGAGCTCCAGTGATCTTCCTGGTATTTTAAGAGCAGCAAAACAGCGACTCAACAAAAGAAAAGCATAACCTGTTACAATTTTGGCCCCACCTTATTGGTTCCTGTCACTATAGCAACCTGTTGTTTGCTTCTTACCATGCTTAAGATGCCCAATTTTAACCGGTACGAATAAATTCAATTATCCACGAAACTGCGGAAATGTATGTAAACCAAGCTGCTCTGTGCAACCCGGAGACATTTCTGTCTCTGCCTTCCTGCCGGTTTACCTTTGCTGCTGGAGGTCTTGGGCGTGCGGTGCGAGGTCCACGAGGAGGGCTCGCACCAGCCCACACGCGTGGCTGCGGCCATACGGAGCAGGTAGATGGTGTCAGGCTGCAGGCCCTCCAACAGATATTCGGTGCTGTTCTGCGGCAGCTCCACAGACGTGACAGCGCCGTACGCTGCCGTGCGATAGGACAGTCTGTATGCGGACAAGCGGCCGCGGCTCACCTTGGCGGGCAGCGGCTGCCAATTCAACTTAATGTCTGTGGCGCTCTGGCTGACCAGACTCAGCTCCGGGGTACGCAAAGGCACTGTGGATGGACATGGAAATTAAAAAAAGAAATACATGACTGTGAAGTGGTGATGGACGTCTTCAGATAACAAACGTGAAACAACCAAACTGTCATGTATCGTTATATCTATAAATTAGCGGTTCAAACACCAGAATACCCATCCCCCTTGTTTCCACTCGAAATGTGCTCTGTACACACATCCCTAGCAAGCATGTTAGCTTAACTGCCAGAGTGATTTATTGCAAGGAATGTTGGGAGACTCAATGCTCAATGCTTACCATCCTCCAGGGTATGCTGACTAACTTGATCTGACATACGACTGGCTCCCATCGGCATGTAAGCCACGACGTAAAAGGTGTAGTTTCGAGCTGGCTCAAGGTCATCGATGATATAACTGGTTGTGTCGTTGCCAATAACAACTTGGTATTCTTCGTTGTTTAAACCTGACATGGAACATAAAGTGGGTTAGGAAAAAGGTATGGATTGTTCATGGTGGATGGTGGATGGTGCCTTTCTGATGGTGCCTTTCTGATTGCCGCCACTGAACTTCCTGCAGGACTCTTACAGCGAACCCAATTAAACATTTACAAACGTGCCTACTACAAAGGTAGATGTATCTTAACAAAGTTACTTAACTGTTACGTTTATGCTTTAGGTGAAATGCTTCTGGTTTGCATTTAAGTAAAAAAAACACCCTGTCCCTTTAACTGCGCGCAGAATGAGCGTGGGGAGTGGACAATGGTCAGGCTTAACCCGTTGTTATGTCAGTGAAGCTGCCATTCTGAGTCCTCCTTGACCTCTGCTCTGTGCAGCAACAACAGATGGCCTTCACCGTGGAAGCGTGAGATAGCTTATGGTGGGTTTCCCTGATTGCAGCTCATCACACTTTTTACAAATCCCAGTTCACGAGTATGAATGAATAAAACTTTGAACACAAGTGTGGGTTTATTTCTTTAGTCTTACCTTCCGCCTTCATGTAGTGGATGGAGTAGGCAATGACTTTGTCTGCATTGTAGAGCGGTCTCTCCCAGGCCAGTAAGATAGCAGAGCTAGAGATGGTTTCAGCACGGATATCTCTTGGTGCACTGGGTCGGTCCTCTGACATGACTACTATAAGGCGAGCCAAGGACAGCACAGAACCCTGTTCACTCTCTGCCATGCACTGATAGATGGCATCGTCTTCGGGGATGATTTGGGTAATCACCAATTTACTGTGAGGAAATGAAACAAAATATCAACAATCAGTACCAATCGCATTAAATTCAATCATAACCGATAATTTTCACGGCCATTTGTTTGTTTTAAATGTAATACCTGTTGTACATCTTAACCCTCCCATTTAAGTGAACCTCTTCTCCATTCTTTAGCCACGTGATGCGCGGCGGGGGCACTCCCTCGGCCCGGCACATAAACCGGGCAGTGCCTGCTCTTGGACGGGTCTGGCTCTCGGGCCTCTCCACAATGGATGGCGGCACTAAAGCAGAAGCGTACGAGAAAAGTGATGAAAAAACAAGATAGGGGGCATGGACGTATTATAAAATGAGTTCCAAGGCTTCTGTTTAAAAATCAGATGAAATGTGAGAAACAATGAGAACCAGTTGTTGTGTAACTACTTCCAAGTTTACTCTACCTTGAACTGTGAGGTTGGCTGCAGCAATGGTGTAGTTGCGGGTCCGAGGTGTGGTGGCCCTGCAGAGGTAGACTCCGCTGTGTTTGGAATTGACATCAGTAATGACAAGGTTTCCATTGCCCAGCACCTTGGCGTTGTACACATCAATGGGTTTACTGTCCGCACGGCTCCAGGAGATGATGGGCCAGGGGTTGCCTGTGGCCGCACACTCCATAACCACCGTTTCGCGAAGAGAAACGGTGACATTCTGAGGTCCTGCAATGATTCTGGGCCTCTGACGTGGTTTAGGGGCTACATCTTTACAAGAAAGGGAGAAAAAAAAATCAAAATCAATTCCCCATATAACACGATGGCTTAGTACTTGTTTCTAAAACCGCAGTCCTACAGTCTCTGTACCTTGGTTCACTGTCAGCTCGGCCTCTCTACTCTTCAAACGGCTGCCGATGTTAGTTGCCACACATCGATACTGTCCAGCATCCTCCAGTTGTACATTGTAGATCTGAAGGACTCCATTGGGCAAAACGGTTATTCTGGGAACATGCAACGGAAACGTTAGAGTCACACTGGGAGGTACATGTTGAATATAAACAGAATTCGGGAGCAGCTTCTGGATTACAAATACAAGCTTGTCCACACAACAAGCTGATTATACGATGGTGACTTAAATGACTCGAGGCGAGTCAACAGCTACCTGTCTGTCTGTAGTGGTAATGTTATTTGGTTGAGCTCCCAGGTGATTGTTGCAGGAGGGCTAGAGGTGACAGCACAGGAGAATCGTGCCAATGAGCCCTCGGTCGCCTCCATTGGTACAGGATGCAAGACAAACTCTGAGATGCCTGTGGGAGAAAAAAGGATCAATCAAGGGCAAAATATCAGTGGCAGAACATTTTAATTGTAACTTAATTTATTGGCCTATGGTGAAACCAATTCGCAGTTGTTTTAGTAGTTGGCTAATTATTTAAATATTCTAATATGATTCCTCACAGTCATTTGTTTTGCCATTTTTTTGTGTTTGTCACTAAATATAGCATATTCTGTCAATATCTGGTATGGCATCATACATTATGCATGCGAAGCCCTGACTTTGATGGATGTTAACTGATTGTATGAAATTAATTGATCTTTTGCAGACACCATGAGTTTGGTTTTGTGCAGATGAGCTATCAGGTCCCAAACTGACCAGCTGATCCATTCAATGGATCAATTGAAGAATGACAGTGAAGGATGCATTGTTAGAGAGTTTTTTTAAGCAATACCCTTTGCACAAGAAGGATTGCATGCTTTCACTTTTTTGCAGAAATCAGGGATGTTCTGATTCCACACAGCGGGAAAAATGCCACGTTGTCATATATTGTCACATGTAAATGTTAGGCATAAAACCTGCTGTCTGTAGGAACGGATTAGGTGGAAGATCAAGTTGCTGAGTCACATTCTGTGGATGTGTATTCAAAGAGCCTTTCAATAATCACCATAAGTAACAACCCCCGGGCTGCATTTGTCTCCAGAATACTCTGTGAGATATGACCAATGGCCTTTATTCATTAAGGTGGTAACTCTCTCCCTCCCCCCTCCCACACAGGAAGGAAGTCAATATCATGTTAAAGAAAATCAATACCCAGTTCCCCCACTGAAGCTCCACATTTAAATCCTCAGCCTTGGGACAACAAATTTAAAGAGCAATCCATTAATTTGAGACCTTTATCATCAATATAACACAAAGAAACTGGAAACCGTGCACATGGGAAGTGCATTAGGGAATAAGCCTAAACCAGGGAAATTGTTTGTGAACAATTCCTCCGAAATGTCAGTCGCTTTGCTAAGCGTTCATACATTACAACCACATCCCATGTAATCCATGCAGGTATGTTGGTCCCTTTAGCCGCCTGGTGATATATGACAATATGATGTTTTCTCTTCACGGGGAGATAAGCGTCTTCACTCGTGTTGGGTTCTGTGATGCAGATGGTGGGTGTGGCCTGCACGGACTGATCTGCTAACATGGTCACCTCTGTTGTAAAGAACAAATCAATTTCTAGGTCAAGAAGCACAAAGGTTTCCCTAAAAAGGTCAAAGTTTGATTCAACCCACCCCGTCCATTTATCTCCAACCCAAACTCTGGGCTAGATCGAAGTCATTTTACCATTAGTCGGCAAAAGAGGATCTAGTTGTCTGAATGTTGTTGGACTCCGTGGTAGTGTTACGTTATAGATAAAAAGCACATGTGTACTTATTTTGAGGATATTGTAAGAAATATATGACAGAAAGCTCACACCTCTGCCATTCCAAGAGGTGCTGAAACACTGAAAAGGAAAATAACCTAACCTCCTGGATGCAAACATGTTTTTGGAAGGATCCTCTCTTTTTTCTGGAATATGAGGACCGTTTAATCACATGACAAACTGGGCTTTCTTCAACAAAAAGGCTCTGCGTGACAGGGCAACAGAGGGACTGATCCAGTGAAAGGCATTGTGGGCTGGGAGAGGGAACAACAGGGCAGCCCAGCCATAGGAGGCCTATGACATCACAAAGGCTTTCCCTGCTGACCCATGACCCCCAGGACCTGCGGACAGAAGGGGAGCACAGAGGAGGCCCATCCTCCACTCCACACTGCCTACAGCTGATCAGAAAACCTTTAACCCATTCCCTGACAAAGGCTGGGTGCCAGGCCAAACTTGAGTTTTAGAAAAAGAAAATGATGTGGTCATCCCTTTTTTTTTTGTTGCTCTAATAATAATAATACAATTGGTTGATAACAATAGCAACACAATTGTCAGAGCAGACTTGGTGTGTTTATAAGCCTGTTAAATGTGTTTCTCATTATTTATTATTATAATATCTGTGTGGTAAAAGTTTTGTACTGTCAAGTACTGGGACATATTGCCCCAAACTTTCCAGCCTCAGCGTCAGTATCAAAATCAGTATATTTCAGAGGGTCACCCTGGTTTCCATGACACTAGTCAAGGGATGACCCCTAAGACCCGTGAAAAGCCTCAATGGTAGACCAGGCCCATTGAATAGACCCAGCTGGCCTGTCAACTCATATGTGGACAAACAAATGCCCTGAAAAACTACCCTTTTCTTCTGGGGCGGTCAGGGTGACTCCAAACAAAGGCTAAAAGCCAAGTGGCCTTTGGGAGATTCCTCTGTGTAGCAGACCATTCAGCAAATACACAGAGCCACAGACTGCACCAACAATGCAATCCCACTAACACAAGAAGAGAGAAGGCTAATTTCTGGCTAGTTTCCTGGGTACTTTTATAAGTAAGTGTGCAAGTGTTGTGTTTTCTCCAAACAGGGAACAGAGAGTGTACACAGACTTAGAGCTGCCTGTTTATAGAGTATTTACGAGCTTTTAGATTGACTCTCCATCTACCTTTTACTGTCTCCTAAAATGACCCAATAACTGGACCGACAGCTTTAAACTCAAGCATGACTAAGCCTGAACAACTTCAAAAAACATTAAAGATCAGACTTTAGAGGTTCGTCCTCAGTGAAGAAAAAGAGAGTGGGGGACATCTGCTTCCCATCTCCAAGTTAACAACCCATGAACCTGCCATCATGATGCCTGGGTGTTGACACCACTGTGGATACAACCATCAAGTATAAACCGGCGTTCCAACACTTGAACAGGAATAAGGTCCACGATAGCAGCTCCATACTTACTTGCGATAGTCACACGTGATCTTTGGCTTAGGATAGCTCCATATTTGTTCTGGGAGAGGCACTGGTAGAATCCTTCATCCGAATCCTCCTCGGTATGCTTTATCTTTGGTATGTACAAGGAGCCGTTGGGCAGGAACTGTATGTGCTCACTTTGTGCCAACTTAGCTCCATTCTTCAGCCACTTGATGGTGACCGGAGGCAGCCCGTGGGCCTGACAGTCCAAGACCGCAGGGCGCTTTGGAAGAAAGGTAGCATCACTGGGCTCTGTGATGAAGGACAACTCGCTGAAACACACAACACCTGGAGGAAAAGAATGGGCCCATCAGTAAAGAGTTGGATGTTTTTTTCTGAGTAACTGTAAAATCACAGATAATAGATGTCATTTTACAGCAAAATGAAATTGATGTAATAAAACACGTTTTGAAACAGCACACTTCACGGAGTTGTCGACCTTAGTTTCTTAGCATGACCATGAAGCAGCTGTAATGGTGGTTACCATCGATGTATGATGTGCGAACAGAATAAAAAAAACCACATGATTTATCTGTCAGCAATCGTGATGTAACGTTAAAGTATGCATGGTGTTTTAATATTCCCTTTCGTTAATATTAGAGATGAAGTTCGTCAGCATTGCTTGATATTAGAAACTATTAGAATGACCGGTCCTGTAATCTCACCCGATTCAATGTTCAGAAAACAACGCTGTCTTTACACTAAATAGTTGTATATGTCTGGTCGCAACAATAACATTAAGCCAACACCGTACACGCATTTAACGCTGTGTGAATCGCGGGTATTAACCACGATAACATCAGCAACAACAACAACAACAACAACAACAACAAAACGACAAACTTACTTGCTGAAGGCAGGAGCAGAACAATAAAGAGCCAGTGCTGGAAGAACTTCATCTTAAACTTCGCCATTTATCCGGATTTGTGTGTCATTTTTCTGCCACCGCGACCGGCCGCTGCGCTGCGTGCTGGGCACTGAAAGCACTGAGAGCCCCGCAGCAACGAGGGCTCCGCGGGGGACGTGTGGGGGGGCTGCTTCTGACGCATGCGCAGACGACAGGCAAGAAGCAAAGCGCGTCTTAAACGACTGAGGTCCGGGGAACGCAGGGGCCTTCAGGTGGAACTGACGTGAAAGAGCTTTGGTTTTCTCGAGTTAGTGCAATTTGTCCCTATTTCTCAAAAGCTCTAACTTTATTATTGTGATTCTCTTTCTGCATGTTGCTAACACGTCTACTTTTTTCTGTATACTTTGTATTTGTGTCTCTTCTGTTGGTCAACTGTCCCTTACGTTTGGGCATTTTCTCCCTTGTACAGGTTTTTTAGCCGTTTTCCTTCTGAACAAAAGGAGGAATGATGTGGGCTTTTTAATTCACAAGACTTATCTTGGGTTGGTCAGACCGTTTTTGTTTCTTTCAGTCAAGTTATTGACAATAAAGTTGAAAAGCATTTACATTTAAAGCTCTAATTCGGTCCGTACATCACTATACAGTAAATGCCATACATGATCACCAATGCCGATTTCCCATTTTGCAACTTAGCTGTGTGAGATTTTATCATATGTTCTACAACCCAAGAGGAACATAGTGAAGTATCAGTTACAAAAGGCCACTGGTAATAAGGTCATCCTGAACAGCATCTGCTTCTACCAGAAAAGCTGGTAATTATGAGGAGATATTGATGACTGCAAGTCAGCCATCTAATGAATTCAGATATTGATCCAGAGACCGGGCCTTTTGACAATGGCCCTCCCGTCTCGCAGCCCTCATTCAATAGCAACACAATGGGCTGCAGCTGTGAGATCAGCCGTGCTGTGTCAGCAAAACGCACATCCATTGATACAGGTAAATGTAGCCATCGCATTCAGGGTGGAAACTGTGCTGTGCTTTCCAATAGGTATTAAATAACTTGTATTCTTAAATGTCTATAGCTTGTCATTTAACGATTGTAAGGAATTATTGGCATAAACATGCACCTCTCACTCCAATATCCAATCAAATGAGAAGACGGTAGTCTAATTGTGTATTTATTACAAGCAAATATTGATTTAATCAGCCAAAAGCTTAGTTGTAATTCCAAGCTGTAAATCAGAGGCTTAGGTTAACCGCATCCTGTCATACTCAATACTTTATCAAGAAACACACTTATGTTGTTGTTAATAAGTCATTGATGGTTAACCACAAATTAACTGATGTTCTTCTGAGTTGACATGTATTAGCATAGCAATGGCATAGATAAAAAAAAAAGAAAAAAGAGATGACATGTTGTTTCTCTGCACAGAGACAGCGTTTCAAGCTTTACAAAACCTCCATTGATGATTTCAGTCTTGAGAAGGATGGCAGATATAATAACCTAAACATGACTGTCTGTAGCTTTCCTTTCCCCCGTCGTTGAAATGTTCTATCTAAACATTTCCGTATTGCTTGTGAAATCTGACGAGCCACGCGGCCAAATGTTGTGCTGCGGAGGTGGACGTTACCGCTGGGCTCCACATGGCTAAAGGTTCGGCTTTTGGGCCGTGATCAATAGGGTTAAGGTCATTAACATGTTATGAATACCACGAGGCCCTGGGAAAGCAGAGCGGAGGGCCAACGAATTGGGCTCTGAGCGGCTGGAGCGAGATGCTGGGACGGGCCAACCTCCCCGCCCCCTCCCACTGACCCAAAAGGTCACCTGAAGAGCTGATGACCTCTAACCTCAAGCCAAGAGGGTGAGGGGAAGGCTTGCATATATTTGATTGCTAAAATATTAAAAGTGTTGGCCCGAAAAAACAAAAAACAACAACAAAAATAATATATATATATATATATATGTATATAGATTACTGCGTCTGACAAAAATATTGACAGCCTCCTTTCATAAGCAGCATGAATCCAATCAAAACTGTCTTAGAAAGTTTGTATTGAGATCCTAGTTTTGTTCCCTGATATGTCATCACCAGCAGAGGGCGTTTTACCAGTACAGGCCATGACATAGCATTGTTTTTCTATAACAATTATGCCTATTCAATTATAATTATTTTTAAACCGCAATGTCTAGTAAAGTTACTTTCTCGAATACTTGGGAGGTAATTTATATTCACTCCAGTAAAATACTTAGCAGTAATAATCATTAGCAACAATCATTAGCACAGACACAGAAAAACATTCTTTAAAAAAGTTTATTGGCTTTTAAAACCACTTTAAAAATCTCACCAGTGAGTACTTTCCATTGAAAAAAGAAACAACGCGATTGCAATATTAACAAGCTACTGTACATTAAGCAGTACACCAGACAACACCACAGAGGAGGTTTTTTTTTTTCTTTTTTTTTTTCTACTGGTAGAAATGGACAAGAGAGTCAAACAGAGTTGGTTCTGGGTCAGTTAAAGGTAAAGAATCAAAATCACTGTTTGGTGGAGCTCCTGTACTCATGAAGAGGTGCATTTCCTTCATTCAAATTCATATCAGTGCCTTATTATTTAATAAAAACACGAGAAAATGTTCAAATTTCTTCACAAAGGCTTTCTTTTTTTTGCAAAATAGGAGAATGTGAAACCAACAGAAAACAGTCATCATGAACATATAAAACAACGTTAACTTAGTAAACAGGACACAACAAAAGGAATCAAACCCATGAAACTAGCACTGCCAGTCTGGTTAACACAACCTGCCCAAATCACAGAAGACAGTGGTTAAGAACCCAAAGTACAACAGAAGTCATCACACAGGCGTGCGTACAATCGTTTAGCAACATATTGAGCATGTAGGTTTCAAAAGGTTGTTTTTAACTCCACCCTCCTCCTCGATGCTTTATATTCTCATGTATGAGAATGAGTAAGAAATGTGTATCTCACTGAGATTAATGCACATTTTGCTACAAGACAATTAGTCATTTTCTGACGGTTAATTTCCCTACTCGTCATAAAAAACGTTTTTTTTTTTCTTTCTTTTCTGGGCATCCATCATTACGTTTGTCCATAAGGGTGTGGCAAAGCAATGTGTCATAGAAATTTAGTGCAATAATGTAAACCTCCAAAGTATGTTGAAATAATAATTTGTTTTTTTTTCTCCAGTGTCTGCTGAAAGGCTTTGAGCACAATGGCTGTCACAGAGATGCTTGCAACCAGCTAACAGTATCACAACTTTGTTTTTTCTCAATACACCATGCTATTGATCTTGCTCAAAGCACACATCACTTCTGCAACAGCAGAGACCTATTACTTTTGAATATTAAAAAAAAGCAAAAGAAAATCAGCAAGCGAGACCAGACAGCATTACTTTTACAACACACTGAGGCAGAAATGTAACACACAACATACAGTATCTTGCCGACTATAGATCTAAGCTTTTTTTTTCTTTTGAAATGGCACGTACTTAGCTAGAATAATGGCCATAATATAGTGTCTTGATACATCAAATCTCTATGTATCTATCCTATTTACAGATGGAGCTTAAACATGACTTATACAACATTGACAATAGCCAAAAACTCAAGCAAGCGTCCTACTTTACCACATAGCCTACCTGGCTACCATGGTGGTTTCGACATGCTCTCAGGTCCATGACCTATAAAACATAGGACGGTGACCCTTTTCACGAATTTACATACTGTACATAAGATTTACGCAGCTCAACCCTTTTCATCGAATGCAATAAAACTTTTATATCTCAGAGGTCGGCCTTTTTTTTTTTTGCTGTTAATGTCTACCAGGACTGTCTACGCGTAATAATCTCTTATTTTATTTAAACAGATTATCTTTGGTATGGAAATAAGGCTGGATTTTCCGCAAACAATTTCATTTCCTTTTAATCCCGAGATGACATCAAAGCATAAATGTCAGCCTCTAGTTTTCTACGTAACTAAGCCTTCTCCATACCATTGATATTCTTATCCAAGCTGGGAGTATAGCATGCCAAAAAAAAACCAAATCTCCTGACTTAAAAGTGTGCCTGCCATGTTTTATGGACAGCCTATCAAATACCTCTTAATCCATTACTGATAAGGGCACACAGTGTAGTCTTTTTAGCCTATACAATACGCATCTATATTGTAACACTGCAAAACCAAAATAAGAAAAAAGTACTAAAAACAGTAACAGCTGCCTTGATATGATGAAGCTCTAGATGGTTCTAAAGAGTCTTAACGTTGTACTATATACAGTCTCTCTATAGATGGCATAAGGCCTTGTACTTTGGGAATAAGGCAACCAGTTGTTGATTCCTTTCGATGTATCGTCCCCTGAGGGGCCTGAATTCCCAGCGTCTCCCTACTGATTCAACTACTCCTTTTATAAGATATCAAACAGTACAAGAAGTACAGGCTTTGAGAAGATTTCACTCTTGGTCAATGCTCAGATGTGAATCAGTTCGGTAAATGATAAAGTATAAAGATTATGTGTTAAATTCAGCACCTGGGAGCATGTGATGCTACCCTTTTTCCAATATTCAGATATGGCAGGCAAATGTACTACAACTATTATGTGCATATACCACAATCTCAATATTGTCTCATTTGGTAGAACTTGAGCCGCACACATTGAAAATAGTAAACGACAACATACGTTTCACTTGGTCGTTTGTGCCAAATTTCCTGTCCATCTCATTCTTTCATTAAGTGTCCGTTGAATACAAATATTGCATTTTTGACTGGTTGTAACAAGGAAGCTTATGTTTCCTTTACTGGTCACACGGTACAAAGCTGAACTTGGTTTGTAATTGCATGCTGCCACCAAGAACTCTCACTTTTTCCTTGAAATGCTTACATTTCTAATTTCAGATGAGGGAGATAAATGGTTAAGTACTGAATCTCTGGGTGACAAGTGAAAAAGGAGACAGGTAACTAAACGTCAGTAGGAGTGATTTTCTGGTAAGCTTGGCACTTTTAACAGAAACGAATGGCAAAGTCCAGACAAATCCCAACTAACTATAGTTTAAAAACAGATAAAACTACATACGCACCAAACGAACAACAGAGAACAGAAGCCATAGAGTAAAAGATGACTTTAGCCCAGCATCTCTACTGTAGTAGGCTGGTCTTTGCTTTCTAGCCAGTCAAAGGAGTTCACAGTATCACTGCATATTTGCTGAAACAGCGGGTCGTTCTTCAGCTCTTCCAGTGTGGAGTCTTCGTATTGTTCCTGCTGTTGATTGGGATCAAACAGCAGGTTGGTGTCCAACGTGTTAAGGTCAGTGATGCTACTGGACAGATCTGAGGTCAGTCTGATGTCGTTGGAAAAGTCAGATGCCACAGCGTTGAGCTCTGAAGCTACCTGACCCACCAACTGGGAACTGGGATTGAGGCCATCGTCCCCCAGCAGGTCCTTGACAGTGTTGTTGAAATCCAGCTGTTGCTGCTCGTCCTCTGCCTCTGGCTGCTGTGTGCTCTGGAGGAGGAGCTGCGGTTGTGTTTGCGCGGGATTCTCACGGAGCTGCTGCTGCTGCTGCTGCTGCTGATGATGATGGTGGTGGTCTTGGTCACCAGGACCTGCTTGTGCTTGGCCCTCCCCAGCGGAGAAACTGCCCTGTTCTCCACCGCCTGTGGTCAGGTAGCCATGCTGCTGGAGCTCAAAGGCAGCGGGGCTGGAGCAGACCGGCAGCTGAGTCTGGTGAGCGGTTCCTCCGGCGTAGCCAGGCGTGGTCTCCAGGATCTGTGTGAGGTTCAAACGGGCCGTGTAGTTGGAGGAGAGGTTGTTTATGCCCAGGCCGCGGACAGAATCATCGCCATCAGCTTCCATCTTGCTCAGAAGGACGTTGGTGATTTTGACGGTGTTGCTCTGACCCTGCACGGGCAGCATCTCACTCTGCATCATGATGTTCAGGGGCACAGATTGGCTACGCTGAACCATGCTGTGCACGGAGCTGACCGTCTGACTGTTGGACGGGATGCTGAGCACCTCGGAGGTGATGGGGGTGTTAAAGGGGGAAATCACGGCTCGGATGGTGGTGGTGATGATGTTGGTATTGGTGGTGGTTAGAGGGTGGGCGTTGTCACTGGGGTTCCTCTGGCGCACTGCAGGACTCACACTGCGGCAACGGAAAGTGCTGGACGCAGAAGAGGTTGATGCCTTGCTGTCTAACGGTGCAGGCACAGCAAAACTCTCCTGTTTTGTGGGTGTGTTAACACTCGTTACCAGCTGTTGCTGCTGCACTGGGGATATGGGGGTCAACCGGCCAAAGTGAGCAGGATCCTGCCTCGACTGAGCTTGAAATGACTGGCCTGGGATCGCAAAGGCATGTGGCTTACGAAACTGGTCATCTACCAGGTCTTGGTAGCTGGGCAGAATGCCAATGCTATGGTTTGGCAAAGGACCTGCAGAGTTGCTGTTGTAGCGGTTGTTGATCCACTCCAGCTTGGCCTTGTCAGGGTGCGTCGCCATCGGCCTTTGCATGGGCTTAACGGGGCTGCTGGAGACAATGCTGGCATCATGATACCCTGTGATGCTCGAGTTGATCGGCGTGAACGCGAAGGGGTTCCTGCACTCCACCGGGCTCGGGGGAACGCTGCTGCTGCAGTTGGACAGCGGCGTGCTGATGGGGGTGTGGCGACCCATGGCTCCGTCAACAGGGGTGATGGGAGCCATGCGGGAACAGGGGCTCTCTCGCGCCATGCTGTGACCAAGCGTCATCTCGGGGGTGGGTGTCGGAGTCGGAGTCGGCGTGGGAGTCGGAGTTTGGACAGGAGTGGTGCTGCTGTGGGCAGAGTGGAAGAAAGTAGAGCCGGCCTGGTGAGAATTTAGGATAGAGCCTTGACTGCTGGCTGACTGGCCTTGGATGGACACATCCACACAGCTCCCGAACAGACCCTTCAGCTTCATCTGCTCCTCCATTTGCACCAGCTCCTCCACGATGCTGTCCTGGGTCATGTCGTCGTCGTTGAAAGGGAAGTAGTCCATGTTGGGCTGAGAACCGGCAAAGTCAACCATCTCCTGCGCGAGGCTCAGCTGGCCTGAGGCCTCGGGGGGCTGAGCTATATTGGAAAGTTGGTCAGAAGGGGCTTGTTTGGGTTCTGCTGGTATCTGCTGCGCAAACGCCTGCTTCCGAAGCTCGTCGAGCTGTCCCTCCTCCCATATTGTGCTCTTCAAGTCCCTCATCACAGAGGCTTCGTGTGCTCCTGAGTTGGCTGGTATGGTGAGAGAGTCCCTGGTGATCTGCCTTAGCAACGCCTGATCCGGCGCGTTGTTTCCAGCTGCTCTTGTATCAGCGGCGAGAGAATGATCCTCGCGTTTCATCAGCAGGGCCTGGGGTTTGACAACAGGCTGGGCGCCCTCGCTGTGTGTGATAGGCGAGTCAGAGAGGGCAAGGATCTGCGAGGGCCCTGCGGAGGTGTGTTTCACAGTCGCTTTGCAGGGAGCACTCTCGGGCCTGGCTGGGGTTCCCGGTCTGGGGATCCTCTTCAGAGCAGCACTGACTGCAGGTTTGGGATTATCGATAAAAGCCAGTGGCTGCTGGGAAATGAACACCCTCTTCACAGGAATGACGTGGGCCTCCCCACTGGGGCCTGTGCGCTTTCTTGGGCTCTTGCCGTCTAGGCAGGGATCTTTCGATGTCGGGGTAAGAGCAGAGGAGCCATTGGAGGATGTGTTGCCAATGGAGTTCTGATTATCAACAGTCAAGTACAAAGTGCTGCCATGGCAGTTAATGCTATTGCTGTCTAGAGTTCCAGCTACAGCTACCGAGGCGGGAGGGGGCGTAGGGTCGCTTTTTACCCTTGACCCTCTGTCGGGTCCGGGAGAACACTTAATCAGGAAGCTCGGCTCGCTGGCCGCCCGGAACTTGGCCATTCCTCCCTCTTTGGCCCCGGCAGCAAAGGTATTGTCATTTCCGGCTTCAGACACCACTTTGAGGTCGGAGGACAGGATGTGGGTGGAGACCAGGGGGCCGGTTCGGATTGCAGGAGACTGAGGGGCAAACGAGGTCCCGCCGTGCGGGTGCTGAGAGTCGTCCAGAGCAGCTACGGTGTTCACACCCGCCGAGGCGGGACGCACGCTCGTGCCGCCGCTGCTGCTGGGAGCCAGAGCGATGGCCGTCATCTTCACCACGTTAACCGAGCTGACGTGGGGGGTCGGCATCACAGTTTTTATGGGGCTGTTGGTGATGAGCAGGGCGGAGGGCGAGCGCAGCGTGATGGCACTGGTGGCGGAGGGCTTGGGCAGAATTTGTGCGTAGCGCGTACCGTGTCGCGCCAGCCGGTCACTCACGGGACTGGCGGAGATGTTCTGAGGATGTTTGGGGGACTGTTTCACGGACTGAGTGACCACCTGGAAGTTCACGGGCAACACTTTCCCTTCGGAGGTCCCCACCGGGCTGGGCGAGGTCATCAACTGCCGGCCTCGCTGCACCTGGGAGAAGAGAGGTTGACGATACAAAAACTGCATTCAGAGCTTATCGAAAAATACGGAGCATAATCGGAGTGGAAGAGGTAGCCACATACCGTGACTGGGCTGGGCACAGCTGCTACTACGATGCCTATGGTGGGCTGAGAGGAGAGCAGAGCGGGGCTGCCACAGGGGATCGTGGGGCCGGGAGTGCTGGCCTCCGTTCTCTTGACCTGGGCCTCGCTGGGCAGGGGCGAGTGGAGCTTCTGCTCCTGCTGCTTCTTCTGGATCTTGCGCTGCAGCTGCTGCTTGGCGTCAACAGAGGGAGAAGGCAGGGTCTTCACCTGGGGCTGGAAAGAGTTTGCCTCAGCTGTTGGCACAAACGCAGACGCTGGGGTTGGCGTCTTCATTCCTGTGAAGAGAAGGAAAAGGATATCAAAGAATTAGGGTCAGTAAGGGTACAGGCGTTCAAACCAGGTGAAGCCAATAGGGACGATTTAAGTAGCTCTGGACTCACATGCGTCACATTTCACATGCAAGCACGGATTATCACGTACAATATTATCAAGTGGTTCTAACATACAAAAAGGTTTTCAAAAAAACTAAAAAAAGATGAATTAGTATTCAAACATTTTGGGCTAAATCTGCATCATGGCGGTGGTTAACTTGAGTGGTTGACTATATTTTAACTCCCATGGACAGCTGTCATCTGGGCACATGGACGGATTTAGGAGACACACAAAGCATCGCATGAGGAAAACACCTTTTGGAACTAAAACATCTACAGAAAATCTAGGCTTTATTTTTTGGAGAGCAATAAAAGTTTTTTTCTCACGACATCAGTTGGGGCTCATGAGATGCTTTACTTAGTGTACCTTTTTATTTGAATAACCTAACTTAATAACTTGAATAACTTTTCATAACCCAATCAACTGTTGATTTCATCATTTAAGAGAAAATCCTGATGTGTGATTTGACGGGATTTGGTTTCATCGTTGTAATAGGTCATCTTTACTTGCAATAGCCCATGCTTCTGTTATGACGCTCGTAACTGGCCTGGATCAACAAAATCACAACACCAGCAGCTGAAAGGACCTCTTCCTTTACCTGTAGGTGTTCCGGTCATAACAGTGAGCGCAGCCATGGACTTAGTACCAATGTAGTGGCTATTGAGCAGGAAGCGGGCCAGGTCCTCCACGTGGTCAAACTGGCGGCTCAGGACCTTTTGGGCCCACTCGCACACCAGTCCGCAGGCGGCAGATCGCATTTCGTCCTCAGCACTCGGGGACTGGCCCGTCGGCTCCATCAGCTCGCACTGCAGGCAGAGGGCAGCGGGTGGACGAGCGTCAGACAGCTTCACGTCAACCACTCCGTATTGACAGTAAGTGGTCTTTTATAACTCATTTGAACTTACCCCATCACCAGACTTCTGCAGATCCAGGTTGGGTAAGGATGGCATGTGAACAAAAGCCTTCTTCCTTAACCCGCTATAACAGTATGTGGGAAGGAGTTAAGGAGTCTGAAACATCATGACGGTCTGTTGAGAGATTTTAGGGGGTCTGGTCAAATCCTCATTTTCTGTCTCATCTATTCGTGTCCTTTTTTAACGCAAACCATAAAAAGGTACATTCTCTGAAAATCAGTCAGAAATGGTATTACTACCACAGGACAATACGTTTGGTGTATTGACACAACTGTTAACTATCAACAGCTTTAGGATTTATAACCTTAAGACTACAGCAGTTAATGCTTTCCTGTGGTTGCATTTCTCAGCGGTACGCCAATAATTGTTGTCTTCTTCTTCCTGTGCCGTTTTCATATTGTCCATCAACTCATTTGTATTCAATCTGATTCGCCAATGATGTGATTTCTTATTATAGGAATCCTATCAGAGGTACGTGAACAACACACGCAATCAATTTAAGCAATTACAGCAATGTTGAACGTAAAACTCATTCTGAGAGGAAATTAATGATCTGCCTCTTAAAATGGCATCACTACATGTCTGAAATCAACTCACAATTGGAAGAATACACAAGCAGAACAAAGGGAACCATATCTTAAAAAAAAAAAAAAAAACTGTTCATCAGAATGAAAGGATATTTGGATTTGCCCCTCATGCCCAGTCGACGTGCCTTCATGTTAGGAAAAACATTCTTCATGATCTTTCCGAAGTCGGCTGCACTCAGGGGATTGTAGCCGAGATTGTCACAATAGCTCCTGCAAGAGAGGATGGTTCAGCACGAGAATAACAGCGAAAGCCGTAACGGTGTCGCTGTGCCCCTCGGAGTGTCTGTTCCACTCACTTGTATTCATCATACACCTCTTGCTTTGGGAGGGAAGTCTCCGGGTGCTCTTCTAGGTGATTGCGTATCCAGTTGAATGCATACATCTGTTGCGTGCGGCTTGACGACATGGAACTCTGATCACTGAAATGAGTGGAGAAGAAAAAATGAACGTGGCGAGGCAGAGTCCTCCATTCGTACGCATCATTTCTTGTTAATACAGAAACTTTAATACCATAATCCAGGAGTGGAGGACCCCCTCTCATTCTCAGTCCAAATGGGTAGAATTGGGGGGTCGGGGTGATGAATAGATATGGGGAAACAAATGAAACACACACAGCTAGGTATAGTAAAAGCCTACAGAGATCAGTGGTTCGCTTCACAATGATAATCAAACATACAGCCGGAAAATTAAGGATCATTTTGTATTAAAATAAAACTCACAAGTGACCAACAACGTAAAACACTTTCAATTGAATTGTTAGGAGCTAGCAGCCTAAACCCTCTGCAAAGTAGACCGTAGACAAGCAATGAAATAACAGTGACACATAATCTAATGAGCGTCACAAAAAGAAGCAGCCATGTGTGAGTGAGACAAAGAAAAGCCGAAGAGCAAAGTGGAAACAGTGTGTGTGTGTGTGTGTGTGTGACATACCTTTTATCATTGCCATTGCTGGGACCAGAAGGCAACTTCAGGTAGAGGTAGAGTTTTTCGATGTCTGTAAACTTCTCAACATCTTGCTGTAAAAATGTAATTAACACAAAAAACAGGGTAAAAACATAATTTATACAACACAAAATGAAATTTGTTTTTCAGAAGAAAACCTATGAATGTATGCCCTGGGAGAGGAATATGGAATAGAGAATGAAGATAAAAGATGCCGTCAATCGTAAGATGCTAAACCTTATTTCAGGTTATATCTAATAGTTTTATTTAAAAAGGTCACCGAACCAATCAAAAACAGACAGGTAAGGCAGCTGCACACAACCTCTTTACTATAGATTTCACCCTAATTGCTTTTCAATAGGTTTCTAAAAATGGACTCATCTTACCAGTTTCCTTTTCCATTTGCCTCTTTGTTGCTAGGGGAACCAATACTTGGTTGGACTGGAATGAATGAGGTGAGCAGCAATAAGCAGTGAATGAAAAAGCTAGTTACTACACTCAATGGGTCCATAGTCCTAGGATTAATTAGTCCTCCCCTGCTTATCCCCTAACATTGATCTTTACACCTGACAAAATAACCTATACAGATAACTTAGGAAAACAATTTGTCAATTTTCATGCTCTCAAATTGAGAGATTTAGTGGACTTTGAAAACGCTTAATGCATTAAGTAAAACATTTATCTGCACAAAGGACAAATGTGCCTCGGGAAAACTCCTTTAAATAAAATCATTGGTATTCAATTAAAAGAAATTAAGCTACATTTCATCCTACATATTTTTGGAAAAGATACACGTATCGTCGTTCTTCTCATTTCTTTATGTGTTATCTTTTTACTTCAGTTGTGTACTTATTTTTGTAAATAAAGTCCACAATAAAATGGGCTCGGCTGCCTGCCTGCACATTCCGAGGTGGTTGCTAGGAATGAGGTTGCTATGGAGTGCAGCCTACACTAGCAGCAAGCATAATTACTTGTACACCACAGGCTAGCGCTAAATTGATTTTGTGATTTTGCTTTTTATGTAAATCAATTTTTTTTTTTATCTATCCAAACCAGCATTGGGTAGTTTGTGATTTGTGGTGCCAGAGGCGTGGATAGTGCAATTCTGCTTGCTTTCAAATATGTTAAGACTAAAGTTCAGACGTCAATCAGATTGATTCATTTCAGCTACCAGTTGTATAATGCACACTCCATAGAAGAATATAAGATGATGTATGTATGTTTTCATTTTCAAACAACAGCAGTATAAACCAACGATAAACACATTCATTTTTGTCTTTTTTAAACTGAATCAATACATGCAGGAATTAAACTAACTTTATATTTTTCATAAGACTAAATTGTGGGTCAATGTGACCAAATATTTTAAGAGGTCTGTTACTTAATTCGCCGGATTAGACAAAAAAACAAACAGAGCTTTTCAGTACGAAATGTACAATATCATTACAGACATCCGGATACGACCCCGTACACATGTGGGACACATTCTACTGCCGGTCTGACATGCCGTGTCCAATAGGGTCATTTGTAGGCCTTCCATGTGTTTGCACATTGAAAAGGGACTAAACATGACAGACGGAGATGTTAAATTAAAATAGAAACTGCCAATGATGTGTATTTTCTATTAGTAACAACAAATGACACTGACATGGACACTTTGCACTTTGCACATGTGGCAGAGTAGCAAAAAGAAGAAGGTTTCTGTATATTCCAAAGAGATCTGCATATTTACAGGCCAATGTAATATACACTACAGTAACCGCGGTTCAGCATTAAACATGCATGTATGAATTATTTCTCATTCATAGCAAAGCTGTTCTGATGATCCAGATGAACTGCTGTGACTCATGATCAGGGGTTGGTGGAGTGTAAGGTAACAAACAACAAAGTCTTGGCTTGTGCAGGGGGAACGCTCCGTTATGGATACTCACCAATATGCCGTCCACTTTTGATTGTACAGATTTGCTGAAATACAAAAGAGTAGCAGAAGTCAGAACGGGGAATAAATAAGAGTTGCAATGATATAACGTGCATGGATACATGTAGGATTTGCCAGTTATTTAAACTTTGTTTTCTCTTCCCCTTGCTGTTTTTTCATTTATTAATGTAGTTTATATATTTATATATACACACACATACATACATACATACATAAACAAAATTAAGAATGAATGCTATGTGTTGAAACATCAGTAATTAGACCTTAGATTTTCAACAACAATATTAGAAACCGTGAAAATATGTTTCAGAATGTTTTGCACATTTTTTCTATTGTTTGCATAAGAATCAACTGCAGAGCTTGCAGCTTTGAGTCTTCTTCCTCACAGAAGATCATTAAATTCAGTGAGGTTGAATAGTGTGTGACCTGCTAGCTTCTCTCAAAATATGTTCTGGAGCTTCGGCTGGGTCATCCGAGAACATTGAGACACTTGTCCCAGAGCCACTCCAGCGTTGGCTCGGCTCGGGGTTGATGTAACGCAGAATAGTCTTCACCTTCGTGCCTAGTCTGAGACTCAAAAAACAGCCTTTTGAATTTGGCTGCAAAACACACACGCGCACGTCCTCATTTCCTACTCCCAGTGGACCTTCAACAGTATACTACAGAGTAACTAAGGAGATTCATTTTAGATGCATTAGTGATTATCATTGTTTGTGTGCTGTCACACCACTGCCTCTGTGAAATGCAGTGCAATTGCATTGCATTCTGGGATCCACCCCATGGACACACAGCCCTTTTCTCACAACACGTTATGACGAGTGACGGTGCGTCAAAGTCCAAGAGTTACCAACATGAACAATGGCTCTATTCCTTGTGGTGGTCCGAGTCCACCATGTAGCAGTGAACCAGCGAGCACAAGGCCAGGACACTAAAACTGAAGCACTGTTTTTTGTTTTTTTTAAAGCGGTGTTTCTACGACAGTGACACAGTGAAATGTCAAGCATGCAATGTTTTATTTTAGACAATTGAATACATTTCCTATTGAAGATTTGATGTAACGGGGATTGTAGAACACTGAACCATATAGTTGGTGGTAGTAGATATTTCACACGCATTACTTGTGATCACTTGTGAAACACTTCAAATAAATAATATCAAAACATGTGCACTGATGAACGCATAGCAGAAACTCGTAATACCTCATTTGCAAATAAAACATTGAAAAAACGTAAAAGAAATTTAGACGTCAAGTACGTTAAGTGTGCACAACGTAAAAGGGCTTTAAATTCCTTTCAAAACTCGGTGCACAGTAGCTCATAATCATTTTCCTGCATGGTGTGTTTTAATCATTTCCACCGAACGAGCCCGAACCCGACCCCGTGAGGAGGCACCGCGCTGCATTTAGCGAGAGACGCGGTGGTTTGACACCTGTCACCCTGAGCATCAGCAGCGCACTGTCACCTCTCACATGGCCCCTTCGGCTCGGATGCTAATGACTGCGGCCACTAACGCGTCGATAGCCGCGCGGTGCGACGTCTCGGCGGGCGGCGCGGCAGCGGCAGCGGCATTTCCGTTAAATGTCTTCAGTTAGCGCGAAGAAGCTCTCGTGTTATTTTCAGCCGCTTTTTTGTGCGCACACAGCAGCTGCCCCCCCCCCCCCCCCACACACACACACACTACGCACCCCCACCCACTCCACAGCCAAATACGCTAATTACAAGCAAAAAAAAAGGGCAACGAGGCTCGCTGGAGCAAACGTCTCCATCCTTACCAGATCGAGTTCTTTATTTTGAACTGCAGCGCGTTGGCCTCGGGCCCCTGGAGCCCCGGAACCAGGGCTGGGAGAGAGCCTAACCCCGAGGCAGGCTTCGGACCCGGTTGTTGTTGATCATCAGCCATCGCGACGGAGGGGTGGTGATGGTGTTGGTGTTGGTGGTGGTGGCAGGAGGGAAGGGGGTGGGGAGGGGTGGGGGGGGTTTAACAAGTAGGCCTCATCCCCGGCTGTGTACACTGCGCCGGACCCACCGCTGCTGAGCGGCTCAGTCAGCTAGGACAGCCCGCTGAATCCACCGCAGATCATGGCTACAAAACGCTGCGATCGGACCCTCGCGAAAACACACCGAGCTAAAGCAAAAACAGCGGCCGGCCATACAAAAAGGCATTTCGCAGGGATCTCGCTCTCTCTCTCTCCGCTGGCGCAAATAGCACGCCTGCAGCAGACAGCAGCTACGGACGAGCTCGGCTGCGTCGAGTTGGGGACGAGAAGCACGAACGGGCCCGGAAGTACGCTGGGATTTCACCTTCGAAATAAAAGCATGTGATTTGAACTCTAGACGGTTTCATCCATTGAAGCTGTGTTGTCTTTATGTAATAAACACATGTCAAGATGTACGTTCGAATAGCTTTTATTATCTCTATCAGATTTATTCCTATCGTAGTTGCAAAATCCAAAGATATTAAGAGGATTTTTTCTATTTCCACACGCAGGGGGAGTTTGTTTAGAATTTAAAACCCTAACAAGAAAGCACAAGGACTTGTCATCATCATCAGGCCGGAATATTTTTATGGGTAGTATAAACTCGAGTTATAATTATAGCGAGCAACAACTCTCTCAATGTAGGTATATGTTGTTTTTAAGACAAACATAGAGAGCGATGAGTTACTGGATGCGGCCTATAAAAGATGTGTATACAGTATATACATATATATGTATTTGTCAGTGCTAAAATCACCTTAACCAAATAGTAAACCAAGGAATAAGAATACTTATACTTATAATAATAAGAAAACTATATTTGACAGTCTATTATTCATCTTAGCGTAAGAGGAAGGCTCAGAAGACACAGAAAATCATGTCACCACAGAAATCAGAGGTAACGTCAGTTCCACAGGTTTTCACAATATGTAATCGGTATTAAATATAATTTGAAGTATTTCTACATTGGTACACAATGGTCCTCCTGAGCCCTCTGGCTGGAGTGTAGATTATTCTGACTATCCTGCCATCCAGCCCCTAATATTAGTTACCTTTCAAAGCAACAATGCCAAATACTTCACTAGCGGTAAGTGCGTGCTTGAATAATATAATGAATATCACCACAATATCTTTGGGTTTTAGACTCGGACTGGTTAAACAAATCAACAGTCAAATTAAAATATAATCTCTGGAATTTATGTTGCGAATTGTTATAGAAAAAAATGATCAGCAATGATTTAGAAAATACACAAATATCGTTCATGATAATCATTGTTATAGCCCTATTTGTGTTTTCATTACCTACGTAACTAATATTCCCTGTGCTACAAAATGGAAAATACGTAGAAATACTTGATGATGAATACGGTTACGGTTATTTTTCCAGCTGCTGTGGGCGTGTGTGGAACTGAGTCTTAATGTTGTGTGTTTTATTGTGTTGCCTCCAGCTTGACGCTTTTTGTGTGTGATGCAGTTCCGCTATGAGCCGGCAGGGGCGCTGCTGCAGGAGGCTGGTTGGTCTGATAGTGACAATGACGGGTAAACAGCCAGGATGATATCACCTCCCCATGTAGACCGGTCATTTATCAGCGAGTGTATCGATCCAAAGATCACCAATGTGCTTCAATCGAATGGTTATCTACTCAGACTCGTGAAGAAGGATATACCGAAACACAGAACAGATTGCTGCAAATACTTCGCTCATCACACAGTTAGGCCTAAACTATTTTTTACTTTACAGCTGAAATCGGAGACACGGCTGACGGAAAAAAATAACCTGAGAATATAATTTTAATTCAGACTGTCTGTAGCCGATATATATATATGGTGCTATTTATCCTTCATGAACATATAAAGTGAGAGAAATGAGGCCACCAGGTCAAGAAAAACAAGGCTGAAGTCATTTATTTCATCATGACTTATTTTATACCGCCATCTGTTGATGGAAACATGTAACGTTACTCCACTGACACCACGGACAGCAATTGACTCACGTGCACAGAAACACGCATAAATACACGTTGGAAAGGCATGTCTGGACAAGTTGGATGACGTAATAAGATAAGAATAACAGGAACATGTTTTTCCTCTTGGTTCCCTTTGGATTGCGGGGTGTGTAGTTGCTCTGCTCCAGTTTAGTTTATTTCGGGTCTCTTAGCACATTATGAGACGGCTTTTTTTAAATCTTTTGCGTTTTTCTTCCAATGCATATAACCTGGTGATGGATCTTTGACATGCGTTCAGAGGTCTAGGTCATACATCCAGGTACACAAACTTTTAATTCCAGGGTGGAAAGTATTTTACTTGATAATTGTTATTTTTCTATTTCCATTTTATAATACTTTTATTCCATTGTACTTTCTACTACAATATGTTTCTATAAGCTATAAAGATGTTATGGTATTATGATTATCAAAATACCCAGTAATCCGTTAAAATCCGACCCATTTGACAGTTTCAATGTTAGTGATGCTTATACATATCCATCACAATTTATAATTTAATAAACATTTACTCTAAAAAACGCGCTTTTGCGCAATGAATACTTTTAGTAAATTAGTGAATTTTCTATATTTTAAAAATGATGTGGATATGTTATATATTCCTATAATCAGTATTTAAAAGTGTAGGATATTAGAAACAAATATACGACCCGGATCATAAAATGAATAAAATGCATATAGTGTACACCAGAATACAGCCATGATTCTGAAACGGTGTAATCAATAAAGTAATAACAATATTGTAAAGCCACTGTAATTCTGCAACTGTAATAGAATAATATCAATGCAGTTATGATTGTATTTGATGTAATGTAATCAACTGGAATGCATGCATGTAATACTTGCACAACAACTGATATTGACTAAGGATCATTCGAAATCCGAGTTACATTGAACTCACCAGAAGACCACTCCCAGAGGTGTGGACACTGACTTTCACACCTTTAAGCATTGGTATAAATACCTGTAGGAACCATTGTTCTGGAGTTCGCTGGTGGAGGCGGCAGACGGGCACTAGGGATGGTCAAAGGACTGACCTGGGGCCTGTTGGCTGCTGAGACCAGCGGCTCCTCAGCTGAGATGTTCTTTTTACCACAACGCCATCTCTTTTATTAAATACATTTGATTTAACCTTTTGATCAGCGATGACCTCTGTCCGTCTGGCGTTTCTTCATTTTTGAATACAACAAAAGCCAGTATTAAGTTGAAAATGATGGTGCTAGATCAGGAAAAGTTTTTCAAGCTGATTCTATTAAAACATGACACAGGTTCCATTTCTACAGGAGAGTAGTGAGTATTTTAGCTGGTGCTATAAAATGTACTCCAATAAACTTATCCATTATTCTGAAACATCTGGCCCGGTAGAAGATAACTGAGACGGCGTCACAAACACTTGCTATTTAAAACTAATTCTACAAGGACATTATTCTCGGAATAGAAACATGTACAGGATAATGAACACATAATGGGTTTGTTTTCACCACCCTCTATGGTGATGAAGGGCGATGTGCTTAATATGAATGATATTTTCCAATAAAATGTAGGAAAATGAATTACAGCTGGATGGTTGTCAAATTTGAGCCCCCAATCAAGCTGTAATTTATTCGTTAATAAGCTGATTATATTGTTCTTTAGCTGAGACATAAACCTGAGGAGTATGTTGAGTAGGGTTCAATACTGGTGTTGTGATCATACACCTACTCTTAAAAGTTTTGTATTTTAAGAGAAAGTTGATGACGAAAGAAAAAGATTTATATTTTGGTTTAATAGTGACACAAACATACATCTTGTGTTATATCTTAAACTAAGCTGTGGTTTGGGGGGATTGTCAACAAGAGACCGATGGAGATGTTCTGTATAACAGAGCACTAAGTCTTTCCTGGAATGCAGAAACAATGGTCACAAATGAAGAAACATACGAGGAGGAAGACCTGTGAGGTAAGACATAATGTTACAGCCACAGATATTACACATATGAGATTCTACTCCTTTATGCTGAAATTGGGGGTCTAGGTGAGCATTCCAACTTCTGGTGTGGTGTGCTTTTGAAATTGTTAAATATTTTCTCATATAATAACAGGCTTTGATTACGTTCAACATTTACATTTAACACTGACATATAACAACATTAAGATATTCTTAAAAACCCCTTCTTCTCTCCATAACATACTTCTGTCTCACAGATACACACACAAACAAACACACACACACACGAATGTGTGTGCTTGTTAGCAACACCGGAGGTGTGGAACAGTGACACTTCATCTAAATCTCAAGAAAATGTTGTTTCCTTGTTAGTCATTGTTTTCTCACTCTATTTCTGACCTTCGGTTGCTGGCTATTCTGAAGTGATTTATTTCACTGTCAATCTCCTGTCACTACTGATTTGGGCTGGAAGGTCTCATCTCAGCAGTCTTTGCCCTTGCTCATTCTTCAGAATGTTAAGATGTACACAACATTCTTACAAGGTTGCTGCCATTTTTGTGACCATGTGGACGTGGACACAATTTACACTATCTCAATGGAACTTTCTTACTCAATAGATGTGTAAGTTTACGTTGAATGTTTATTCCGATTTGATGCAAAATATTACCTTTAATATTATGTATTTCACATTATGTTGTGCAATATTCAACAAACACATACGGGGGAAATTCCTACTTAATATCATAACAACACATTGTATAAAAATAAATGCATAATGACAAAGCTGACCAACAAATACTCAATGTTTTATTTCTTTTTTTTATGTTTATTGTGGTCTAAGAGAAGTGCAAATACTTCTAAAAATATGTACCTTTTGTTTATTTTGCACACTTAATCCCATTCCCGCAAACACAATTTATTCGTTTTTTTGTAGACTTAATGAGCCGCTCCCTGGAAATCATGCCGGTTTCTCCTTTGACTCTGGTGGATGTGGGACAGCGAGGGCACCGTGGTGCACAGGTCGCTGAGCTCTCACGTGCACCAATCCTCTTACAAACCCCCACTTCTTCCAGCACTCAGGCCAGACTATAAGATCAGCTTGCCGTGCTCCGGTCTTATCCCGTACATGCAGGAGATCCTCAGTACAGAGTCACGCCAGCAGGTATCAAACTCCACAGGCAACACGCATGCATGTGTATAGTAGGTCGGTTTGCTTTTGAAACGCATTCACATACACATCCTTGAAAGGCGTAAATGTAAGTAAGATGATATGATTGATAATGAAGGTGTACCGTTTAACCCAACTTATTTATAGTTGTCTAGTAGCACCTCTGCTGGTAACCCAATTGTAATTCCAGTATTTAAGAGCTCACTGACAGAATTTGTTGTTGAAATGGATTGGAGCGAAATTAGAGCTAAAAGGATTAGTCGATAAATTGTCCATTAAAAGAACATTAACCTTACATGAATTCAATCATATAATAAGGTGGTGTTGTAATAAGGATCTACTTTGTGCCTGAAGTAAGGCAGAAATGATTGAAAATCTCCTCAAATTCTGTCATTTTATTCCAAAAATAGTACTCCTAATTCCAAAATGTGAAGATACTTTATTACCACTCTTCCAGTACCAGGCTGAAAAGTGGGAGTCCCTGGCTTTGACGTCACTTACACAACCTCTCCCGGGCCGCGGCGTTGTTGCAGAGTTTATACAGCATCTTTTTTTTTTTTTTCTTCTTCTCTATTTTCTTGGCGTCCTCAGAAGAGCGGATGGGAAATTCTGATGTCATCAACCTTGGCGCAGCGGGGCTCAGGAGCATGCGGCCCCTCAGGGTGCCACGATTGGTGCCCATGTGTTTGTGCCCTGTAGATGGTAAAATAGATGGTGTGGCGCTGCCCGCCTGTGCTGCACCTGCGTCCCAGCATGCTGATTGATCAGTTTGGTCATGTGGAATGTCACCATCTGCTCCCCAGTCCCACTCACCCTTTCTTGTGTGAATGCCAATCACTGGCAGGAAGATAGTAATTTAAGCCATGTCAAATCAGGCGCATGACGATGAGCAGTATGCCAGCGACACTAAAAGTGTGTGTCACAAGGCGTAGTATGCGCAGCAGCATCATGTACAGTAAAAGGACAACCAGGACTTCAGACTCAAAGGGTTTTATCAAATGTTTTATTTTCGTTGTCATTGGTTGGCCACATGGAAATAGAATGGAAACAGATTTCATGCCCCTGACTAACAAACAGAATTACATTTTGTTATCGTGGGCTGCTACAATGGCCTGCATGTGTTTTTATTTGTTGGCATGGAAAAGTCTCCATTTCCTCTCTCTCATTTTGAGCCCGGCTCCTTATTCGGCCCCCTTCAGTTGCTCTTTTTTGGCTTCTTAATGGCCAACAGCGTATCAGGGGGCCATCAGGGGTGACATTCTTCATTGTACAGCGTCATAACCATGACATTTCAACCATGGGAAAATAAAGATATGCAAATTTGAACTCATTAACATTTGCTTTACCTGTTTGAATAATCACCCTCCTGACAAGATTGCAATTAACTAAGATTGATGCAAAGTTCAGGGTTAGGGGACTGTATATATTTGCTCCGGGATCATTTACCTAAAGTGTGTCTGTGTGTGTGTGTGTGTGTGTGTGTGTGTCATTTTGAGTGTTTTGCATTCTTAGTGTGTCAACTAGGGGAACTGATCTCTGTCAGAGGTAAAGGTCATTCAGTAGCCGCTGGTGTTCCTCAATCACTATTGTTTGTAGCACTCCTCAATGGTGTTATTCATTAAAGACACCTGCATTGAGAACATATCCTCATACAACATCCATCCCAAGCCAATGGAATAGTAATCTTTGGACAGATACTGTTTCTCAATGAGGAAGGACATTCTCACAAATGATTGGTCTGCTGGAGATGACCCGGTAACCCAGATAACGCTAGCGTGGAGAGCAGGGATTAGACTTAAAGAAAGCTGAGTGCACTGCAGAGCTCACCTTCCTACTGGTTGAGACCAGCAGACAATAGATGTATTTTTTTCTGCTCTTTGGTCAGTTTGCTTTCCGACTGGTCTCCTAATCATAGTCCACATCCTCCAAAAGTCAGATCCTGGCAAACCACAGCATACGTTTGGTTAAAGAACAGAAACAGGTATTATGGCAGTATTCCACATTGACACAGTAACATGCGGCTTCAAAGTAAACACTGGCGTATCGCGGTAAGATAGATAGATAGATAGATTGATACTTTATTGATCCCTCAAGAGGGAAATGTTGGTATCACAGCAGCATGTACAGGGAAGAAAATAGAATAAAAAGATACACATTATATACAATATAATAAGATAGAAATATTAAATTATTAAATTAAATGAACTAAAACAAAAACAAAACAAAAACAAAACAAAACAAAAGAATAACCTTCCAAAAGAGACAATAATAATTTGTAAAAGGAGAAGAGGAAGAGCAGCAACATCACAGCAGTACAGGGGTGTTATTGTTGTTATTTGGCCAGAGATGATTTATTGTAAAGTGTTATTGCACTGGGCAGGAATGATCCTTGTGTCAGCGGAGCTGAAGGAGTCTATTGGAGAACGTGCTCCACAGACCACACTGCTGTCTCAGTGGGAATTATTTCATTGGGTTCTTGTGAGGTCTTTCGAGTACAAAAAGCATTGCCAGGACACTGTGGCACACTGCAGGTGTGAACATCCCGCCAAGCAGCAGTGTGTTTTTTGCCTTTGTGGCAAACTGTATTTATGTAACAAAGTGAATACTGCAGGACATCCAGCAGGCCAGCTTTGTGTACTCTTTACACACTCTGATCTGGCTGTTTCAACATGAGCAGTTCACTTCCTAACGAGAGTTTTCTAAAGTCTGAGTGGTTCGTTTGCACATGCAGTAGGTCACTGGCCGTTTCAGGGCAGCTGACGGTGGATTTAATCTCGCACAGGAAGTAGAACTGTTTAGGTGTTTTAAATGAACCGCATCAGCATCACACAGAGAGACTACCTTATAAATAACTTTTAAGCTAGCCGCTGGACGAGCTAAGTACACCACGCGTGCCTACAAACTGAAGGTTCCGATCTATTTGTGCATGTAGGTCAGACGGTGTGTGTGTCAGCCTCTGTTTTCTGGGACCCTCTACCTGTCTGTGTCGTCATGCATATGATTCTACACAAACACAGGATGACATAGGAGGAGGATGACAGCTGAACCACACACGTTATGGCTTTTTATCCTTCTTATTTTCCCCTGGTGTGGTCAATGTTTGATGATGAGTGGGTGGGGGAATTCCCTCATCATATCCAGTTATTTTCATAATGCCATTTTGCACAGATTCCTTAATAGTTGACACTAAAAACTACAACCTGCTTATAACAGGAACAGGCCTGCAAGAACAAAAATGGCATCGTCCGTTGGCCACCCCTCCGGAGGCCGCAATGGTCCAGCCCTTATTTGCATAAGTTTTCTGCGGGGGGGGTGCAGGTCGGGGGAAGGAGCGCATGTGGGCTACAGACACATGAGAGCAGAACCGGGGGCTGCGCTCAACCAGACGGAGTTATGTACTGTGCTCACCCGGTGTCCGCCACAGGCAACGGCTCCCTCATGTACTGCTACGACGTGAAGCCGGTGAGTAGCATTGTGCTCGGAGGGAACATGACACATGTCACCGCGATGATGCTGTTGCACTCTTTAGTGTGCCGTGTTGTTGCTTTAGTAAGACTGACACACCTTTTTTCTCTCTTTTCGTCTTTACTTGTTAATAACGGCTGAAGAGGAGGCTCTTTAACTGAGAACCAACGTGTAATAATCTCCTCCTCTTGCTCACACACCTTTTATTGAGGCTTTTTTTTTTAGAACTGTTGGGGATGTTTGATGCTCTGCACAGAACATTTGTTTGGAAAATGAGCTGGTTTCATTTTGCCTGTTTGCATGTTTGACAACAGAGAGAGAAACAGTGGCAGAAAGGTTTTATTTTAGGAGTTCATCTATGATTTGTGATGAATCTGTCTTGTCACTTACTTGTGCACAGGGCGTGAAGCTTATTCTTGTGTAAAGTTCCCTTGTTTACGACTGGCCTGGGTTAATCCAGGACAAGAGTTTGTGTAACATAAGATTAAATGACCTCCTGGATGCCCATTGGTCACTTGTTCGTTTGGTTCCATCTAACAGCAGTTATGTCATTTCATCAACAATTCCTCCTGCTTCCAGCATCCACGGCGCTCGAGCAACACCTCTCTCACTTGTTTTAACAAACTCGTGTTGGATCCGTGCTTCCTGTCCTCTGAGCACGGCGCAGTCGAGCCCAGCAGCAGAAAACATCTTGACATGAAGCAGATTGCTGCTACTTCTATTTGATTTAACCCCCCCATGTCAGAGCGGCGCAGTGCCTCCACCACTGCTGCCATTATCAAAGGCGGCTTTGATCTCCGTGAGACTAACCACATCCAGACATCGTGGATCACAGAGGCAGAAAATTGGTTGCATGTGGCTGGAGTCGGCCGTGGCGGAGCACAGCCTAGGCCCTGAATAGCAAGTTGATATTTCACTCATCTAGCATGGTAATGCTCTGTGCATTGACAATGTCTGTTACATAGATTTCATATTTCAAAAGAAAAGAACTGTGTAAATGCATCTAATTGATTGTCAAAAAGGACTCGTGTTTAAAATGATTACTTCAAGCCCATATCAGGGTTTTATAGTATTTCAATCCTCTATTGACAGTGTTTTCCGTTGGTTGAAAAAAAGCCCCCTTATCATTTGTGATGCGGTGATTGATGGCTCCTAAATCAATGCTGTGTTAAAAGAGAATGACACGGTGACGGCCCCTCTCCGGCGGGGGGGGCCACAGAGGGGCGTGCTGGGGCGGGGGTGTGACCATTATTAACGGGTCGCCTGCTATGCTGATGGCAAGGAGGACAATTGGCTTTATCCTCCGCCATATGCTGCCCATGGCGGCTCAGACGGGGCCAGTGTCGGCAGGGGCTCCTCTGTTTGGCCTGGCCCACAATCACCATGGGACTCATGCCAGCCAGGGTCACGGCTGTGTGTGTGTGTGTGTGTGTGTGGGTTTAGGAGCGTGTGTTTATTTGTGTGTGTGTGTGTGAGCCTGTGAATGTGCTCGCAAAAGCATACTCGAGAGAGTCTTTAATAGCCTGCTTTACAGAACTTGTCGTCCGGGTAACTGACACCCCATTGATGCTGTGCAGGGAGGTTTATTTTCATTTCCTGGGGCACATCAAAGCAGTCGAGGAGGGGGGGTGCAGGTGCAGCCCAGACCTCTTGGTGTGTTTGAGCGAGTGAGCATGTGTTGGGTTTGTTTGTGTGCATATGTGGGGTTTTCCAGCCTTTTGCTATTACAATTAAAACCAACGGTACCTCGTACATTTTCTATCTATTTACAATGTTTGCTTTTCCCCAGAAGGGGATCATTAGGGAGACACTGGCTTCTCAGTCTGGTTTCGTTCAGTGTGAGAAGGCCTGTAATTTAATTTATATTGGGGAGGGAATTGTATCCAAGTCTCCTGAATCCAGCCAAACCTGATCATGATTAGGGCAGGGATTTCTCATGGTGAACGGTTCCTAAATCCGGATGAGGAGGTGCATGGATCTGCAGCTTATGGATTATCGCAATAGCTCTAAGTGTGCATCAGCTCTCTGCTTTGTTTTTATAATACTGTTTGCTTCAGCTCACACAGTATTCACGCGGTTGTGCCCGAAAGGTTTAGTTTGAGTGTTCCAGACGCCTGTCGAAAAATAATGGTTTGTATGCATTATGTTATAGTTCACGATCGACAAAGCCACGAAAGTCACCTCTTCCCTTTTAGGTTTATGGGCAGTCTCCCTCTAATGACGACGTCAACCAGAACTCATCTTCACATCCCTCCTCCAAGGCGCACAGCAATGTGTTTGCAAGCACTTTCTTTGGTGAGCTGAGAAAGTCATAAATATTCCAGGATATTTACACACAGATTGATGCTTATAATGACAAATAATGGAACGGCTAGAAGTGTGACATCTTCAGAACTACCTGACTTTAATGCAAACAGCCTTTAAGACCATCATCATTGCACTCCATCTAATGGTTGTTGAGATAAAACATTCCAAACATCACATCAGATATATAAATTGTCTGACACATTTTCTCCATGTAGCTTCACAACTGGCCGCTTGAGACGCTCCTCCTGTGCACGCTATGACATAATGTTAACGCTATTCCAGAGGGGATGAGCAACTCGCCGGACATCTGGAGCGCCGTGAATGGGCTGAACCAGCAGGGCTATGAAGGAGCGTCGGGGGCCGCCACCACGCAGCGGACGCCGCCGGGCAGCTACAGCGTGCTGCAGCCACCGCAGCACGGCCACCTGGTGAGATTCGCACCCCCCCCCCGACACCCCCTCCCCCCCATGATAATAAGAATTAGAATAATAAATATGATGTGCGTCTGCGTACTGTTCAGGACTACTCCCCGCAGTCAGTGATGGCTGCCGACATGAACAGGGCTCTCCCACCAATGTCCACTTTCCACCGCCGCAGCAACACCGTGCCGCGCACTCCGTCAGTCAACGCCTCCGAGAATTCAACAGGTGAGCAGACGGACAAAAATGTCTTCCGTGTGGACTCTCTGCTGTGATCATTCACGACGGGGGTTTTTCTTCCGGTCTCAGGGAACAAGGGACACGTGTCAGCAGGGTCACAGACAGGCGATACCTTGGGCAAAGCTCTGGCCTCTGTGAGTATGCGACACCTCAATCCCATTAGAGCGGCTCATCTATGCCGCGTTGTGTTCCAAACAGCCAGCGCGGAGCATCAGAAGGGCCATGGTGGCTTGTCCCCGCTCGTCTCAAACCAGCGCGCGTTGACAAAGGGCGGAGCTCTCGCTGGTGGACTTCTAGCGAAATCACCAGAATTGATGAGTTTAGTTCACGTTACGAGCCCGCTCCGAGCGCTGCGGCAGCAGCTGTAAAACTTCACGCGGAAATGACAGGGAGCCCCCACCCCCCCCTTCTGTCTCTCTGCTGTATGCTGCCAGATTTATTCCCCCGATCACACCAGCAGCAGCTTCCCCTCCAGCTCGTCCACACCGGTGAGGTCTCCGTCCCCGCTGCAGAGCGGAGCTGAACATGCAGGTAAGATGGACTAACACGTGCTGCTGCCCAAATGGGGATTATGACGCATCTTATTCAACCCCTTTGTGGTCTAAATATGGTGGTTTTCTGTCTCTCAGGTACCAACATGTGGCCCCGGGCACCAGTGTCACCACACTATGAGTCTTCACTTATATCATTGGTAAAGATCTAATTGCCTAGGGTTTAATATTATTGTGTACTAGATAGATGATGAGCATAATGTATATAAATATATATTGCACTCAATTCTAAATCAATCGGCTGAAAAATGAAAGAGCTGAAATTTGGGAAAACAAAAAAGCTCTTTGTCTAATTTGATTCAGATGCCATAAACTCCGTCCCGATTGGTAGACACCACTTCTAACATCTGGTGTCCTGCGTTGGCAGTCGCAGGTGGAGGACCGGCTTGACAGACTGGACGATGTGATCCACGTCCTGAGGAACCACGCCGTGGGCCCCACGGGCGGCCCCCCCTCTGACCTCCACGGCCTGCTCAACCACAACCTCCACGGCCACCTGGGACCCGCCAGCAGTCTGCCGCTCACCTGCCACACCTCGGCCATGGTTAACAACCGTTTCTTTGAAGTCTTTAAGAAAGGGCAGGCCGGTGTGTATGGAAGCCGTGTGTTGTTTGCGTGTCTGCAGTGTGTGTGTGTGTGTGTGTGTGTGTGTGTGTGTGTGTGTGTGATGGTGTTCAGTTACAGGAATTTTCCACCCGCTACGTCGGCATGTTTTTCCTCATGTAAAGGTTGTTGTCCTTGAAATAGGAAACGGAGCACAATGGGAGAGCGCTGTGACGCGTTGCCCTTGTGTGGAGAGAGAGCACGGTACGTGCGCACTCTAATTCCACAAGCGGGGTGGCGGGGGGGCGCCCCGCGTCGTAAAAATCCCCATTCCAGCATGTTTTCAGCAGACCGGGGGATTTTGACCCAGCTGGAGTGGAAGTATATGCAAGGGAAAGGGTTTTCTGAATCTAACCCTTTGGGGGAGGGGGAATTAAATTCACTTACTTTTATTTCTCCAAATGATGTGTCTCCTAGAAGTGAATCATTGTCTAGAGAATTAACGGGGCGCGCGGGGGGAGCGCGCGGTAGTTTTACGACGAGGATTAAGATGGTCTGAGATTAAATTCATTCTGTAGAGGGGGAAGATCGACCCGGTGTTACGTTGGAAACGAGGGGGCGGATGTCGGTTTGGTGACTTGTTTGCCGTTGCTTCAAAAAATGGTATAGAGCTGCTTTACGGGACTGAGCCCTGCTCGCTGTCTCACCAACACATTATATAATACAACATTTCCCTTATCTCCTCCCTTTCTTTGTTTGTGGTGAAGGGTGAAGCTGTTAATATGAACAACAACCACTCGGCCTTCCAGAGTCGGCCACCCAACGGCCATCCGTACCCAGCCAGGCAGAGGACGCCTCTTCAGCCCATGCAGGGTGGAGGTAGATGCTGCTGCATGTTTCACCTTCCGCATCTGAACTTTTGAACCTTTTGAGCCATGAAGACTTAAATGCTCTCACAGCTTTATTATATAGATCTTTTTTTTTTTTTTTTTTTTTAATTGTGTGATCTCCCACAGGAGGTCTGGGAGTTCAGAATAATCTGGAGCTGAAGATGGAGAGCAGGGAAAGGGAAGCGATGATGCACACCAGTCACAGCTCTGACAGCCAGAGATCAGATGATGAAAGCGAACTCAAAGCACAAGAAGAAAACAGTGGAAGTAACAGGTGAAAAAAAAACAGGAATTCATCAGCTCAGAAAAAGCTGTGATGGGGAAGTAGCACGGCAGATTTAAAAAAAGCTCTTCTTTCACTAATTTAACATCCATCCAGACCCCCTGATGTGAAGGGCAGCTGTGTCCAGGCAAGCATATTTAGCTCTGCCTCATCTTTCTTCTTCATGTTACAGTTAATTAAATGAGCGAAAAAAGAGGAGCTGCCAGCGAGCAGCAAAGACATCAATGTTAGGACGGTGTATTTTTGGTAGTGGGGTTCCTTTTTTATCCTACCACGATCGCCATTGAGACTCAAATGCTCAAAAGTTCCACTTAGTAGGAACAATTATTGGGGCAGCAACTTTGATTTTTATTTCCAATTCATTTCCACCAGCTAATAGAGAAAATGCATCCTTACAAGATGCAACGATTCAGGGTTTTTTAACACATTGCTTGTTTTGTCAGAACAGCAGTCTCAAAATCTCCCAAAATATATTCCAATTGCAAATATATAAAGATGTAAAAGGAAGCATCTTTATAAAACTAAATAATTAATCAAATAATTATTGTATATTAAAATAGTTGTTCATTAATACTAATATTTTAAGCCCTATTTTTGTCATAAGATCATTTCAACCTGGTCATTAATGGGGGAAAATTGTCTTTTATTAGATTTGAAATGAGCTTGTGTTTTGAAACCATCTTTCTGTCTGTCTGGAGAACCTCACCGATTAATCTGAGTGTTGGTTCTGGTTTCTGTAGTTTCACTTCAGATCATCAGCTCTGATGCCTGAGCACGTATTTTTCTTTTTATTTAAATCGATTATCTAGTTGAGGGAAAATAATTTGGATATGTGGGGACAATCCTCCAGCAACAATTAATTCACTGAAACGTTGTCTTTGTTTTGTCTTCTTATTATAATTGAATGAGACAATGATTGAAAATGAAAAAATGATCCTCTTAACAACATGTTTAAAAAGTAATCTCATTCAATTCACACAAACCCTTTTTACAGAACATACAATTATTCAGTACATTATTCCATGATGTCGGCTCATTGACCAGCAGAGGGCAGAAAGATCCACAGTAGCCTTTTGCTCGATCCACTGAAGCTCTTTGCTCCACTTAAGCTCAACTATTACTTTTGAAAAAAAGAGTCCGACGCCCTTACCAACATTTTCTCATATATGTCTCTCTGGTGTCGTAGTATCCACGAGGACGGTGACGAAGATCTGAGTCCCGAGCAGAAGGCCGAGCGGGAGCGCGACAGGCGGATGGCCAACAACGCCCGTGAACGTCTGCGTGTGCGGGACATCAACGAGGCCTTCAAGGAGCTGGGTCACATGTGTGAGCTGCACCTGAAGAGCGAGAAGCCCCAGACCAAGCTGCTGGTGCTGCACCAGGCCGTGTCAGTGATCCTCAGCCTGGAGCAGCAAGTCAGAGGTCAGTGTTTCCTTGAGATGCTTAAAGACTCTAAACATTGAACAGTTGAAGTCTATCCAGAGATGGATTTTTTTTACCACTTCGGGGCAGTTCAGTTGGCTTTTTTCTTTCTTGTTTCTCATTCATCGTATTAAATCCCCGACTTTATCTACCAGCTAGTGCAGAGGTTCCCAACCACTGGGCCGTGTTCAGTTTGTAACAACAACAATCAGGGGTTGAAAAGGAAGAGCACATACTACCGCGCATCTTCAGCTTCTTTGTCAAAGGAAACGGTCAAACTAACTTATTGTTCCTTGAATCCCACAGAGAGGAATCTGAACCCAAAGGCCGCGTGTCTGCGGAGGAGAGAGGAAGAGAAGGCGTCCGCAGTCATGAGCGATCCGCAGTCCATGCATCTCGCTTTCAATCCCAGCGGGACTGCAAACCCCATGGGCCACCTCTGATCATCTGATGAGTGCATCAAATCCAGCATAAGGTGGAAAACATCAACTGTATTCAGGCAGCGTGCGTCTGATTGATTTGTTGTTCATCAGAGAGGGAGGGAAGCCCGAGGGAAGACGCTGTTCCTACCTATGTGGAAAGAAGTCCACATTAATATTAGTCTAATTTGTTTATTATCTCTGTCTCAGATGTTGGGTGAAGAGCATCCCAGGAAACATGCAGCTGTTTTGGGGGTCCAGCATTCCTTCTGAATTCGGACGGCGACCTCTCCGTTGAACAATCATCATCGTCGAACTTCGTGCCTAAACTGTACTTGTACACTGCAGATGTTTTGTACATATTTTGTATATTTGCTGATTCTCTGTGTGTTTTGATTATATCTGGCGTAGTGACAAGGGACCATCTGCAGTTTTAGATTTTTTTTTTTTGCAGAGCCAGATACATAACTTTGGGACGGACTTTTACAGTATGTCACTATTTACCACACGTCCACTCGTGATTTCCACCGAGCTCAGATAACCGACTTTCCTATCTATCTGTGTGTGTGTTCAGACCACGGATTATATTTGTCCTGTGGTGTGTGTGTGTGTACTGCAGGAGGCTGAGCATTCTGTGAATGGAACAGATCTCCGAGAATGTTCTTTTAACACATCATCTGTTATCTGTAAATTTGTTACAAATTTGTGTTATGACTGTTAACAGGATTACACTTAACGGCACACCGGTGGACAGAATCCCTCCTCTTCTCAGTCTAATTATTCCTCTTCAGACGTAGTCAAAGCTCTTTGCATGTTTTTAATAGAACATTACATTTTTTTCTAAGTTATGTAACTTATCTTTTATACAAATATTGTGAATTTCATAACGTCTATTTACTTTTACACAGAAAAACCTTTTGTGCAGTTTTGCTAGACGTAGCTAGACGATGTCATGCTCTGAGCAATACAGTATTACAGAATAATTTATGTCTTGTTTGCTTCTCACTCTGCTGAACAAATAATAAATATTATTCAAAAAACAATCTGTAATACTCCTCATAACATGTACAGTATGTGTACAGTTTGAAGTAGCCTTCAGGCATGTGTTGAAATGATAATGTAGCAATAAATGTCTTTTTTCAAAAGGATTGAGTTTTCCATTGTATCATGTGATATAGAAGTGTAGATCACAGTGTAGTACCACGGTACATCCAGTAGTTCTGTGCCCTGAAAGTACCTCATAACACCGTGATATCATTTGATGGTCGTTCTCATTTAATTAAGTATTATCCAGGTTCAGCTAATTATAGATACTATATATACAGTTTAGTTTGGTGCTTCCCAACCTGAAGGGCCCCACCTAAGGGTCACAATATAGATCTGGGGTTATGAAGCAGTTGTTAAAAGTAATTCAAGTAATGAATTGGAACAAATCCGAAAGAGACTAAATAGTTGCTGGACATTGTTTTTTTTAAACGGAAAATGCTTGTTGGTAAACTGTAAAGAACAAACCGATCCAACTACGTTTTAGAGGGAAAAATGACTGTTTGCTCCTCTACATTTACTTGACGATTTGATTACAATGAAGGTACTTTACAAATTCCAATAAATAATACAAAACATAATCAACAAATGAATTATGATTATTTAATAGTCCCTTTCATAAGACAGCAGTATAGTTAGAAAATGAGATTGCTGCAACAATTATTGCAAACAATTACATTATTCCAACATGGGCTCATCCGCATAATGATTACCTGTAAGTAACTACCTTCTTTATAAGTAAACATATTTATCTGTATCCGATTATTATTATGCATTGTTACTTTTATATCAGTAAAATATCTCTATACTTCTTCCACAACTGGCTACTCGTCTTAATAACGAACATCTGCGATCGTCTTCAGGTGTCCTTAAATTATAATGGGAACTTTTAAACTTTAACAGTCTTTGTTAATCAAATGTTCCACATCAAGCAATTCAGTGGATAATTATCCCAATATAACAATGTGATAAACTGCCCTTTAGTTTTAATCGATATTAGTCTCTACATTTCCTCGTATGAAGCATTTGCGTCAGCATCCATGTGGACAAGACATCTGACGCGGAGCGGGCCGTGAACGCCTCTCCAAGCGGGACACGGGCGGAGGCAGGACAGCGTGAGCGGACAAGGGAGGAGGAGGACACCCGTCCGACACCCAGCGGGTAAGTTTTTACCACAGATCGATGTCTTTTTAACGCGCCGCGTCTCAAAACAAGGAGATATTGCTCGGTGGTGAGTTCAGGGTCATCTTTATGTTGGTTACTGGATGTATTTTTGCATCTTCTTTCTTCATCTGAAGTGTTAAAAGTTCAACTTGTGAGATACTTTTTGATTGACGTTTGCTATCAATAACGTAACGTAATGAGCGGTTGACGTTGTATGTTTTTCACAAACTGTAACGGAGGACTTTGCTCCACGTTACTGTTAAAAATGTGAATTTAGATGCATCAAGTAAAACCGGATAAACTCATATCCGCAGGAACTGTTACTTTTTCCCAGTCTGAAGGGGATTCCCTTCTGAACATTGTCTACGTTTGATGGACGAATAAGTTTTTAAAAAAAGTTTAAAAGCTGTATTTGAACAAATATTTCATTTCTTTTGAACAAAAGAAACTTTATAAAAGTTGTTCTAAGCTGTAATTAATGGCAGTTAATTATTATTTAATTAATAGTTAATAAATCATTTTCAAACGTTTCGTGGAGAAGCTTTAAGCTTTTTAGAACAACATTTGGTCTGGCAGGTTTATGTTTTAAAGGTGTTATATATGTTGTATTCAGAGCATTACTGGGACAGTAGGACAGTAAAGCTTCGGAGAGTAATGAGAGTCTCTGTTTTAATCTGGATCTTAAATCTTCATCCAGGTACCCAACCTGTTTATGATGTTTTCAATCCCAGAAACGTCTGTAACGGGTCTCTCCTTTCCATTTCAAATCGAAAACGCATCACCCTAAATGAGCTCTGGCGCTATTGATCGAAGCGGCCGTAATCTTGAGGGAGAGTGGTTTTGTGCGCTGCACAACAACGTCTCCTGTGTTCTTGTGTGCCAGCCACACAGTCACATATTTGTTGACAAACATCTTCCCTCGAGTGTCATAGCGTGAAGTGGGTGACGACGCCTCGGAGACCCCGGCCAGTTGTCGTCGTCATGTGGTGGTACAACAGCGCCCTGTCATGAGCACACTGAAGGAGCTGTTTCCATTGCGCAGCAATATCAGCCTTTATTCTCTGTTACATCGGCCCGGTGCAGCTGTGAGAGGAGCTCCCTCTCTTGTCTGTCATTGTGTCCCAGTGTGGCTCCGACTCCGATGTTGTGTAAACACCAGCCTCCGCTTGACCGAGCGCGCCCGTCATTCTCCGCTTCCCATGCAGGTTCAGGTTCCTCGGGTGACATTTCTAACGTGACGTTTCTCCTTTCTTTGTTTTATTCTCTCTCTCTACCAGTTTATCTGTTTGAGATGGAGTCGCACAGGCTGAGCGTCTCTCCGGACGTCAGGATGCAGAGGAGCTACGCGCAGCAACACGGTGCCAGAGGTGGCCAGGACAACCTGTTTGGCGTCAGGGTGCAGATCCAAGGGATTAAAGGTCAACCCTACGTGGTTCTGAACGGTTCTGGGCAGGAGATCCACCGGGACGTCTCGGTTATCACCCACCAGGCAGGGTACAGTCCCGGCATGGTGACGAGGTCGGCGGATGAGAGACCCGGTCCCGCCGAGTCCCAGGGGACTGAAAGCTCCTCCGCGTTCCACTACCAGAAACACCCAGAGATTCTGAGGCCGTATGACCCCGAAAGTAACAACATGCATTTAGTCGTTCCTTCAACAGCTTCACAGCCGAACACCGGCGCTCATCACGACACCGCCAGCAAACCCAGGATCCCTCTGCCTGCCGAGGGCCCGGTGGGGGACCAGTGCGAGGTGGTCTTGAACAGGACACCTTCTCCAGGTAGACGTGTCCCCGCAAGTCCCCCGAACACGGTGGACACGGAGTCCTTCCTATCCGTGGGGAAGCTAATAAGCCGGTTCAACAGCAGCCAGCGGAGGGGACGGGGAGGCCCGAGGAACAGGTTGGAACCGGAGCAGTGTCGGAGGTCGCGCAGCGTGGACAGCAGTCGGAACCACGACTCCTCGTCCTCGTCCCCGTCCTCCAGCAGAGCCTCGTCCCTGAGGGGGATGAGGGGCGAGACGACCCCGGGTGCCATGTATCCACCGGGGTCGGCCAGGGCTCGACTCCTCGGCGGAGAAGCCCCTTTGCCACGGGGGGAGAACAAGCCCAGCGCGGCGCTTAAAGGACATCAGGGAAACGGGACGATGTCTCGATCACTTCAGAGGGCAGAGAAATCCAGGTCGTTTAGTGACCAGGCGGACAAATCCGACCAGAGAGATGCACAGGTAAAGGAGATTTGCGCCGAGGCACAGTTGTCATTTAAATGTGTGTATTTATCTGCTGTATATCTCTTAACCAGGTGACTCCGGATCTTCTGAAAGGACAGCAAGAACTCTCAGTTGACCCACCTGAAGACACAGATAAGTTCACTTACCTCAAGGATGGGTAAGTTCCCCTCAACTTTGATTAGAAGAAGTAGTTTATTTAAGGCAACGCAATTAGAAGCAATATAATTTTTTATATATATGTATTTATATATACAAAGAACTATTTCCTGGCTGGGCTCAGTAACTATCAAATAACGATATAACTTGGTAATTAGTGAGCTTTAGATATCTTGGAAGGCAGATGTTGTTACCTTTGGACAGAGACAAGCTAGTTGTCTCCTCCTACGGCCTTTGTGCAAAGCAAAGCTGCGTAGATGGTTACAGCTTCATATCTATTGGACACATGTGAGAGCGGGGTCGGGGACACGTTGATCCTCTTTCCTCCTCGAGCTCCACGCGGACACAAAGAAACTGAGCCACGGCCAGTGGGCGGGACTTTATTTAATTTTCCATTTTTCAATTCAAGCCGTTGAAGAATTCAAGATGCAACTATAAAACTGTTTAACTGTCCACATGAAAGCATATGAGAAGAATAACTCGGATGATCCCTTTAAAACAGATGCACATTTGCAGTAAAGAAAGTTCCAATGAAAAAGTGTTCATCCACAGGATCTCTTTTTTTGAACCCGCAGCCACCTTTTGGTGGTTAGCTGGTCGTTGTGATCACGAAGTGCAGTGAGATAAGAGCGCTCTGCTCCAGCTGTGTGAGCTCAGGATCACTCCGGAATGCAGAGCATGTATTTCTTTCCACTGATAAAATAACTTCTTCCCGTGGAAGGTTTTTATGATCCATCGCTGGCTTTTTGATAAATATGCGCTGAAGCAACTGCAACTGTGTATCTCCGGTGGGTCACGACTCAGACATCGGCACTGCCCAGTCTTTGTGTCACAACTAACTGAATCAAACTTTATCATCACGCCATGTCGAGCGCTGTTAAGAGTGTTAGTGAAATATCTCCTCGCTTCTCAGGACGGCAGACGATGACTCCACCACTCAGAAGGACGTCACCGTGCCGCTTGAAAAGGTCAAAAGGGTCAAGTGGATGAGATGTTTGCCTGTCAGCCTGATTTAATGTCTTCGTCTGAAACACGCTGATGTCGGGGCGTTTGCTTTTTCACTCCTGCAGGACTATGCAGAGGAGGGGAAGCTTCTGCAGCAGAAGCAGGCAGCGCTGGAGAAAGAAGTGTATGAACTAAAGCAAAAACTGGAGACGGAGATTGAGGTCACTGCAGTCCCATCCCGCTGATGCACGTCCAAAGCGCACACTTCCTATTCCAGTGACTGACTGATGTGTTTTTTCGTTGATCAGAATGAAAAGACTCTAGCCAAGGCTTGTGAAAAGGCCAGGACAGAGAAGAAGAAACTCCAGGAAGAGCTGGCCAAAAGCCAGCAAGAGCTTTACAAACTCAGCGACAGACTGGCTGAGCTCGAGGCTGAGCTCCAGTCCACCAAAAAGGAGTAAGGACCTGACCTTTGTGTCCTTCACAAAGCGCACAATGAAAGCTGCCATGTGTAAATATGCAAGTCCTCCGAGCTTGATTGGGGCTTCCATTAAGAAAGGTGTCCTATTTGAATCCTGCAAATTTGATTCAATAAAGACCGGCCTGCTATTG